TCCACTGTTGAACATAAGCCGTCCCCATAAGAGGAGTTTTGCCAGTAGTTGCCACGCTTGGCAGGCGGGTTGGGAACCGCATTTATACTTTTAGAGATGTTTTAAGAGGGACGCTGCTGTTCATATCTCGTCCTCCCCTAGTTCCCTCTTACGAGACCCACGGGAAAGGAAGGGGCGGCATATTTTATATTTATTATTTAGTCTGAATAATCAAAATAAGTACAATTCCTATCATTTTGGGTTTCAAATAGGATTAGTATTGTATAAAGGATAAAGTAACTGAACACGCTATATTCTGTCTAGGAGAGATGGTGAGGCGTGAGTACCTTCACCATTCCTTTACCAATAAATTCTTTTATTGCAATCAATGCTACAATTCTTGCAAGCGTGGCGGTGCTAGTAAACATCAGCCACAACAAAGTTTATGGTTTCTCTCTACGATTAATTAAGCTTTGATACAATAGCCATAAGGTATGTTTTTCATTGCTCTATACATATCCATAATCGAGTTATTGTCCCCACGGATGCACGCAATGTCGACATAATAATAATTAATGTATTACCCGTGGAAAGCGAAAAGGAAACAAACCTATAATGATTAAATATTATGTAACAACCGCAACGAGACAAAGGTATCAGCAAGAATTTAGAAGGGTGCATGTTGGAATGTAACAGAGTTTTACAGTCAACAGAATTAATAAGTAGAGACTATTTATTTATTTACTCATTATTGCATCACTTAAAGAATAATACAAAGTAATAAATATATTACACATATGAAGTAAAAACGGCGGTGTTACCGCTAAAGCAATCTCTTCCTGATATTCCAGAGTTATTTTTACGTTATCAATTAAGTAGCACATGTAATGTAAAAAGTTGAAGATGAACCTTAGTAAAGAAATAAAAGGTATGTCGCGTGGTGGTCGACCAAGTGTACTCTTGAATCTATTATCAATCCAATTTATTGCCAATGACATTTTTGCATTGCACTTACGAAACAACAATTAGGAATTAGGTTAGAATTAAGATCGCTTTGTAATAGTTTGCATTGGTAAGTTACATTTTTTTTATATAACTTAGAATGGTAAACAAGCTGACGGCCCACCTGATCTTTATCTTTCCCGTAGGTGTGTTAAGAGGCGACTAAGGAAACTTAATGGTCGAAAGATAAGCACGCATCCCTCTAATAAAACATTGTAAAGAGGAATAACACCTGAGTCCTCAGGAATGGCAACGCATGGGGAGTATTATGGGCGAAACAGTATACTCTGTTATGTCCATGCTACTGCTCATTTCTATAGGCGACGGTTACCACCTTCCATCAGGTGGGTAGTCAGCTTGTTTGCCATTCTAAGTTGTATAAAAAAAAAAACAACAACAACAAAAGCTCGGCAGGCGGGTTGGTAACCACCCCACACCAGCGTGAAAACTACTGGATAATATAGATAGTTAATGATGAATAAAGTAAATAAAACAACAATTTTAATCAATATATTTATTTGAGATTGTATAAAATTAATTGCACATTAGTATTTAAAGTAGATATTTAAATATATTAGCTATATCACAATTCTATTACATTATACGTATTCGTATTTATATGATTTTTTAAATTTGGCAATTATATTTAAAAATATTTTTCCCTACCACATTTGATATTTCTATCGAAGATTAAGATCGATATAATAGAACCACACCCTTTGTTTCTACTATGGCTATATTAAAGCGACAAAGTGGAATAGAAAGGCTGCATTTTATTTTTTTGTTACATAATATCAGTGTTTTGCTGTTTTGAGAGCAAAGCAATTAGCTTATATGTGACCATTTTGTGTTACTGTGGCATACTCACTAAAAATTCTGTTACCTCTTTTATATAGGTTTGTCCGGAAAGTACGTATAAAAGTTTTTTAAAAATTTTATTTTACAATTATTCAGGTAAATCAATTTTATCCCCTGTCAAAGTACTCCCCCTGTGACATATTGCACTTGTGCCAACGCCGTTTCCACTGTGAGAAGGCTCCTTGAAAGTCCTCTGGTTGTAGGTTTCTCAGCTGCCCCGTCGTAGCTTTTTTTGTATTTTTATGTCCCCCAAATGCCGCCCCCGAAGTACCAATTTTTTTTGGGAACAAGAAGAAGTCACACGGGGCCAAATCCGGCGAATATCAAAAACGGGGGTGTTCGGTCACCGTAATGGAATTTTTACTCAAAAAAATAACTCACGGACAACAAGAGAGGTGTGGACAGGGGCATTGTCGTGGTGAAGAATCCAACGCCCCTCTCGCGCCAAGTCTGGACGAACTCGTGCCACACGAGCTTTGAGGCGTCTGAGCACATCGACGTAGAATTTTCCATCAACTGTCTGGCCTGGAGGGACGAATTCTTGATGGACAATCCCCGAACATCGAAAAAAACAATCAACATTGTCTCGGCCCTCTCTGAATCTTTAGCCACTTGTGGACGGTTGGTTCCTTCACAGCATCATCCCCATAAACTGTTCTGAGATCGGCAAAAATTTCACGGCCATTCTTGCCGAGTTTCGAGAAAAACTTGATTACGACGCGCTGCTCTTCAACGGAAGCGGGATGCCGACGGGGTTTCGTTAAGAGGTAAAATTCACAGATGGCGTGACAAGCCACGTTCGCGGAGCACGGCGGTCAGACCAGAACTGAAGCATTGTTAGGGACATAATGAAGGGGTCCTGCGCTTACCTGGCCTCCCCACTCCTCTTTCTCGCATTCCAGAACACTTTTATACGAACTTTCCGGACAGACCTCGTATATACCTTCTTCCTGTTTTCTTTTTTTTTTTTTAAACATATACGTTTTGTTTTAGTTCTCTTTTTAAATATGTACCCAATATGTAAGGTTATTTGTGTATTGTAAGTGAAGCAAATAAAGTATATATTTCTCTCTATTTACTTCCATAGTTTGCTATGACTGGCTGTGTAGTTTTCATTTTCAACCGACTTAAAAAAAAACGAGGTTATTAGAGGTTGTATTTTTTTATATTTGTTACCTCATAACTACGTCAGTTGTGAATCGATTATGAAAATTCTTTTTTATCTGAAATCATAAACTTACAGATTGGTCCCATAGAAATTTTATCAAAAACGGTTTAGTAGTTTAGTTTTTAAACAAAAATAACTGATTTTGGGCACAATTGAAGTCGGTTTTTTATTGACACAAAATCTTAATTATGTTAGACTTTGTCGCTTAAAATATGCATTTAGAAAGGATACAGTTAAATATTCTAAGTACTATTTAGTTATATTATGGTAAACACTAAAAAAAGTATATCAATTGTGCATATAAATACCATGTTAGGCGCCAAAGCTGACTTATTTTGGCGCCCAACGTGGGAATAAATTAAGAAGCCCTTTTTGAAATGCAGATTCTTTGGTACAGTTATGTGATTTATAATAATGCATTTGCATGATTCAGTTTACTTCGTTCATTGAATTTTTTTTCAGTAAAATGATGGACAACTTTGAGAATGAGAATATCAGTGTAAATTTGAAAGTAGTACCAGTAAGAGATGATAAAATGTGATTTGCAGGGATGAAGTGTGTATTTTTTTTTGATGGGTGAAAATGTTATAGTAACACCGCCTGCGCTAACGGGATACGCTGGCGGAGCACCAGTGAAGGGTGATAGATGAGAATGAAAACAGGCCAGTTAGCCCATCATGATGAATTCGTCAGGAATTAACCATGATAGTTTTCAGGGGGAACCGCGAGGAGGTCGACCTGGTTGGGAATATAATAGGATTCTCAGTCTCTATTACTAAGAATCCCTTTCCCCCCCGAAGAGTGTGTTAGGGAAGCCTTACAAAGGGATGAATAGACTATATCAAAAATATGGACAAGGGAAAGATTACCAAAATGTCAGCAATGGAGATGAATGGAAGAGAAAAAATTATTATTCTAACCACAAATGATATCTATCTATCTATCTTATTTAAGAGCTGCGCTCTTGTCAGTGGAGCTCTTGCCATTCAGTACAATTTTCTGTAAGTCTCTTCACCTCTTGACACGACACGACACTAACTTTTTCCTTGGTCTGGTGTAACTATGCCTTGGTCTCCCTCTTCTCCTCCTTCCCTCTATGATATGGTCAGAGATAATTAATTAGTCTAGTTATAAATTAAAAACAATTGTGTACTAGTTGTATACAAAATACGTTAGAAATAAGACATTATTTGTTTCTAAATAGTGAGTATTCTGTTTTATGGATTTTTTCTACATTTTACTATAGTTGTATTATCGAAATAAATAATTTCAAAAAGGGCTCTTGATCATTTTAGATTACATAATTATATGCATTACTAAAATACTAATTTATGTGTGTATATTTTTGTATAATAACAGGTACATCAGATATATGCGTTACTAACAATAAATTTACATCAAAAATGCACATTTTTATTATGTATTTTCGTATACTTATTTAACAATATTTTAATAAAAAAAAGGTAGTTAGGTAAATTACAAGTGTGGCGAAAACGAATCTTGCACATGATGCAAAATTGACCTCGCTGTAATATTTTCATATCCCTCCAAGCGCTTATATTACTAGAGTATGAAAAAATAGTTGACTAAAGCGCTAATATAACATATTATTATTTTTGCGCTACGTTCTTGTAAACTGTTATATTTCATATTTATTACGTTACAGTTAAAATTTGGAAACAGTTTGTAATTACTTAATTAATTATTGTACTTACAATAAAATATTAGGCATCTAGAGCTTACTCCTTAAGCGCGCTTGAAGGGTTAAAACCTTTACACAAATAACACAGGGTGGGATATGGCGTGAATTTACTGGGTACAGAGGAATAACACCTGAGTCCTCAGGAATGGCAACGCATGGGGGGTATCATGGGTGAAACAGTATACTCTGTTATGTCCATGGTACTGCTCATGTCTATAGGCAACGGTTACCACTTTCCATCAGGTGGGCCGTCAGCTTGTTTGCCATTCTAAGTTGTATAAAAAAAAACACTAACCATGTTAGTTATTTATTTAACTTTCATGTACGTAATATAGGTACACATGGCGGAATAAACACCTAAACACCTAAAAACCTTCTCTCCCAGTGAACCATGGGGCTAACAATGTTTGGGACATCTTATTTAGTTTTATCGTTTTACTCACTCCAATCTGAGCGTATAACGTAACTTATTGAAAAAACCATTGCTCTTAGTCGAATAGCTTGACACATTAATCGCTGGATAGTATGATGGTGGGAACTGGGGTGCGAATGACGCCACAGCCAGACACTAGAGAACCACGAGCCGAATGCACCTGCAAACATAAATAGAGGTAAAGAAAAGAATGAGTTATCGTTTTCGATAAGGGTTTTATAAAAAGAAAATTCGTCCTACACTGCGTTTGCCCATACGAGGTAGCCACTCAAGAACCTTTTTGCCCCAATGGTTGTCGGTTCTTGGAGCTATGTGACCAGCCTACTGCCACTTCAGCTTGCTTATTAAAAGTACCCGTAACCGGCGAGCGTGTATGAAAAGATTGATGAATGTGGAAGAAGCGAAAAAGGTTTGTTTGAATCGAAGCATTTGGCGTTCCATTGTTTCTGCCTACCCTAATGGGAGACAGGCGTGATAGATATGTATGTATGTAACGTAACGTAATATACGTTGCGTATGAGTTTTTTTACATAGTTCCTTATTACCTTATTTTCGGATGCAGCGGATACCTTCCTCTTGGAATGAGCCGTGACATGCTATAGATTGAAATTAAAAAAAAAGAAACATGCTTACGACTTTAATATAATATGGAGTAGTCATATTAATTATACATGAACCATTCTAAGACCAAATTTCTGCTTAAAATATTGAATTTTTCAAATTTATGTTTGTATCATTTAAAAACGATTTTCACTTGTTTTGTGCTTCGAATGTCACTAGGCACGTGTTGTACAGTAAGTCACAAGTAAACTAAAGCGGCCTAGATTCTTGACACTAGAGGGCGTCATCTTCACGTGAATATTATAAGCAACACAGAAACTGTTGAAACAGACCCATACTTTACAATAGCAATAAGACCGCCGTTTGTACTACGCTATACTTATTGAAATAATTTCTACAATTTCTGTAATATAGGTGCAATAAAGTGTTAAATAAATAAATAAAATACCTTGTCCTCGGAGACGGCGGAGAGTCTCCTGTGCAGCACTACAGTGCTGCGCGGGCGACCACTGCCGTCGCTAGCGCCCGACGGACGACGGCGACTAGCACTCGTCTACGAGGACACGTGAAAAAAGAGTTTAAAATAACCATTTAAATGTTTATATAAACCGTAAAATAAACGAAAAGTTAAGTTTTTTTTATAAGAGTAAACATTTATTGAAGAAGTTACAATAGACAGTACTTTAGATTCGGATAGATCTTTATTATATATATATATATATATATATATATATATATATATATATATATATATATATATATATATATATATATATATATATATAATAAGGTATATATAACGAATAGTGTTTTTTTTATACAACTGAGGTGACAAAAAAGCATACGACCCACCTGATGGTAAGCGACTACTATAGCCTAATAACGCCCGCAATACTAGGGGCATTACACGCTAGTTTTCCAACCAAAATTATTATTTATTACAATTATTTTTTTATAAACTAACAATCTACGTTATTAATAAATAATTAACGGTTAAATGAATTACACATATTATAAGTGTGCTAATACGCTTATTGCAATAAGCAAACTAGCTTATTTCTACCTCGGAGTGTCCGCTGACTGATCTCCTGCTCTCCGCTACCAGCCGTTGCTTGGCTTGCCTCGCTGCGTTCTCCCTTATTATCTGATCGGCTCGCAATCGTAATACTTGAGCAGCTTCCTTATGGTGTTTCAGCGCTGCGTTTAGATCATTGCGAGATAAGGCGAAGAGGTTTGAGTAGCCACGGGACCTGAGAGATATGAGTTAAGGTCTATAACTTGCGTTGATAGGGAGGAGTTTGCTAGGAATGCGTTCTAACCGCTTCATTACTAGCAATATACCCTATCAAATCGACCTCCACGCGGTTACTCCTGGAAATTATTGTGTTTAATTCTTGTCGAATTCTTCACAACGGGCTGACTGACCTGCCTTCATCCTTACTTATCATCCTTCATTGGTGACCCGCCAGCTTATACCAATAGTGTAGACCGAGTTATTCCATTATCACAAATTAAAAAAAAATGCGTTGATACTAATTATATAAGTGTAGATTAAAACAAATTAAGCAACGAAAATTCGGGAACACTCAAAGCCCGTGTTGATTTACAAAGATCGTTATCTGAATTACACCAATCGAGAATCGAATCTGGAATCATATTTATACAGAGTGTCTCGACATATAACTTGAAAGCAAAAAAGCTCAAAAGTACTCGAACTTGAAATACTTAATACTTGTGTAATAAATCGTTAACGCTTTTTTAAATTGTTAAAATGTACAAAGCACTTAGTGATTCGGTAAGTAGATAGAACAGGCCACCTTTCTTTCCTGTGGGTGTCTTAAAAGGTGGCTATGGCAACTTAAGGGTCGAAGGAAGAGCCACAGAATCCCTTTTAAGACATCACCAAAAGCCTAAGCGCCGTTGCCAACCCGACTGTCAAGCGTGACAATTAGTGGCAAAACCCCCTTTATGGTGGAGACCTATGTACAGTGGAGAGTTAACGGCTGATATGATGCTAATAATGATTTTAGAGCAGTGTTTCCCAACCTTTTTTGAGCCATGCCAAACTTGAACATTTCTAAAATTGTTATGCCCCCATACATAATTTTTCCTGACAAAGATTATTTGACGACTCTAATCGCTCAGTTGATATTTTGGTAACGTCAAACGAAATTATACTTAATAAATATTCACATTATTTAGCATTTTTTTAATTTACTTTTTTTGTTATATTTGGCACCGATATATACTCTTAGCATTGCATTTAAATGGCCCGGAGCAAGAGGGTTAAAATCACTTAAAGTCCATTTTTTAATTGCCCCCCCCCCTCCTTAACTATCAAATTGGCCCCCTGTGGGGCGTGGTCCCCACGTTGGGAAACACGTTTTAGAGTGATAAAAGTAATAACAAATTTACCTGACGGTAGCAGTCCTCCGTCGTAGGCCATCAATTCCGAGTAAGCTGATCTCGCCGAATACTGATCCCTCCCTCAGGGTGGCCAGTACTTCAGTCTCGTCCACAGACATTACCTGTAACATATTTTTTTATTAACATTTATCTATACAGATTGAAATTGTAAATATTAGCAGTCTTTTAAGACACCTTCATTAGTAACATTTGAGAATGCTCCTAAATTTCTTGTGTATATAATTAATTAACATTAATTTTATATAAATACTAGCGGCCCGTCCCGGCTTCACACGGGTGGACATTTTAACATTTTAAAAAGTGGCCATTAAGGCTGCACACGCGACGGAAGCTTAAAAATGGAGTAACTCCTCCCGTTTTCCCAACATTTCCCTTCACTGCTCTGCTCCTATTGATCGAAGCGTGATGAAAAGTATACTATAACCTGCCCAGGAGTATGAAGAATAATTGTACCAAGTTTCGTTAAAATCCGTCGAGTAGTTTTTGTGTCTATAATGAACATACAGACAGACAAAAATTTTACTGATTGCATTTTTGGCATCAGTATCGATCACTAATCACCCCCTGATAGTTATTTTGGAAATATATTTCATGTACAGAATTGACCTCTCTACAGATTTATTATAAGTATAGAAGATGAAGGATCACGATATGGATGATGTGAATATAAAATGTTTATATGTTTATTACTTAATTACGCTAAAATGACGATACGGATTTTCAAAACAAAGTTTCATTATTAATTCTTGCGCCACCTGCCCTTTTCTATCTGTTCTCCTTTAACCAAAAGTCGTCTGTAAGAGATTGCCCTAACGATAAGACCGACTTTTGGACCTTTATGTGTATATTTCAATCTCTATTTATGTTACTGTATTTCACTTGAATTATTCACTTGTCATTGTATATTTTTATTTATGGTGCAATTAAGAGTTAAATAAATAAATAAATAAATTATAATTATCATATTAGTATATCTATTATACACTCGTATATTATGTGTTATTTTATTGCCTATTTTGTATAAAGTAAATAAAGTTATTTAATACGTTCACTAAAATTACATCTATCCATTAATTAATCAATAAAATGTAGTACATAGACAGGCGTGTGATCCCGGCATAGAATAGGCCACCCCTTTCTTTCCTGTAAGTGTCATAAGGCAACTAAAGGAACTTAATTGTAGAGGAATGGGCAGCAGCGTCCCTCTTAAAACATCTCTAAAAGCCTAACTGCGGTTGTCAACATGCCTGTCAAGCGTATGGCAAATATTTCTGGCAAAACTTTTCGTGAACAGTATTTATATATTTTTATGTATTTGTGTAGGCGTTTATATGCATGTATGTATATGTGAGGAAACAATAAAGAGTATCTATCTATCTATGTTAATGGCTTAAATGATACATAGACGGATCATAAAATAATTCAGGTTTAATGCCTAGGGTATTTCACAAGTGAGTAAGTAATGACGAGAAAAATTACATAAAAAAATCTGTCCAGAAAACAGTTCGTAACTAGGTGGTAGTTATGAAATAATATGATAATTATCATACATATTATTTTATAGATAAAAAAATGTATACTGACGAAACATTCTCCGGACTTAATAATGTACATGTGGTGACCGACGTCCCCGCGGCGCACTACCACGTCGGCGGGCAGGAATGACACCGGTCGCAGTTGCAGCACAAGGTCACGAAGTAGCGACGAAGAACAGTCCCTGAACAATTGCACCTGTACACACAATCACAATAATCATAACCCAACGTGATGGGGAGAAAGGGATTGTTAGTAATGGAGACTGAGAATCCATTCGCTAGCAATATACCCAACCAGATCAACCTCCTCGCGGTTTCTCCCTGGAAACTATCATGGTTCATTCTTGATGAATTCATCATGATGGGCTAACTGGCCTGTTTTCATTCTCATCTATCACCCTTTACTGGTGCTCCGCAAGCGTATCCCGTTAGCGCAGGCGGGGTTACCATACCATTTTCACCCATCAAAAAAAAAAAAACCCAACGTGGTGAAATTACACAAACGTTATTTAACGCAACGAAAAATAAACAACGTAACAATACGTATAACGGTAATGACGCATAACGTTTATGAACGTTAACATAAAGTCTTATAATATAATATGACAAAAGTTTCATAACGAGAAGAGGAATTTAAAGTTGTTAACGTACAGAAATCTGTCATGGAGCTCCACTTTTTTTTATACAACTTAGAATGGCAAACAAGCTGACGGCCCACCTGATGGAAAATCGTAACCGTCGCCTATAGACATGAGCAGTACCGTGGACATAACAGAGTATATTGTTTCGCCCATGATACCCCCCATGCGTTGCCATTCCTGAGGACTCAGGTGTTATTCCTCTGTACCCAGTAAATTCACGCCATATCCTACCCTTCAAACCGAAACACAGCCATGCAAACACAACTGCTTTACGGTTGAAACATGAATGGGACAAAGGTACCTAAGCAATTTGAGACTTTTGTACAAAGTCTCCCAAACTTCTTTGTGATGTCTAAATCTGCTAGACTCATATCGGCTAACACCTCATGGTATTCTGTCTCTTCGACGTAATAGTAGAGCTACGAGTTCTTTTTCATATTTTAAGGGCTTAATGTCTTCCCAAGCAAGACGGTTAGAAATTGCGGTATATGGTAAATCTATAAGGCCAACATCAAGATTCTTTTCTATCGTCTCACAATACACGATCTTATATTGAAAAACAAAATGCGGGATAGTTATTAATATTTTGATTAAACGGGTACTTACCTTGCTTAATGTCGACATATGTACAGCTAGTGCCACATCCCGTTTCATATTGTAGGGGAGTGAATTCAAAATCTTAGATTCATCTGTAAAAAAAATATATAGAATAAAAATTTCGTACCACATTACAGGTAACTATGTAATAAGCAAGTAGTCCCATGTTGGGCGCCAATCATTTTACAAATTTATAGTGATATCTTGATATGAAACCAATATGAGAGTAAACCTCATCAATTACAAAAATAATCATCATCATCTTCCTATCCTTATCCAGGTTATTATTTAGGGTCGGCGTAATATGTTTTTATCCATATTACAAAAAGTTTTTAGTTTTACGACCGGCCGCCTGCCTGACGTCAACCCTCTTTAGGAAATTTCAAAAATAATAATTATCAGAATTTGTTCATAACTGGCATAAAAAAATCAGACGAATTAACAATCTCCTCTTTTTTTAAGTATCTTAAAAAAAATGTAAAATGATAAATATTACTTTTCCGGAAGGAGATCGTCAACTTGTTTGTTATTCCAATACAGAAATCTAATTATTATTAGTAATTTAGTTTATATTTTCTTTTCTTTAGAAATTTAAACTACTAGACTGTAAACTTTAAAAGAAATATTTCTAATATAAAAAAAGTACATATATATAAAACTAACCAAAGCACCTCTGCTGGCTCCAGGTATAGTTGAACCAGCAGGTAACGCGGCGCTGCAGCGAGGCTGGCATGTTAAGTCGACGCAGGTAACGGACACATCCATCCACTGACTTACGATATTCAGCCTGAAAAAATGTTCTTTTCTTTGTAAAATGAAATTCAACGATGAAGGCTTATGGCAACATATATTGGTAACGGCTAACGGCCTTTCTGATAGTAAGTGTCTAATATAGTACATGGGGGGGATTGTTAGATTAGTAATGGAGATCTGAAACTTCCATTGCTAGTCAAATACCCTACGAGGTCGACCTTCACGTGGCTCCTCCTGGAAACCATCGTGGTTAATTCTTGTCGAATTCGTCAATATGGGTTAACTGACCTGCCACATCGTCACCTATGATCTCTCACTGGTGCCCCGCCAGTGTATACTACTAGGCAGTGTATACGCAGGCGGAACTACTATTCCATTATTATCCACTACTAGCCCGTTACAATATTACAAAATATACCAAAAATGTTTTGCCTTATCATATCCTTCCAACTTAACTGGATCATGGCAAGGAAACTGAATCATTCACTGCCATCATTACATCAATGTCATACAGTTTCACTGTAAAGGCTTGATAATAATTTTTTTTTTTTCAGTTATCTATGACTCGGCTTTTTTAGCGTTTTGGATTCTGATTTGTCGTTATATAGAATAAGCTAGCTTGAAAACCAGACATTCTGGTATAAACCGTTAATGAAGTGATTTTGTGGTGGTTTATGGTGATGCAGATCAGTGGTACTTACCCTTGCCCTAGTGGCTGTGGCAATAATATCTCTTATTTGGCCAATTAGCAACGCGAACACAAAAACACCCATCAACCACGCTGCAGTCATGAAGAGGTACTCAATAGTGTTCTCGGGTTTAGGGTTCTTGCCTATCGAAGTGGCTGTTTTTGTTGCAAAATAGAAGCAGCGGATGTAAGCGTTGCCATCATTATCGTACACCCATCCGTTGGAGCCGAGACCTATATAGTCACTCATGGCGTAATAGGCGCAAGCGTTCAAATGGATCAGGTAAAAGATGTAGAATAATGTTTTACCGATCCTAACCTGAGAAAGGATTAAAACACTTAAAATAAGTTTATTTTACTTTGCATATTAAAAAAAAAGGAAAATTGAAAAAAATTTTAGCCAGTATCACTCGGAACGATATAAGGATTGCAACGAAACCCCATATAAAAATCCAAATCTGTTCAAACGTTTATAAGTTACGGTGAATAATACCTATCTGTTGTTCTTTAAATTCAAATATTACTCCCCATATTCATAAAAACTAAAACCTACAAACCTATTTTAACTATTACACTGTTTTGTCACTTTTTTTTAAATTTGGAATTCAGTGTAAAAGAAAGAGACAAAACAGTTCAATAGTTAATAGATTTCTAAGAAATTTGATACTTTTATGAATAAGGGGGTAAGTGTTTCAACATTGTTTCTAAAGCTGCTCTAGATCTTATGATTTCATATTTAGATAGTTCTTACCACGTAGGGAGATGATAGAACTCTGTCCATAGCCTGGTGGAACTCCCAGAACGTCTGTAGCTTCAACATCCTCGGGAATCGTAGAATAACTTTATGAGTTCCGAAGTAGATGTATAATAAATCGAGTGGTAGCAACGATATGACGTCGAACTAGAAATTAATAAATCACATGGCAATTATAATGTCATGTTATACAGGATACATGTTATACGATATACATACCTATAAACGTATAATAAAATCGAAGTCGTTGGCCGTTCGTAAAACTATTTTCTTCTTAACTTTACAGTCTTTAACTGTCCACTACTGAACATAAGCCTTCTTTTTAGGGGGTTTTGCCACTGGTTTCCATACTTAGCGGGGAGGTTGGAAACGTAGTTAGGCTTTGGAGATGTTGGACCCTGGTGCCCATCCCTCGCCCTCCCTTAGTCGCCTCTTACGATACCCACGGAAAATAAAAAGATGGCCTATTCTATACCAAACCAAACGGCATTTTCTGAATATTAGTACTATTTTCTAAATAATAAGTAGAATGTATCTATGCTATACAATATTCAGAAACAGAGAATGCGTGAAACAAAAATTCGAAAACGAAAAATATTATTACCATACCACTAATTTAATAATATGTTAGTACGGGAGGCTCTAATTTTTGTCTCGTTGTTCTTCTTTGGTGAACATGTTCAGTTAAACTGTTAGAATGATCACTTAAAAGGATTTTAACGATTTCTATTTCACCTTGCACACAGTTTTTGTTCAGTTCATTAACATGATTAGGAATATAATTAATATAAAACAAATTACTTTGTATTGCAGCTTCTTCCTATAATTCTTCCTCGTTTCGCCTGAATCGTTCACCCAGAAGCCTTCGTGCAAGAACATGAGCCTTGGCTTCACGAAGGCCACATCTATGAGATATATGATATCGCATAGATAGTCGGCTACCATCCAATATGGCGTGTTCTTTGGAGTTTGATAAGGGAACGTAGCCCGGAGCGCGATACACTGTAGCAGAACGTAACTAGGAGCAGCCAGCTTATATAGCCACGGCCTGGAAAGATTAGAGCCATACTCAAGATTTTTTTATGGGTGAAAATGGAATGGTAACGTGCGCTGACACGCTGACGGAGCACCAGTGAAGCCAGCTTATCATATGAATTCATCACGGCCAACCATGGAAAGATTGGTTGGGTATATTGCTAGAGACATGCTCAAGATATTAGGGTACTTTATCTGGGATAACAGTTTTGAGGATGTGCAGATAGGAATCTGGGATAAGGTAATGCTCTTTATCTCTGGCTTTTATGAGAAAGGCTACCAAACTACTTTTCCTGATATATCATGCATTTTCCCGATGTTAAGCAATTAATTCATCAAAATTTATAACGTAAAATTCAAATCAACTTATTTACAAGCACTTTTAAATCGTTATTTTTTTAATCTACTGCAGAGTTCGGAAGGTTGTTATCTGTTGAGAATAGCCCGCAAAAAATCAACAGTTACTCTTTTAAATTTCTGTTAACATTATATACAATGTCTAAAATGACATGGTCGTTAAAAGCCCATGCGTGATCGACTAACACCACGCACATTTGTCTTTCAAGTAAGTATTTAGTATGTTTAGGCTTTGCTCAATAAGTGTTTTTATTAACAGTTTTATATTTAAGAGGCAGATTTAAAGTATCTGTCAGTATCTTATTATAACATTTAATGACCACGAGAGTCCTAACTCACGATAGTTTTTTTAAATAAAGATCTTCTGTCACTGTATTTTACTTAGGATATTCACGTAATATTTCAATGCCATATATTATTATTCAAATAGAATACAGTATGTAAACAATAACAACGTAGTAATGGTAGAATTAATAGATAAAGCAGAGCTACTCAGTAGACTACTTGGTACCAAATCTTCCTTTGGTAACTTCGACAAATTATATATTATTGGAATACTTCAAGGCTTTTTTAATGGGTGACAATGGAATGGTAACCCCACCCGTGCTATCGGTATACACCGGCGGGGCACCAGTGATGATGATAGGTGAGGATGAAGCAGGTCAGTTAGCTCATCGTGACGAATTCAGCAAGAATTGTTCACGACGGTTTCCAGGGGGAACCACGTGGAGGTCGACCTAATAGAGCATATTGCTAGCAATGGGGCTGTCAAACTCCATTGCTAACAATCCCTTTCCCCCTAGTTCAAGGGTTTGACTTATCTTACTTTATTATTATTTATAGATCGAGAAATGAGAACAATAGGAACACACGTCCTTATACGTGGATACCCATATATACGAAGTTAATAGTTATTCAATAAAATATCTACATTAATTGTTGACACGCAGTATAAACAAAGGCCGTTATATAAATGTAACAAACAAGTAATCTATTGGCTTAACCATCTATTTCACAGCACTATCATCCAAGAAAATTGTTGTCACAGCAATTATCTACGACCTTCAAGGGGTGTCTATTACACTCGAATGTATTGATCACTCCAAGAAACTTGATAATTTGTTAATTGGCCCCCAGTGGAGATATTCCTCTTTTATTAATAATAAATAAATACCGACGGACATATTATACAGCGCCTTCTAGTTATAAACTAAAAGCCTCCAGAGGGAGACTTTGTACAAAAGTCGATTGTTTGGGTACCTCTGTTCCATTCGTGTTTCAACCGTGAAGCAGTTGTGTTTGCATGGATGTGTTTCGGTTTGAAGGGTGGGATATGGCGTGAATTTACTGGGTACAGAGGAATAACACCTGAGTCCTCGGGAATGGCAACGCATGGGGGGTATTATGGGCGAAACAATATACTCTGTTATGTCCATGATACTGCTCATGTCTATAGGCGACGGTTACCACTTACCATCAGGTGGGCCGTCAGCTTGTTTGCCATTCTAAGTTGTATAAAAAAAAAAGCTTGTACTATGAAAACTAAATAACTGACGGACGTACTGTAATACACACATATTTTAGGAAACACCTAGACCAGGACGGCTATAGTTATGAATATAAATGTTTATAGGTAGGTATTGTACGGAGATCGAACCCGCGACCAACGGAAGGTAAAGCAGTGTTAAACCGCCACGCCATAAAGGTCGTCATACGATGACGTACTATTTGATTTTCTATGAAATGCAAGATAACCACATGATATCGTTAATATCGATTAACGACATAGGCAGTTTTTATTTGTTTTTTATGTAATATATAAATAATAATCAAGCTGACGGCTCACCTGATGGGAAGTGGTAACAGTCGTCTATAAAAACTAGTATCAACAGGGCTATGGAATATTACAGAATAGATGTATGTATATATGCTAGTGTTAGTATTGTAGTTAGTTTGCTAGTAGTTGTCACGCTTGGCAAGCGGTCTAGCAACCGCAGTCAGGCTTTGGTGATGTTTTAAGAGTGACGCTGCTGCCCATCCCTCGACCATTAGGTTCCCTTAGTAGTATCTTACGATACTCACAGGAAAGGAAGGGGTGGACTATTCTATGCAACGACGATCACAAGCAAACGACTTGTAATTAGGTATATGTTATGACACCTATCTCCATAATAATACATACCCTGAGGATCGACGGGTGTAAATGGATCGCAGAAAGACGGCATATGAAAGAAGCCCTTGCATTTTTTTTCTCTTGATGGAGACGACGGCACCGGGCTTTGAGGAGTTTCTATCTCTGGTACAATTTTCTCTTTGGTAGGCGTAGATCTAAAAATAGAAATGTAAAAAAATAAAATTTATTTTAAAAATATTCTTCTTTTTTAAATACATTTTGTATTATAACCTAACCTTTTAATAAAGGTGTCCCTTGACTTTGGCTCTTTAAAGTCCTTTAGTTCGGTTTCTATTTCTTTAACTTCAGCGGATCTTTTATATGTAGGCGATGGGCTGGATGAAAACAGACGTACTTTTTGCAACTGTAGAATGATCCTATAACAATAGATTTTTTCATAAGACGCATCCAACTGCATCCATAATTTTTAAATAATTTTAAGTAGTAGTATACTTGCCCTTTCGACGTATTTTGCTTTGCATTATCTTGGATTTGAGTTTTATTTTCAATATTAGAATTGGTTTGTGTCAATCTGCAAATGTTATCAAAATTTTTATTTTTATAATATATAATACACAAATTAGATAAAAACTTATAAAAAAAATATTACTAATATATAAAATTTATATTCAAATGTGTTTGTATAATATTAAACATTTGATTCTGAAGTTTTTTTTTTCAATAGATGATAATGGAATGGTAGCCCTATCTGGGCTATCGCCAATGAGGGATGATAGGTGAGAATGAATGGACAATTAATCCATCGTGGTGAAGGCGCCTGAAATTCAGCATAATAGTTCTCAGGTGGGACTGAGGTCGACCGATATATTGCTAGTAATAGGATTGGTTATCTGGATTACATTCCTTCTCCCCTCCTCCTGGGGTCTGAAGCTAGAAACAGAACTTTCCAAGACTTATATAAAATTATACCGAGACTTGTTTTTATATCAATTGAAGTTGGAGAAGAGATTCTTAGTAATGGGGATTAGTACCCCATTGCTAGCAATCCACCCTGTCAGATCGATCTCCTTGTGGTTCTCGCTGAAAACCATCGTCCTTAGTTTCAATTGAATTCATCTTGATGGGTTAACTGGCCTGTTTTCATTCTCATCGATCATCATTCACTGGTGCTCCGCCAGCGTATCCCGTTAGCGCAGGCGGGGTTACCATTCCATTTTCACCCATCAAAAATCCTTACTGGTGCCCCGTCAGCACACACCATTAGCGCAGGCGTGGTTATCTTCCATTATCATCCTAAATGAATAAAAAAAGCACCACTTAAGCTATTCCTTTGCAAAGAGTTTATCATAAAGCAACTATTTTTAATTTATTCTATGTTCCTTAGGAAAGTATTTCATTTATTTGTCTTACTAATTGTTGTTACTGAACTTTAAATTTTTACATTGTAATCAAATATTCATATTTCTTTCATATCAATTGTCACAGAATAGGTATATATTAAGAATTTGTAATGAAAATTAGCAGTAGTAACAACAGGAGCAGTCAGTATACTCACGCGGAGTGTGTTGGGGTTGCATCAGGAGTGCACCACGAGCCATAAGCTTTCGCTGTTGGAGCCTTTGACAGCTGGATTGTTCCCGAAGATGACGGGTGAACTGTATGCTAGAAATTTAATTACTTTTTTAAAAGAGCACCTTGTAGTTTTAAACTGAGTAAAGTATCTATGTACCTTAGTTTGTGTAATAGACAACATTTTTTATTATAAAATCACATAGGTAACATAAATATGGAAAATCGTTTTGTATAAACAGACTTATTGTTATGCTCATAATGTCCAAACTTGAAGCCGCGTGGTGGACCAGGTCGTTGGACTCTTTATAATATGATTGTACACAATGATGGCTGGCTACTCCGTCATACTCGTGAACGGATACTTTTTGCAGGGCTTGGTCTGTTCAAGAATACTACAATTGATTGTAGTTTTTATCTATAAAAATTATATGATAGTTATTGTATCCATTCTAATATTATTTATTCCTTTTCTAAACTTTTGTTAAAAAAAAAACAACAGCTGAACTACATGCCCGTTCTTCTCAGTTGAAGTCGCAACCCAAAATGGGCGGTAGATATAATAATAATAAAAAATCATTTTATTATTATTATTCATAAATACGAAATGGTCGTTTAATGCCAGGGATAGTACTCGCAAATTGAAAAGTGAGGATTATCAATTTTTGTTGTTGCACTTATTTCTTATATGTATTTTGATATTTTTATTAGGATTGAAGTTACTTCGGTAGACACGTATACTTATAGTTTTATGTCCACTGAGAATAATGTGCATACATAGTATCATAATTATAGTATTACATATAGATATAATACATATTTATAATTTTTGTAAATGTTACTTAATTGTTAATTCTTAGGTCAGGAAAAAGAGTAGAATTTTTTTAGTGGATGATAATGAAATGGTAACTCTGCCTGCGCTTTTAGTACATCCTGGCGGGGCAATAGTGAGGAATGAAAGGCAGGTCAGTTGGCCCATCATGTCGATTTTTTTAAAAATTAACTACAATTGTTTCCACGGTGGAACTATGTAGAGTTCCACCTGAGAGAGTATACTCTTACTGCTAGTAAAGCTACTAGTTCCTGTTACAATCACTTCGAGTCCCACGAGTAGACTTTAGGTGTATAACTGTATAGCCTTGGTAACAACTTGGTTTATTGTGATAATCCAGATAGTTATCTGCCTATAATCCGTATCTTGTCCTAGTATTTTATTTGTCATAATTTCCGGCCAGAAACTTCAATAGCTTGGAGTATGACGACGGAATTTTACGCTATATTTTATTAAAGTCGTAAAAACACGACGGATATCTACTCTTTAAGTTTTCGTATGATATTATTATATATAATTGCCGTTGTCTATATCTATTATGATATTGCATAAGTACTTAGATAACTATTATTAATATTATGTTTATTTAAAAATAACCCTATTAACACTTTATCTTCCTAAATCGTCTTTTTTAAGATCTTTACTTGCTTACTAATATTATAAATATGAGAGTGTTTAGTATTTTACTACTCTACTAAACACTATATTGGTTTAACAGCTTAACGTATCACTATGACATTTGGTATACAGATATGGATGGAGGAACTACTAAGAAATAGATAACATTTAAGCAGTTAAGCAGATGAAGTCGCAAGTAAAAAACTAGTTTTTTTTATGATACTTAGCGACATCTAGTTTCGAACTATTCACAAGGATCAAACCCGTAAACAATCGGCTTATACACATACCACCAGTGTATGTTGGTTTAAAACCCAGCGACCCTGAGGCAGTAACCTCCGGAGAAGATGCCGGGGCAATGGGGTTCGTCCCGAGGTTGTTTTGGTAAATATTGTACTTGTAATCTTTTGGAGGGAAAACTAAGGAATGTTTATTTTACATGTACATAATTTAAAAAAAAGAAACCTACAAAACATGCCTGACACTGATAAATAAAGCACTACTTAAACCGTTTAGGTAATTTGCCACGCCCGTCTTTAATTAGGTAGGGTACTTAACTTGCTCAATTAAATAAGGGTGCGGCTAAAACGCGGTAAACATTTTAGCACTTGTGAATTCTATAGACTCTTTTCTATAAAGTTATGATTGTGTCCTTTTATCTCAATTCTGTAGGCATTTCTGTCCTGGTTTCACATTTGTTGCATTTTTTCCCGTTTAATCTATTAATTTATTTATAACATTATGTAATCATCTTAGTATTTCTACCGTGAAGCAGTTATTTGCATGGCTGTGTTTCGGTTTGAAGGGTGGGATATGGCGAAAATTTACAGGGTACAGAGGAATAATACCCGAGTCCTCAGGAATGGCAACGCACGAGGGGGGTATCATGGACGAAACAGTATACTCTGTTATGTCCATGGTACTGCTTATTTCTATAGGCGACGGTTACCACTTTCCATCAGGTGGTCCGTCAACTTGTTTGCCATTCTAAGTTGTATAAAAAAAAACATATTGGTAAGATTCGTCTAAACAAAAAGAAATGATTTTTGGTTTCTAATAGACAAACTCAAACAATACTTAATTGATTTTCATTCACCTATAGAATGCTATATTATAGACGTATTTATTTTTGCAAAATTATATACAAAAAATAAAAGCTTGTAAAATTAGAGAACTTTACAATAATTGCAACTATTTATCCGTGCGAACTCGGGTAAGGCAGATCATCATCGTTTCAGCTATAATCAGTCCACTGCTGGACATAGGCCTTCCCCATAGGCTGCCATAAGAAACGGTCCTGAGCCACCTGCATCCATAGGGAGTCCCTGCAATGCATTTGAGGACGTCACTCAATTTAGTGGGGGGTCGTTCTACACTGCGTTTGCCCGTACGGGGTCGCTACTCAAAAACCTTTCAAGGGGATGGTAGGTAGTACATTCAAAATAATTGACATATTCATTTATTTTCTATAGTTTATAGAAAAAGCTTTTTATTGAGACGTATTAAAAAGCAGAAAATTAAATTATTTGGTATGTATAAAAATGTAGTGTCACGTTGTTTGTCATCGCACTCCTTCAAAACGACTCGACCGATTTTTATAAATTTTTGTGTGTATATTTGGTAAATATGAGAATAGATCGTAAAGTATAATTTTTTACCGCTAGGTGAATAGCACGTCCCTATCCGTAATTTATATGGCAGAACAATCAGCTGTTTATTACTAATATTATTAATTGAAGGAAATTGTCATAATTTTATTTGAATATAATTATTACGTACATAGTAAATAGGTATTATGTAAGTAGTTTACGTTTAATGTATAAAGCTTTAATTTAATTATTTACTGGTGATACCTAATTAAGTACAAATACATTGAATAGCTTAATAACGAAGGTCCGTGACGGTGCAGCAAGGCCAGTTCGCCATTAGCCTCCGCGCTCCTCTCTGTGCTTTGAATAACAAAGTGTCATTTAAGTGCTTTCCTATTGCGCTCGTAACAATAAAAATTGAAGATTCGTGACTGAGTAATTAAGTGTCGAAATATATTGATATCGAACCTAACTACCTTAGGTCGCCATTAGGAATAGATAGCGAGAGTACAATAATGATTTATAAAATTACAATAAATACCATATTAAGAAGAAAATAGAATGGTAACCCCTTTTGCTAATTCGGTATAGATCCGTGGGATACCACTCAGTGATGATAGGTGAGGATAGTCGGAGCAGTTAGCTCATCATGATGAATACACCAGGAATTAACCACAACAGTTTCTTGGAAGAATCGTGTGAAGGTAGCTCTGATATATTGTTAGCAATGGACACTAGTCCACGTTACTTACCATCCCACTTTTAAAATCGTCGATAAATATTTATGTTCATCTGAATTGAACACTTTTTTCTAATATTGATTGGTTCACCAGGATGAACAGTAAATAAACAATATAATGAATGATAAATAAGATAAAAAAAAAAATGTTCACGCTATCCCCTGGAAACTATCTTTACTAACTCTTAATAAATTTGCCCCGATGGCCAATAAACTTCATTTTCACTAGTACCTGTCCAGCAAACGTAAAACAATAGCGCAGTACGAGGTTGCCGTTCCATTTTCAACTATTAAAAAAAATGTTTTAGCTATAGTGATGGTTATAGCGATATGAAATTGGTAAGTAATGATTGTTTACAGTTTATAGTACCAACAACGGGCGATTAATTACCTAAAGTAAATGTACACCGAATCCAATTGGCCATTCCCTAACCATAAATTGTTAATGCCGGCTACACCCGGTATTAATAAAGCGGGCATACTTACAAGTATAGCTTTTTATGTAATATCGAAGAATAACACGCGATAAGTATAGTTAACGGTAAACAAGTGGTGAAATGGATTGCTAGTAATGGAGTCTAATAGTTACATTGCTAACAATATAACATACAAGGTTGACCTCCACGCAGTTCTCCCTGGAAACCATCGTGGTTAATTCTGGCCAAATTCATCGCGACGGGCCAACTGACCAGCTTACATACTCATCTATCATCATCTTTCACTGATGCCCTGTCAGTGTATTTCATTTTCATGCTATAAAAATACTATAAACATACACTTGATAATTAAAAAAATAGTAGGTACATAACAATTATTGATGTCTAAATACTGATTTGAATTAGTTTTATTTATTATTACAACAAAAGTAACCAATCACGTAATTATTTAAATCGTTCAATTAAAATTTAATCTTAGATAGATTAGCAATATCTCAATAATAAATTCTATAATTATGTATACTTATAAAAATTACATGGTATCTATTCAGTACCTATCATTAGATATTAGAGTTGGATATTAACTTATATAAACTTATGTAGTTAACATTATATACTACAAAATACATTAGATACTTAACTTACCACATCAACTTGTATTTCCATTTTCATTTAAAAAATAAAAACGAATAGATAACCCAGGTGAAAGATTCCAAATTAAATTTACGCGGGAAAAAGATTATAAACAAAAAAAAATATCTGTGCCTGTACGAGCGATGTTGTCGAGGCAAGAGTACTCAATCCACTGTTCATTTCGGAACCGTGTTTATAGAGCCTCTATAGAAAAGGTGGAATCAATGCGCAGTCTGCCGGCCGGCTTCGTGTCATGAGGAAATTAAAAAATAAATTTCGCCAAGAAATAGGTAGGGAACTGCCAGGTAATTAGAAACGGAAAGTGGAATTGGTAGTTGAGCGAAAATCGATGTGAAATTGAAACCATACTATAAAACCTTCGGCGTCCATTAGTTGATTAAACAATAGGTTTTGCGTCAGTCAACTCCGTCAATTAATGATTGATTGTATTAAAATGTTTTAAATAGTACTTATTACGTGATGCTGGTGATTATTGGCACTGAGCAATTTGGAAACAAACAAGTAGCAGTTTCTTTAATTGCGCGAATATGTAAAGTATCTCTTTTTAATAATTACCAAAGACTTTCTTACTTTTAATATTTTTTTTTCTTTTTTCTTCGATATTGTTTATATCTATAAGCGACGGTTACCATTTTCCATATGGAGTAGTTTGTTTGCTACTGTAAGTTGTAAGTATAAAAATAGGTTATATTTTTTTTAACGTAAGTTCTCTATGTTCAATTTAATATTTTTTAAATCCAACAGTTTCTATATTTTTACATATGTAGAAATATGCATCTCATCTGATCATGGAAAAAATGATCGATTGGATGAAGAGGACACGACGTCTTTAAATCATACTAGTTGGAAATTATACTTTCTTCCTAGTGATAGTTTTTTTTTTTTTTTTTTTTATACAACTTAGAATGGCAAACAAGCTGACGGCCCACCTGATGGAAAGTGGTAACCGTCGCCTATAGACATGAGCAATACCATTGGTTTGCCACCCCCATGCGTTGCCATTCCTGAGGACTCAGGTGTTATTCTTCAACACAGCCATGCAAACACAACTAATGAGAAAAAACTTGGGTACCTAACTCTAACTACTAATGAGAAAAAAGTTTAATCTATGAACAGCTCTAATTTTTCTAGAATAATTTGAATTTGGAATTACAACTTTGAGAATTTGTTTTGGCGCCCAACGTCACTATATTTAGCACTCGCAGTGTTATCACAGATGATATAATTATACAACTTTTATATTGTTTCGAGCAGTAAATAGTTCTTAGTTAGAAGGAAGATGAAGGTATATAATAAATAATTTTTTCTCAAACATGCTTGAAAATGTGAGCATTATTTTGACAATCTTCTTCGAGATAAATCAAAATTGCCGTACGGGCCAAGATACATGCGGGCAGCGGCCGGCAAAAGTTGTTTGAAAATCTATATCTGTCGTGTTATGCGGCCAGATAAATTACTATGTAAACTCATATCTGTCCTGTAATTTAAAAATGGAATGACCTTTAACTTCGAAACATGGCTACCAAGGAGGTAACTAATACAAGGTTTTATTTAAATTTCGAACTGGCTTGCAAATAGAAAGCTGTTTATTGAAAAAAAAAAACAAGGGAACATTATGGCGAGTGAAAAATTATTATTGTTCGTTATTCGTCATTGAATTTAAAAAGTAAAATTGTGTTTTTGATTTCCGCGCATTGTTTGAGAAAAGTACTATACAAGCCTTGGCCACAACTAGGCAATGATGGACTCACATATGTGTGCCTCGGTTACACCTCGGCCCACATTTGTACGTTCGTCCATCAATGCCTCAGTTGCTGGCCGCTGCAGTAATGTACTATATATATATATATATATATATTTGATTATTATAATTTAGATATTTATATAAATTTATATATAATAGGTATTTTTGTCTCTTTTAAGAAACTAAAACTAAACTAGTTTGAGAAGCAGATAAAAAAATAAATAGAACTTAAATAAAAAAATTAATATCTACTGCCTAGTGATTTCCGATATTGTCGTATTGGTAATTATAAACATGTTAATTTGTTAAAGATCGAAAAGAGGAGATTGACGGTACAGTACATAATAATCTATTGACTGGAAACAATTTTTGAAGAAATAAAAAAAAACCAAAAAACTAACTGTGATAGACCCGACCGTGTGTAACCAGGTATAAAATCGTGAAACTTTTTTTTTAATGGATGATAATGAAATAATAACCTCGCCTGCGCTATTGATACATGCTGGCGAAGTAGCAGTAAGATGATAGGCGAGGATGGATGTAAGTCATTTGGTCCATCGTGATGAATGCTACAACAGTTGGGGGGAAAGGGATTGTTAGTAATGGGGACTAATGGTTCCATTGCAAGCAAGACCTATCGACCTCTACTTGGTTTCCCCTGGAAACCATCGTGATTGATTTATTGCTAGATTCGTCACGGTGGGCTAACTGATCTGCTTCATGCTGACCTATCATCCCTCACCAGTGCCCCGCCAGTGTATACCGATAGCGCAGGCGGGGTTATTATTCTTCCATTACCATCCATTAAAAAAAAACAGGGTGTTTTGGAGGGGAAAGGGATTTTAGTAATGCAAACTACCAGTCCCATTACTGGCAATATACTCTGTCAGGTCGACCTCCACGTGATCCCCCTCGAAAACCGCTGTGCTGAATTCCAGGTGTATTTATTTATTTATTTAAATCAATGCTTCCGAGACTACAAAAGCGTTATTGGCCGTCACTGATTCACTTTCTCATTGAGCGGGAGAGCTAGCTAACTTGGCCACAGGATAAAATTTCTTAAAAATTGTGGTAAGTAGGTAACAGCTACTACCTACTAAATTACTGTCAGAATTCTTTTTATGAAATTTTTGCTACGTTGATTCTAAATTCTAATAAATCGTTTTTAATTTTAAATAAGTAAATAAAAAATATATATTAATGTTCAGTGAGGCCGCGGACGATAAATGGCTGAAGTGTTAATAATGAAATAAATTTATGTCAGTATTATTTATGTAAGATACAAAAGTGCGTTTTAATTTGTGAACAAAATAATAACACTGAGTAGGTGTGTATTATAATAATCAATAGAGCAGTGCACAAAAATTATTACATCAAAACTCACCCTCTTTATTAGTTTAAAGCCATCCAGAAACATGATGAGAGCGAAATCGTACCAAATAAGTACTAATTATTACCACACAAACAGACAACTATATTTCAATAGCATATTTTCAAGATATTAATGAAATCAGAAATCTAAAACCTCAGCAGCCTATCACCTTATCAATGACAGTGAAAGATTTAAATGCAACCAAATCTGAAATACCTCGTATTGGAGCAGAGCTACGCCTACATGAGCAACCACTTATTTTAGTCGTTTAACCATTTATTAGGCGGGAAGTAAATATTTGCTGTGATGGCTTCGCAGGCAGATCGAAAGCTAAGCGGTTGTAGCGCTTTACTTATGTGAATTTCAGCTGTTTCAGCAACAATATATAGCTTTCAAAGGCAGATTTTTTAATACAATATTATTATGATCATTTTGTCTATAAATAAACAATAAAACTACTTTTTATTTAATTTACTACAATTTATGGTAAAATTTAATTAGAAATAGATATTTTTCTTAGAAAATTGTTAAGAGATTTTGGCTACTATACATCTAAACAGATATAGACCTTTTTATATTATAATGCAAAGCAATTGTTTTTTATTTTATTTTTTCAGGATTTATTCACTTTTGATGCGTACCTTTATATAAGTATTATTATTATTGTTGCTGACGGTTCTACTAGGTAAGTAATTAACATCTAAGGTAAATAACCTGTGATGACGAGTCCTGAAAATAAATTTAAATAGCTTGTAAAGACCAGGAAATATTAATTGTTACTTGCTAACAATCCCTTCCCCCCCCCCCCCTTATTGTACTATTATATTTATCAAATTTTTAACGTAGCGTAGAAAGTTTTTTTTTTTTGTGGAAATGGTGATCTCATCTGCGCTAACGGTACCTATACGCTGGCGGAGTATCAGTAAGGAATGATAGGTGACGATGAAAATGTAGATTAGTTAGCCCATCGTGACGCCACCATCACCAGGAATTTAGTATAATGGTTTCCAGTGAGAATCACGTGGAAGTCGACCTGACAGCATTCCTATTGACACAATATATATAAATATATATATATTAATTTATTATATAAATTATTTTAATTATGGGCATTGTTATATACATGTTATTAGGTAAATTTTTCTTTGCATGTTAATTAATTGCAGATTAATAAATTGTTTATTTATAGAACCAATTTATTTCTGAATTGAAGCGCTGTAAAGCGAATGTTTATTCAATTTAAATTGATCGTATGTTGCGCGCGCATAATGCCCATAACGCATGGATATACCGTGATTACTTGGAATATTATTACGAAGATAATTACACACTCTTCTTCTCACCATGCTTGATAAATATATTTGGATGATTCTAATTATTTGCTATTCAATTAAAAATAATTATTCCACATTCAATTAAAATAAAGTTATAAAAGAATGTATTAGAGCGACTCTTTCATGTTTGTTCGTTATAGATGCGCTCACAGTCATTTATAATAATAATTTTATTTGTAATATTTATTATTAATTCTTTACTGAATCTAAACGTTTGGTAACATAATTAAATATTCATACAATTAGTAATCCTAAATTCTAAATTACCTATTTTGTAGTTTTGGTTCCGGTTCCGTTTCTCAACTATCTGTCATTTTTGCTGTCTGTCATTCAAACATGTCGATTTGAACTCGAGATTATCTTAATGCGATATATTTTTGTAATTTATTAAAAGCTACTTGTTTTGTAAAATTCAAGATAACCATTTAATGAAAAGCTTCATTTTTATCGTTGGAAAATTATATTTGCCAAATTTAAAGCTAGCTCTTAACATAAAAATACAAAATGGATACCGGTGAGCAGATTTACCAATGTTATTATAAAATCGTTCGTTGACATAGGACACTAAGAAATAGTTAATAAAAGAAAGTTAAATTAATATTCGAATAACTTAATATTTAACTTTTAAATATTTAATATAGTAGCACTAATGAACAAGAAAAAGCCTAAGATTCATTATAAAATTATTTATTTACTAATAAGACTAAATCGCTGTTTTGCCACTGAGTTTCTATTTTTTCAGACTATAAATCCAGAAAACAAGTTAACTACGATCAGTTGAAAGCTATGATAGATTTTTTGAAGGAGCATCAGCAACTCGCCAAGGGTTTGATGCGAGGCCGCCGAGGGAAGCTTCACACGCTTAAGCTGTGGAACCTTTGTGCAAAAAAACTGAATGGTTACAAAGGCGGGACTGTTAAAGATGGAAAGGGATGGTCAAAGGTTACTATCATCTTTTTTTACAACATATTTTTTTAACATTCCACAGCTGGGAATGAGCTATCTCTCCATAAGACAAGTATGGATTCTGTGGAGCTTAACATGTTGCTAATACTACTATTTTAATGAGGGTGCTCCCTATAGTATCAAAAGTTTCTTGGCAGTCTTTATTTATATTAATATTAAAAATAGTAAAGAGTTGATTGTAATGGATAAACTCAAGAACTACTCAACTAATTTAAAAAAAAAAACACCTATGGAAAGGTATACTATGAGCGAGTAACAGAGGCTATATATTATTTTTAAAAAATATATCTACCTAGGCATCTAAAATATATATATCTAGCTAAGTCAGGTCGCTAGTTATACAGAAAGGACTGGCATTTCAGACAAAACATGAAGCAAGTGAATCATTGATGACCCACTTGATATTATGGTTTTATTTTTGAATTTATATTGATCTTTCTTGCTAGCTACAAAGAAAGTACATATAACAAAGTTCTGTCAAGAATTTACAACACAAAACAGACAAAATTGTATAAAAAATATCTATTTCAATTCACTTAAACTACTTCTGTGTGAATCTATTGTGTTAATCCATTTTTACTTGACCTGGTTTACTCTCATGTTAGTACCAATTTTATCTGGTTTGTTTTTTATATATATTATACAATATATTTTTTTTTATTAAATATAATTACTAATTGCAGTATTGGTGTGACTGGAAATATAGAGTTCGCAGAAGAGCTCTAGAACTAAAGGCTGTGAAGGACACCAACCGACCAGTACCAGACATTACTCCGTTATCTAACTTAGAGGAATCCATACTGAGTATCATTGGAGATACTGCTGTTGATGATGTTGTCATTAAGATTGACCCGCTGGCCCAAGGTGTGGGTATTAATAAGTGTTCTATCTTTAATTACCTTACCCTTTATCTACCAGAGGGAGACTTTGTACAAAGGTCGATTGCTTGGGTACCTCTGTCCCATCGTGTTTCAACCGTGAAGCAGTTGTGTTTGCATGGCTGTGTTTCGGTTTGAAGAGTGGGATATGGCATGAATTTACTAGGTACAGAGCAATAACACCTGAGTCCTCAGAAATGGCAACGCAAGGAGGGTATCATGGGTGAAATAGTATAATCTGTTATGTCCATGGTACTGCTCAGGTCTATAGGCGATGGTTACCACTTTCCATCAGGTGGGCCATCAGCTTATTTGCTATTCTAAGTTTTATAAAAAAAAAAAAAATATGTCATTAACATTGATACACAAAAATTAAGTTTTACATATTCATACAATTGTAACATTTAAAACTGTCTCAAACTTAAAGAATAAGTAAATTCTATTGTCCTATAATAAAAAATTCTAGAAAGGGATGATGATAAAAACAATACCATACTTTGTTTTACTTTTTTATTTTACATTTATGCTAGATATTGACATTATAGTAAAAATATATTAATTACTGCAGGATACTGAGGATGATGATCCAGATAACACTGAAAATAATGATGAAACCTCTGACAATCAATTTCTTGGTATGTATTTGTTATTTTCATAATTATATCCTATAATTTATTTATTTGTTGGTGGTAATCTGGAACTATTGGATAAAAGAAAAACCACTGAATGAATAAAGGTCACACTATCCAAAAGGAGCTGATTTAAAATCTGAATGCTTAATGAATTTTACTTCCATTGGTCTGGTCACTTCCTGTGTACTATCATCATCATATCAGCCATTATCTGTCCACTGTTGAACATAGGCCTCCCCCATAGTCTACCATAAGGAACGATCCCGAGCCACCTGCATCCACTGACTCCCTGCAATGCATTTGAGGTTGTTACTCCTACTGCTATATCAGTGGCATTACAGGTGTGTTGCCAAATTTGTAGAAATATCTTTGCCCCCTTTCTTGAAGAATCCTATAATATTTATCTACTTCTGTGTTTACAGTGAATGAACCAGTACTCACTAAAAAGAAAAAGCGACGTCATTCTTCTTCAAGAGATCTTTCAGATTTAGATGAATGTGCTGGACCAAGCAGTCCACCAGAACGGAAGGCCAGGTTTAGTGTAAGAAATGGTGATAAAGCTGAAATAGGTAATGGAAATTCTCTACCATTGTCTTCTCATATTTACCGTCATGTGGGGTAACATAAGATTGCATATAACATATTGCAGAAAACATAGACAAAAATATATGCAAACATATTTTAGCCTTGCATGTATTAAAAATATTTTTTATTATAAACGTCATCTATTTATAAGTTACTATAATATGTACATTGCTATCTAAATAGCTTTAGTTTCTTACTTTGTGTATAGATGGCGCACTTAATTTTTTTATTTTAAAAATTATTTTTACACTATTTTTCAGATCAAATAATTTTAATGCGATACTAGTATAGTTAAAAATGAATTTTGTGTGTAATTATTATTAACAAGAGTGTGTTCATGTATTTTTGATAATATTGTTTTACATTTATTACACATAATGTAATTAATATAATGTAAATAATACTCCAGCCAATAAAATAAAACCCAATATTTGTTCTTGTTACAGATAACGACGACGAAGCTTCCGAGTTCTTAAATTTAGAAAGAGAAAAATTAGAAAATAGTAAAAAAATGTGTGAATCGATACAAACAATCGCATCTGAAATTACTAGACTGGCAGATATCATGAGTCATATTAGAGATGTTTTAATTAATAATAGAATTAGTTTATAAGGTATATTTATTAAAAAATATGAAACTACTAAAAAATAAATTTTTTTAATGTAAAACAAAGAGCCTCCCCGACGGGGAATTGAACCCCGGTCTCCCGCGTGACAGGCGGGGATACTGACCACTATACTATCGAGGAATTCATCAGAGATTCTGAAAATACGATTAACTTTCCTAACAAATCTCTTTAATATGACAATATTTTTATATTATTTCAAGAGCAACAAACTACTAGACTAGTAGTCTATTAGGTTTTTTCTGGAATTATTAAAAAAAGGTAATGCTATAAAGCAAAGAATCTAAGTAGAAACTGGAACACGGACAAAATCGCTATAAAAATCGACAAACATTATTATCATTATTTTGCTCTTTATCGCTGTCACGGTATCCAGGTTCAATCGTGACCTTAACAAAATGGGTTATCAAAATCCTTGTCCTATAAGTATGGAAGTAAATACAAAAAGCGAGTCAAAGCTAGGGCTATAAAAAACTAATTTGTGTAGTATCCCATGAAATCTAAATTATAAACACCGAGTTCCACCAGTGAAACTGAACATTATTTTTTCTAATGAAACAGAGTCATAAGACAACAAACACTTTTTAATCTTCCATAATAACACGGCAATGCTATATTGTGACGGTACGGTATAGTGGCGTAATAATTCCGTCTGCTCTTGTTTGCGGCGGGGCGCCCGTGGGAATGACAGGTGAGGATGAAAGCAGGCTAGGCAGCTCGTCGTGACAAATTCATCACGAAATGACTGCGATGGTTTCTAGGAAGAGTCGGATGGAAGTCGACCTAACACAGTATATTTCTAGCAATGGAACCACTCATTCCCATTATTAGCAATCCCTTCCTCTCCCTAAAGATGGTGGACCGCGTCGAAGTCGGCCTGATAGTTTTTTTTTAATGTGTGCAAATAGAATGGTACCCCGCTTGCGCTATCGGTATACGCTAGCGGGGCACCAGTGAGGGATGATAGGTGACTATGAAAGCAGCTCAGTTAGCCCACCATGATAAATTCGACAAGAATTAACCATGATGGTTTCCAGGGGGAACCGCGTGGAGGTCGAGGCCTGATAGAATTAGTAGGCCGATTTCTAATCTATTCAGATTGCTATTAATGAGACCCATAGACGTTACTAATAGTCCCTTTTATTTTTTTTTTTGTATTTGGTATACCTATTTATTACTGTAAATTTTGTATAAGGAAAAGTATTAAAACAATATTGCCATTTAGTGAGACGCCAAAGGAATATAGATGACCGTGTCAACTACCAACTCGCAATATTATGACAACGTACGGGATCACGCGGTTCAACTGATAGCAATAAGTACAGATACAAATACGATACACATCATTCATTGAATAAAACACTTTATTATAGTGAACTAATTAAATGTTCTTAATTTTTTTTTTGGAAGAAAAGTGTGTGTAATATGTCTAACTTAGTGTATTTATTGTTTTTATTTGTTCCAAGGTATGTGTATGCTGTTATTTCTATTAGTGTCAGTAGTTATTTGTGTAAATTATAAAAAATATCACTCGAATTATGAAATTAAATTTTAGGAATGTAAATTTAAGTTATTTTTAGAATGTGACATATTGTTTTCTTTTAATCAATCAATCAATCAATCATCTTTATTCATATACATCTGTTACAGATACTTATGATACGTCAGTCTATAATTATAATAATTACTATAGAAAATAATATTGATTTAAGAAAAAATGCAATAATTACATTTACAATACAATTCACATTAATACAAAATTCAAATCCATGCAGTTTTGTCATTTAAATAGTCATTTAATTTATAATATGCTTTTGTACAGAGAGTCCTTTTTATATATGTCTTAAATTTTCTTTCATTTAATTGTAAAACGTCATCTGGAAGTTTATTATAAAAACGTATACAGTTCCCCATGAAAGATGTACTGACTTTTCTAAGGCGATAACAAGGAACATTCAATTTGTTTTTATTTCTTGTATTGAAATTATGTATGTCACTGTTATTTTTAAAAAGATTTATATTTTTTTATTTTTAAAAATCCGTAATATTATCATTATTCCTATAATTAGCATGCATTTTCTTTTAGTTATATTTCGTGTATCTAAATAACAAATAAGAGTATTAGTTAATACTAATCTAAGAACTTGGAGTCTGCTCTAGCAAATCTATCAAGTTACCTTAATATTTTTTTAATATCTATCTTTACTTAAGTCGCTTGTGGGGTAGGCAGAGAGAACCGTATGCCAAAGGCCTCTATCGTTACATACATCTCTTTTTATACACTTCTATAACTAGTTTTATACATACACGTCGGTTCCACAGATTTTTTACTTTTGCCTAAGATAGAACATCTATCTGATTATATTATAATAAAATCGTGGGTAAACTATCATAATGAAACTGTGATTAAACCATACATAATCTAACTAACACTAAAGCAAATTTGACTGTTACCTGAATATTCGCAATACCTAGATTTCGAATTTAGATCGAGAATAGAGTACCCTCAAATAATTTGTTTTGATGGTTATCTACGTTACAGGTTTCAGTCTATATCTGTAATAAATTGTTCAACTATTTACTTATTTTATTTTATTTACTTTTTACTTATTGTATGTTTACTTACTGTATGTTGTAATCTTTTCATATTCAGTATATATGGAAGAACCGTACTAAATAACGATAAAGAAAATATAATTCCATTAAATGACACGAAAAATGACAAACTTTTATTGGATTTACCTGTATACAATTTGCCAAATGATACTGATATTAATTGCAAATTGAACGCTGTCGATATATCAAATAACATAGAGGAACACAATGAACCTTGTGACCCTGTGTCTAAAGTTAATAATGGAACGGCGTTAATTCTAACACCGTATATAGAGGAAGGTCGGATCGAGGAGGCTCGGAATGCGTGCGCAGTAGATCCTCAAGTATTCCTCGGCATCAGGAGTTATTCGGGTTTCTTCACTGTAAACAAGACATACAACTCGAATCTGTTCTTTTGGTACTTTCCCGTGGAGAATAAAGCAGTGAATGAGACACCCTGGATAGTTTGGTTGCAAGGCGGTCCCGGAGCTTCGAGCATGACGGGGCTTTTTGACGAGATCGGGCCCTTCAAAGTGGTCGACGGGACTTTGATACGTAAGATAGTGGTAGTCATAATTAAAATTACATACTTTTAATTTATAGTAGATTAATTTTGCGGATCTAATTAAGCAATAGTCAATTATAATGTGTTACATATATAATTGATTGTTATTTAATTAGATCCGGAAAATTAATCTAAATGATTTCATAGTACAATGTTTATGTACAATGTATTTAATAATACACTATGTGTGGTACTGGCGTAAAAATATAAGAAGCGATCCGCTCCGGTTTCGCACGTAGACATATAAAAGATAAATTAGTATTTTTTATTAAAAGGCAAAATTTTTAATATCTTTCATTATATTTCTGTAATTTTCGTAGAGTTCTCTATTTTTTTTCAAAATCATATATAGCCTATGTTACTCGCCGATAATGTAGCTATAGATGAAATAATTTTTAAAATCAGTTGAGTAGTTATTGAGTTATCAATTACAAAAAGACAAATATACAAAAAAACTTTTTCTTTATAATATTAGTATAGGTGTATGGTGCTTCTTTAATTATATTTCCAGAATGTCGTAAGTCTGAAAAAGTGATTAAGGTAACTAAGTACAATAAATTAAAAGTACGAGAGTATTAGAGAGATGGTAGTTAGATAGAAACCTCCTCTTTTGGAGATAATTTTAAGAATTAAATTAAGTACTATGTACTCAGTGTTGATAATAATGTTTTAGTTATTTATACCTTTTTTTTTGCACAGACATACTTAATCATATTTCATGAGTGTATTTTTTTTTATTTATTTGGAGCATCTATTTATTACAGTTATGTTTTGTGAACTGTGATGTGGATGATGTTTTCCTTATTGCATTAAATTTACATATTTGTATGTATATTATTAGTAATAGAATACTCATTTACTCGTATTACTTACAATCTCAGTATATATTTACCTAACCTGCTTATATGGGGGGAAGGGATTGTTAGTAATGAGGAAGTTAGTCCATATCGCTATTAATATATCTTATCAGGTCGACCTCCACGCGGTTTCTTTGGAAACCATCGTGCTGAATTCCAGATGTATTCATCACAATGGGCTAACTGACCTGCCTTTTCATCTTCACCTTTCATCCTCACTGGTGACCAGTGTTTACCGTTAACGCAGGCGGGGTTACCATTCCATTATCATCCATTAAAACCTGCTTATATGGGAGGAGGGGGGGGGGAGAGGTTATTAGTAATGGGTAAAAAATTCATTGCTATCAGATTAACTTCCACGCGGAAACCATAGTGGTTAATTATTGTTGAATTGATGGGCTATTGATTAACTGATTTACCTTCCATCCCTCACCTGTCATTCACAGGTACTCCGCCCGTCTATACCGATAATCACTATTTTATCTTCATGCATAAAATAACCTGCTTACACGTTTCAGAGAATCCGTATACATGGCTTCAAAATCATTCTCTCGTTTTTATCGAGAATCCGGTGGGCACTGGATATAGCTTCACTGATCACGTGGACGGATATGCTAAAGATATGGCTACGGTAAGTCAGGAGTAGTGTTACATTCTCGTGAATAAATTGTGTTTGTTATCTTCTTCAGCATTATATCAGCCGTTATCTGTCCATTGCTGAACATAGACTGCAATAAGGAACAGTCCTGAGCCACCTGCATTGTTATCTTTGGTTGTCACAAAATTCATTATTTATAAATCAAAGGGAGACTATAAGTTCATCAAATTCTTATTATCCAGTTATATGTACTGAGAAATTGTTCGGATTGATACCTGCTGCTGATTTTCACCACCGTACAACCCGCCACAAACTAAAGTTTCATCCCAATCATCTGGACGAGTGGCGGTCTTCCACCGTGCGTTTTTCAAGGCACTTTCGTGTGCGTGGAACGCACAACCATTCTTTGGAATCAACTTCCAGCAGCAGTATTTCCGAACCGATACGACAACATAACCTTCAAGAAAAGAGTATATTCCTTTTTAAAGGGCTGGCAGCACACCTGCAATGCCGCTGGTGTTGTGGGTGATCATGGGCGGCGGTAGTCACTATCAGGTGAGCCGCATGCTCGTTTGCCACGTGTGTTGCAAAAAAAAATATGGTTAAAAATGAACATGAGTTCACATTGTGTCTAATTGATATTTTTACTGATGTTTTAGTGCAATAAAGAATATTATGAATTAAAAAAAAAATTTATTATGGAATTTATATGAAAATTAATTGTATTCTATTTATTGATAGTAAATCTACTTCTCAATTAAACAGTTTTTGTCAATTCTCTAAACCGAATGAAAATTTAGCTAATATTAATTAGCCTCTTTTGTGTTGAATTTTTGTCTGCTGAATTTGCATCCCTTTTAAAACGTCTCTATAAGCTTAAATGCGTTTCCAAGCTTGATAACCGCTTGGCAGGCAAGTTTGGACAAAGGCTAATTGGCAAAATTCCCTTATAGGAAGGTTTATATTCAGGAGTGGACAGTTACTGGCTGAAATGATGAATGATGTGCTGAATTTAGGTAGGCTCTATGACTGGATATCGTTGGGGGGAAAGGGATTGTTAGCAATAGAGTTTGACAGCCCCATTGCTAGCAATATGCCCTATTAGGTCGACCTCCACGTGGTTCCCCCTGGAAACCATCGTGAACAATTATTGTTGAATTCGTCACGATGGGCCAACTGACCTGCTTCATCCTCATCTATCATCTTTCACTGGTGCCCCGCCAGCGTATCCCGATAGCGCAGGCGGGGTTACCATTCCATTATCAGTCATAAAAAAAAAAACTGGATACCATAAATACAATGCTCTGTATGTAGGTGTTATATCTATCCCTTAAGTATAGTACCTGTTAAGAATTAAAAAAACCAAGCCAGTTCTAATTTTATGAAAAAAATGTATAATTAAAGTAAAATTTGTTTGCAGTATTCTAGTCATATGTACAAAGCACTACGGCAGTTCCTGCAAATATTTCCTGAACTGCGTGTAGCGCCACTGTACATATCGGGCGAGTCGTATGCAGGGAAGTACGTGCCTTCTTTAGCTATGGAGATACACAAGCATAAGGATGCGCCTGGAAGCGACATAAATCTTCGGGTATTTTTTTTATTTCAATTCACTTTTATTACTTCAAAATAAAACAATGAATTTATTTCATAAAAAATCTCTAGAGTAAACTCCCATCGCTGAAAGCAAGTATGACAGATTACTGCTAACTAATTATTAGTAAAGAAAAAGGTAAATTTGTATACAAACATGTGTTTATTTATTTATTTATTTTTTGCATCCCGTCATTTCTATTGGATACGGATGACGGTATGCCTTTTTTGATGCGTGCATTGTGTTATAATTAGGGTACAATACAATTATTGCCGTGTGTGCCCCGGCATAGAATTGGGGCCAATTTCCTTTCTTTCCCATGGGTGTCGTAAGAGGCGACTAGGGGAGGGCGAGGGATGGGCACCAGCGTTCCTCTTAAAACATCTCTAAAAGCCTAACTGCTGTTACCAACTTGCCTGCCAAGCGTGGCAACTACTGGCAAAACTCCCCTCTATGGGGAAGGCTTATGTCCAGCAGTGGTCAGCTAACTGCTGAAATAATAAAAGAACAATTATTAGGGGGCATAGTTCAACATGTGTTTATTAGATACACAGAGATATTGGTTATTTTGTAAGTAAACAGATATTCTATTGTGGTTCACACCAAAACAGTAATAACCTAAGCAAAAACAAAAGGATTTGAAAAGGAGCAGACATTAGATGATGTAATAAAACATTATTATAGTAATTCTTACTAATATTATAAATATGAAAGTAAGTTTGTTACCTTATAGTGCTTTAACGCCTTAATCAATCACTATAAAAATTGGTACCTTTTATCCAGGTCAGTAAACATATCCTGGCCACGCGGACGAAGTCGTAGGTAAAAGCTAGTTAAAAATAAAAATAATTTATTTAACTAAAATATACAGATGCATGTATCATTACATACTGATTCACAGTGTCTCTGGCCTCCATGCTAGGAAAATCCTGTGTTATGAATGTCAGACTACCGTACTTTACGTAATTAAATTGTTTATATAAATTTAAGAAATTACAAAAAAATATAGATTAAACTGCAAAGGATAAATACTGTTTAATAATATAGTATTGCCTACATAATGCATATAAAAGTTACAGGTATAGACTTACTCATTGATTGAAAAACAGTCGGTAAGCTTATCAATTGCATTGCAGGGCATAATGATAGGTAACGCATACGTGGAACCAGCGATGATAGCTCAGTTGGTGCGGCCGTTCTATTACTTCGGGCTTCTGGTGAATGAACAGCTGGACATTGTGAAACCACTTTTCGACGCTTTTCAAGAAGACATCGCGGCCAACAGGAGCATCGAAGCAAAGCAAGTGAGATAAGCTTAAAAATATATTTTATATATAGTAGGTTTTCTGAGGTATTTCCAATTTTATTAATAATAATGCTTTACAAATCGTACATCTGGTCACATATGAAGTATTGCTGTCACTTATGGGCAGGAGCACCTAGATATCAGCTTGAACCCTTCGACTCAGTGCAACGACGAGCTATGAGAATTATAGATGATCCCAGGTTTGCAAGCGGTATCGAACCCTTAAGTCTTAGGAGAGATTTTGCCATACTCTGCGTGTTCTACCGCTTATACAACGGATTGTGCTCAGAGGAATTATTCAATATGATGCCTACGGTCACTTTCTATCATCGTACGGCTCGCCATCGACAGGGAGTTCACACTCATACCTTACAGCCTAAATGGTCGCGTACAACGCGGTTTCAGAGACGTTTTCTCCCACGAACACTCAGGTTATGGAATGAGCTCCCTGCCGAGGTTTTCCCAAGAGACTACAGGATGGGGTTCTTCAAAAGGGGGGTAAAGAGGTTTCTTCAGGGTTGGCAACGCGCGCGTAATACCTCTGGTATTGCAGGCGTTCATAGGCGTTAGTGCAAGCGGGGTCACAATTCCATTATCACTCATTAAAAAAAAACTCATTGGTATCATTAATTTTTTTTTTATATTTGAGGGATAATTAAAGCATGATTTATTCTTCTAGAAATGGAACAGCCTTGTAACTGTTCTGCTGTACCTGTCACATCAAAAGCAAGCGTATAATTTCCTTCGTGACGACTTGCCAGTTGGCCAATACGCTAGTTTCCTGGTCAAATCCGAGGTAAAGCGGGCGCTGCACGTTGGAGATATTAGGTTCAGCTTTGTGAACCTTACAGTCAACTCAGAGCTGGCACCTGACTTCTTGAGTAGCGCCAGACCGATGCTGGAAACCTTGCTCAATCACTATAGGGTTCTGGCGTACTGGTGAGTTAATAAACTATTTTTTTTTCTTTTTTATAAACTTGGGAAATATAACAATGAGACAGTCTGCCTAAACCAAGGTCATCCTAGAGTAAATACATTGCAGTGATCATGGTACTTTTCACGTAATCTTTTTTGTCATTTTCGAGGACTAAGGTATTATACCTTAATATTTTCACTTCCACCATTCAAACCAATATACAGCCATTATACACAACTGCTTAACGGAACTTTATCGAGGTGGCTGAGATTTGTCTAAGTTGAAAAAGGCTTCAGGGTACAGGCCGTGGAATATCTAGATTGATCCATAAATCTTTTACTGCTTGAAAAAGAAGTTAAGGATTTTGGGATCATGCATATATGCATGAGACGACATTATAAAAGTTAATGAAGCCATATAGGTACGTAGGCTATATTTAAAAAAAAATTATAATAGAATGGTAACCTGCCCACGCCAACGGTATACGCTGGCGGGGGACCAGTGAAGAATGCTAGATGAGAATGACAAGGCAGGTCAGTTAGGCCATCGTGATGAATACACTTGGAATTCAGCACGATGGTTTCCAGGGGACCACGGGGAGGTTGATTTGTCAGGGTATATTGTCAGCAATGGGACTGATAATCCGCATCACGAACAATCCCTTCCCCCCGGTACGTAGGCTATTAGCATTTGGTTTTCTTTACCTACTTATTAAGAGAATGGCGTGAAGATAGTAAAATATATTTAATGTTTTAGTGGACATTTAGATCAGATGTTGCCATGTGTGTTCGCGTCCGAGATATACCGCACGTGGAAGTGGAATCGTTCAAACGAATTCCTCAACGCCACCAGAAGTGCATTCATATTTAATAAAAGGATAGCTGGGTAAGTTAATTGTTAGGAAAATTTATTTTGAAGCATAAATTACACATACATTTTACATTATAAACATATTGGTATACTTTATTTATCTTGTATACCTTTTTTACCTGTACCTTTCTGTACTAGATTACCCGCTAATTATTTTCTTTCTAACTGCATTGGGTTGGCTGAGAGATACTCTTTTAGAGATAAGCCCACCCTTGTTAACACGTTGTTAAACTAATTGCTGTATCTTTTGTTCAAGTGTAAGAAAAAATATATATATATATATATATATATATATATATATATATATATATATATATATATATATATATATATATATATATATATAATTAAATTAAATATATTAATGATTGACATTTTAGTAAATTAAACAAGAAAATTAGACAGATTTAGGGGCAATGTTTTTTATAAGACCGAAGTCACTTATTTAAAATGAAAGATAGATAATTTATTTGAAATCATTTATGATAGATACAAATAATAATCCAAACATACACATAATACACAGTAAAAGAACAAAAAGAAAAAAAAAAAACAAAAAGCACAATATATAAAACAACAATTTCCTTTTGCCCTTGTTTGCAAAAAGTTCTTTTGCCCAGCCTTAAAATTGGGTCTACTTATGGCCCTGAATCAGAAACATTGAAAAATATTTATTTGTTTTTGAAAATTAATACATAATTATGAAATTGCCATACTTCGTTATGAATGAAAAAACAAATATTTTGCTTGTATCGACAGTTCGTTATAAATGAAAAAATAAATATATTTTGCTTGCATCGTCAGTTACTTCAAAAGTGGCGGTGGTCTGACGGAGGCGATGATCCGCGGCGCCGGCCACATGGTGCCGCTGGACGCGCCTGCGCCCGCGCAGTCGCTCGTAGCGCGCTGGACGCGTAACGAGCTCACCGCTTTGTACGGCGACTACGACTATGTTGCCCGTCAATATGTGAAGAACTACTCGATTGTACATTACCTCTGATATGATGTATGCATTGTGTATTTATAGAACACTAATTGTTACTTGCGACTTCATCCACGTGACCGCAATAAAAAGTAGCCTATGCTCTTCTCCATCCCGTATGTATGTGTACCAAATTTTATAGTGATTTCATGGTGAAGCCGTTTAAACACTAAGAGGTAACAAGCAAACAAACTCACTTTCATATTTATAATTGGGGGTAGTTGCCAAGTTTGGCAGACAAGTTCGCAGTTACCCTTTGGTGATGTTTCAAGAGAGACGCTGCTTTCCATCCTTCGATTATTAAGTTCCCTTAGTCGTCTTTTATGAGACCCACAGGAAAGGAAGGTGTGACCTATTCTACGCCGGGACCATACGACGTAGAATGGGCCATAAAATAGTACTTTCGCGATATTAATAAATAAAAACAGAGATTTATAAAATGGCGCCTAAGAATCAACTCTAATATTATATCCTTAAGGTATACATATTATTTTTGCTTTACATTGATGATAAATAGAAATACTTAATACCACAACTTTTAGTTAGAATTAACCATTTAAGATTTGATTCTTAGCATTCATTACGAAAATTTAAAATTATATTATCAAAATAAGTATATTGAATAAAATTATTTTTTTAATTATTATAAATAATTCTTGATATTTAAGACATTACTATAATGAGCGATATTGTTTATCAATGTATAGAGCATTGTTCGATGCATGTTGTATGTAGAATTCAAAGGGCTCGGAATTTACGTTTGCGCTACCGAACGCAAGTGAATGAACGAGACAGCACACTTTACGCAACACATTATTTACTTCCGTACGGTTACTTGGTTATGGTTCAACGTATTTTAAAAATAGAATCGTTTAAACTGAAGATTTTTAAGTAGAGAAACCTATTTACGTGACGATATAAAGCATGTCAAGTTTTTTACGATTACTTTTCACAAAATAATAATAAACTTGTATTTTATATAATTGTTTTAAGCTATAAATTATTGAAATAATTTAATAATTGAGTTTTTAGTTATAATTTTATTTAATGTAAGTATCAATTAATAAATTTTCAACCGACTTCAAACAGAAGTAGGTACTTAATTTAGTTGTATTTTTTTTTTATTTATTACCTCATAACTTCATCACTTACAAACCGATTTGGTAAATTATTTATTTGAATAGATGCACTTACAGATTGGTCGCATAAGATTTTTATTCAAAATCGGTTCGGTAGGTTTAGTTTATATAAATCACCTCTTCTGAAGATGGAAAGAAGTGACGACGCTGAATAGTAACTAGAATTTAAATTCTTTATTTATTTATTTTTAAATTGAAACATTTCATGTGCGAGAAATGTTATTTATCAGTAAGTATTCAATATATTGAAACAGTTTCATTATTTAGCTGATCAAATTGCTATATTAATTCTATATACTGTAGTATAATGTATGAAAAATTATGATTACTATAGTAGTCGTGATTACTATACAGCGAAATCCATCTATATATTATAAATTTGAAATATTGTAGCCGGCAGTCGTGTGGAAGATCTTATAATGAAAATATTTTTTATATATCTTTCGATCCTTTTACTTATGGTATAATATAGTAAGTAAAATAGTGCCAGTATTTTGCTGAATATAAGACAATGGAACTTACGTACAAAAGATGCGAGGACATAACATTTTGGTGTTCATGAATGACAGTGTATGAGAGATACCATGGGCATCACAGTGATATCTATGACGCTGCTTATTTATTTATCCTTTAATGACCAATTTATAAAAACAATCTTTAAGCAGAAAGTGGACTTAATGCTACATAACATTCTCTCTCAGTCAACCTGTTCATGTATTTAAAACTGTTACCATTTTCCATTAAGTAGACTGTGAGTTTCTTTACTAAATTTCATAAAAAACAGGATTTTTTTTATTATTTTTTTATACAACTTAGAATGGCAAACAAGCTGACGGTTCACCTGATGGAAAGTGGTAACCGTCGCCTATAGACATGAGCAGTACCATAGACAACAGAGTATACTGTTTCGTCCATGATACCCCCTATGCGTTGCCATTCCTGAGGACTCAGGTGTTATTTCTCTGTACCCTGTAAATTCACGCCATATCCCACCCTTCAAACCGAAACACAGCCATGCAAACACAACTGCTTCATAAGAAAGGGTTCTGACTCATTTGCGTTACTTTGAAGTTGAAGTCGGTACCATAGGTGTATTAATGGGAGGGCTGGTGGGCCCTGCTCACCTCGGAATTGATTTGTATCTATCCTAGGATGTTAGTGGAGTTTTCAACTATGAGAGACCATTAGTAACTTTATATATCTTGATAGAATAATAAAACGAAATAAGTCTTTAGCCTTAGTTTATTAAATGACACTGAAATAAAATTAACAACTAATATGAAACTTTATTAAAAGTTATGAAGGATGTATTAAAATGTAGTAATGGTTTTTATCTATCAAAATAGTTTTTTAGTTCAACGAACCATCATTTACTCTGTTTAGCGTAACGGTTGGCTAGTAGAAAATGTCATCAAGCATCGAGTCCATCCTGTATACATATTTTTTTTTTCCAAAGTAGGTAATAAAAAAAAGACGGTAAAATGAAAGACGGCAAAATTAAGATCGTTAAATTGGGTGGCAAAATCTGGCACTGTGATCCTACATTCAATTTTTTCCTTATTTTCAGTAACTATTCTGTCGAGACTGCTACACAAACAAAAGAAAGTGATGGACTAGAGCGATTGTTCAATGATCAAATGTTTAGTTTCGACGATAGTGCAAGTGGTATGATGCCTAGTTTCGACAGAGACGTCACTAAACGAGTTTTAAACTCACTTCCGATTAAATTGAACTTGTCTTGTAACTTATTCCCACTCCTATGTTAATACTAACCTGTACCCTCGTTTTATTAAAATAAAGTTTAAAACAGAATATTGTGTATTCATATTTAAAAATTTGCGTTGATACTCACCTACTCGTATTGGATTGGGTGGGTGGGGGGGGATTATTAGTAATGGAGACTAAACATTTCATTGCTAGCAATATACCCAATCAGGTCGACCTCCACGTGGTTCCCCCTGGAAACCATCGTGGTTAATTCTCGTAGAATTCGTCACGATGGGACAACGGACTTCCCTTTTCATCCTCTATTATCCCCCACTGCGCTAATGGTATACGTCGGCGGGGTTACTATTTTATTATCATCTATTGAAAAAACCTCGTTTTTCAATAAAATTTGATTGAATAAAACTTTATATGAGACCTGTATACAAAGCAATATTCAGAGCGTAAAAATGCATTGTGCATATATTGAAAAAAGCTACTGGATGTCAAATTCCATATATATTAATTTCCTGTTATCTACATTGTTGCTTTTTTATAGGCTAGGTGTTATTCACACTTGACTTTGATTGAGTGAAAGTTTTTGTCCTAGAAGAATCTACATGTCATTAGCGTACAGTTCAAATTACGCGCGAAATGCATTACACCTTGCATTATGTATGTAGCTAATGCAAAGTAAATCATACAATAATGTGCTTATATTGCACTAAACTTATAAATGTAACATTTTTTTAGTGTATATAATAATAATTTATAGTTTAACCGATCAAACCCTCTTCACTGACCGAGCAGTGAGGACAACTGAGGGATATGTTTTTTTAAAAATAATTACAATGACGCAACCAATCGACTGAGTCAGAAGTAGCGTCGACTTGGCCAAGATCATGCATTCAACGCAATTCACTTTAGTATGCTCTGCGAACACAGTCTCGTATGGCGCGCGGCATGTGTTTACTATAATTTTAAATATTCTTAACACAATTTGCTAATGAATTTATAGCTTTCGGCAGAATTTCTCGTTGATTAAGTGACATTGTGAAGTAATTGAGTCGCTGTGTGTATGCAGAGTAAACATTTATATTAAATTTATCACGGAACTGATATATTAAGGCGTTTGTTTGTGTTACTATACCGGTAACTCCCTACCAAAGAAAATGGAGATATTTGGAACCGGATTTTTATTATGGTGTAGGTAGGTATACCATTTGTTTATGTTATTCTGTTCTTAATTCACTGAGCCCATTTTGATAATATTAAATATCTTCGATAATTTGTAGGGTATTTAATGTAGCATAATATGCTCAACTTCATTCATAGCTACAATAGTTTTATTAAAGGGAGAGAGGGGTTAGTAATGCGAACTACCAGCCTCATTGCTAGCAATTTACCGTATCAGGTCGACCTCCACGTGGTCTCCCCTGGCAACCATAGTGCTGAATTCCGGATGTATTCATCACGATGGGCTAACAGACCTGCCTTTTTATTCTAGCTTTTCATCCCTCACTGATGCCCCGGTAGTGTACACCGTTAGTGCAGGCAGGGCTACCATTCCATTATCGTCCATTTAAAAAACACTATAAGCGTTGACGGAGTTACCATTCCATTATCATCCATTAAAAAAATAGTTTCACTACCCCCCTTTTTGTGTTTAAACAAAATGTGTCAATATTAAAAAAAGGTATGCATATTTATAGGAAGCCATTAACAGTAAATTAACTAAAACTCATAATATCTGGCACAGTGACAATTTATCTGGTTTTACTAAGGTAAAAAGCTGAGTACGAGTAGTTTATACACACATAAGGTCAACTTGTAATATTTATGTTTATAAGTTATTATGTTTACAAGACTGTCTTCAAAGTTATTGTCAGTAGTAATATCTTATTGCACAATTTTATGCAAAGCTCACGTATTTTCAACACCTGGTTTGAATCAAGCGAAGTATCTGCTTTGCAACAGCCACGGAGACATTAAAGTCTCTGATTTTGGCGGTAAACCGATCTGATTTCAGCAACGGTATTGGCAAAAATAACCTTAATTTCCTACTCTGTGGTCTGAATTATTTCGATTAGTAGAAGGGCGATGCATTTACAGTCGCTTTCAGTTATACTTTCGGTACTTTATTTATTTATTTTATTTATTTATACATACACTAAACAAACTTTTCATTTAAATAATATCATTAAATTAGATTCATATATAGATATATAGTCATATACAGTTTCATATCGTCTGCGTCACGAGAGAGGCTTAGGGAGTTTTTCTTTGCTCCAGTTTCAATACCAGGGTAAAAGTGTTCGGGTCATTTCTTCAGTCCTTTGCTAATTATATTTCCAGGTTTACATCTTTTAATAAATAGTTTACAATAATTTATGTTACATATACATTAATAAACATACAAGAAGGAACAGTTGTTGCGTGGTTGTGTCATGCTATCATTTTAGCAGTACGGCTGCTTTATCACAAGGATCAAATGCTTTCGCGGAATTTTCAATGAAAGGGTTAACTTTGGTGCAAGATTCGTTAGTGTGTTACTTTTAATACACAATTAATGTTATATTAGAAATATAATCTTGAAATATCTAATAGTATAGTAGGAACAGTATTTTTCTTACGAACTTTGACTCAGAAGATCAACAGGTGGAAAAAATAGAATTTGCAAAAAGTAAAGGGCTTCAGTTTAAATGATTATCTTTAAGGTAATAAAGGTAAAATATGTAATATTACTCTACTCCATTCAAAGATTACCTGGAAGAGATCGCTCTTAGCAATAAGGCCGTCCATTGTTTTCTTAGTGTAATGTTTTCTTGTAATTGTTTGTATTTATAAGAAGTTTACTATTGTAATCTTATGGAGGAAACAATAAAGAGTATCTAGTTATCTATCTATGTGCAACTCGTGGCAATGTATCCCTATGAGATATTTTCTTTTATAGGTAGTAGATAGGTATTTGTTTTTATATATTAATTCGTGTGGAAATATCAAAAATGTCTTAAGAAATACAAGTACTTAAAACTGATGTTTTTTAAAGTAAAACCAAGCTAGAAAAAAAATTCTTAATGTGATGTTTATATCGGTCTTTTATTGATCTCCCGTTCGTAAGTAGACAATACGCCTAGGAAAAGGACTGGACGACTGAACATCCTTCTAGTAAGAGTACTCTATTCTCAGCGTTTCGGCATTTTTCTATCAATTTAAATTCCAATTTAGAATTTTTCGGGAGATCTGTCTACAATTTCTTTGACGTTTCTTGTATGTTAAAAACAAACTGCCAGAAGTATTTTCCTGTTCTCACATTCCTGTTTACTTTAAATAAGTTAAGGTTACTTACATAGTGACTCAGACTGACAGCTGCATGAGTATGTACAACACCTGGTAGTTATCAAGGTATTCTCGAAACTGGTGGACAGTTTATGTGTGGAACGTAGTATTAATTAATGATATAGATATAAAATTATAGTACAACCAAGATATTTTTATATTATTCGAAAAATATAATAAATAAGACCTCATCGCTATACGCTTTGATGCAACCGATTGCTGATCTCTGATCATGCTGATAACAATATGTAAATTGTTACCCCATCAATAGCAGATAACAATTGAAGGAAAATAATCACACCAATCATCTTTTAGAAACTATCGTCGTCAAGATAAATGATATTGAAGGTTCCAATGAGGTATCTGTGTGCATATTTACTTAGTGATGTATTTATTATATAAAAATAAAACTACAACGTCAATCGTTTTTAGATAAAAAGTATAGTTACGCCACTGCATGTGTACATATGTATATATGTACATATTTGCAATAGTTACCACTTTTAATCAGATAGGCCGTTAGCTCGTTTACCATTTCAATTTGTATAAAAAACTAAACCGTCTTTCAAGAAAAACGTTCTTGCTCACTTTTTTACTTTATCTGAGCAGATTTCGTGTATAAAATAGTATATGCCATATATGTGTAAGTATATTTGTATTCATATATATTTATTCGTTTATATATGTAATTTTAGTATGTATCCATATCAATAATTACTAGTACCGCATTCGAGTATTCTGACACTTCCCTATGGTTGACTGGGAGAGAATGCTTTTAGCATTAAGTCCGCCATGTACACATATTTGTACTAATGAATAAATAAATAAATATGATTAAGAAATTTAATAAAAATGTCGAAAATCAAATAAAAGGCTTGGCGTAATTAAGAGCTATAAATTACATATACTGATTGAATACTGCCTGTTAGGCGCTAATACTCGTAGAAACCTCTTCTTTTCTTATATGCGATGAATTCAAAGAGTTATTTAGCGAAGTGTATAAATAGCTAGCATTGAGTGAACTATATTTGTATGTACTTTAGGTTATCGGGAACGTCAGATTGATAACACCAAGAATACATCAATATAGTTGTATTTCAAAATAGTTGATGCATTGTAATGAGATTATTACATATTGCATTACAGCTGATAAATTGGATAGGTATTTATATCAAGAAATTATTTCTTCTAATTTCTATAATTTTTTTTGTAATTTTTATGTAAAAAATGTAATTAAATAGTCATTCCGTTGAGTGACTAATTATGTTTGCTTTGTTTTATTTTATATATTTATTTGCACTTTATTGCACTATTTAGAAAACAATAAATACAGTACATTTCAATGATAAATGATACAAAAGGCGGCCTTATCGCTAAGCAATTTCTTCCAGACAACCTTTGGGTAGAGCACGTCAAAAAACGAAAGGGTAGTGGCGTACACTTATATAGATACTAATATATACAAACTTATATATACATATAAACAAAAAGATACATAGACGTTAACATATTTAATAGCACACAAACAACAGGAGAGAATGATGGAGTAAGATGAAGAAAGAACTCAGGAAAATAGTATTTTAATATATTTTTATTTTCTTAATAATTTATTGAACGATATAAAATTATTTAATTATATTACTTGTTATCGCCTTCATTTACGAGTATTAATAGAAATATTATATGTAATCGAAATTGTTAACGGTACGTTACTAAGGTTTTACTTATGCTATAGAATACAATAGATTTTTTTACACCATTGAAGTGACAAATAAGCATACGGCCCACTTGATTGTAAGGTTACCATAACCTATGAACGCATTACGTGTAGTACCCCTGACTACGCGCGTGTTGCCGACACCTATTTACTTTTTTTTTAAAGAACCCTATACTGTAATCTCCTGGCAAATTCTCGAGAGGGAGCTCATTTCATAACCTGATTGTTCGTGGGAGGAAACATCTCTGAAATTGTGCTGTAACCATCCAGGCTCTGAGGTATGGGGGTGAACTCCTTGTCGATAGCGAGCTGTACGATAGTAGAAAATAACCTTGAGCATTATACTGAACAATTCCTCTGAGCACAATCCGTTGTAAAAACGGTAGAACACGCAGAGTGAGCCGAAATTTCACCTTAGACTTAAAGGTTCGATACCGCTTGTAAGCCTGGGATCGTTTATAATTCTCATAGCTCGTCATTGCATTTAGTTGAAAGGTTCAAGCTGGCATCTAGGTGCTCCCGTCCATAAGTGACAGCAATACTCTATGTGGGGCCGGATTTGCGTTTTACAGAGTATTAGTTGTTGATCCGGCGTGAGGTATTGCTTCGCTCTATTAAGCACACCGAGTTTGAATGCCAGCTTCCCACGGAACTGTACGTCACTAGAGATGTCGACACCTAGGATCCCAATGCTTTGGATAGAAATTTTATGAATCAATGATTAAAAAATTACAAAACATTTCATTCTGTATTAGTAGTTACATCAATCTACGAGTACACATATAATATTAAAGCTAAAAAACATAATTATTTTAAAAATCTAATTTCTATTTTATTCACTTTTTTTTTTTTTTTTTTTTTTTTTTTATTAAAGTTAACAAACAGTAATACAATATATAATTATAATAAGATTACATTTAAATGTGATTAATAGTACTACCAACAACGTTAACTACAGATTGCTATATAAAGAAAGAAAGTATATAAACATGCAATTATTGCCGAGAAGTGGAGCTGACACAACCACGTCACCGGTACAAATTATGCAAACAACCAACAAAAAAAAAAAAAAGTTATTTAACTATACACATGTATTTTATAATTTATTAATTATGTGCACGCATTACTAAATTCCTGAGAGAGGGAGGAGGTTACTAATTGTTTAGCTACCATTTTTTTGAAAGTTAATGGTTTAGTAGCAAATATATCAATATTATAAAATTTGTCATTATATATTTTCAAAATTTATTTATGGGTGAACGAATACCGGAATTGGTACGGTATCTGTTAATTGCAAACAATTCTTGTCTTCGTGAATTTCTCATTTGTGTACGCACTGGAACTTTATAATTTATCTGATTTGTTAATGAAATACAGTCATATTTACCCTGAATAATATCATACAGAATCATAATCTCTAGTTGTATGCGCCTTGATTTTAAGTCTTGCAAATTATATTTATACAATAATTGGTCATATGAACGACGGTTATGAGAAAATTTATATTGTAAACGTCGCAAAAATTTTTTCTGTACCATTTCAATTTTATCACAGTAAAACTTATAAATAGGATTCCATATAGTTACAGCATATTCCAATTGAGATCGAATAAGGTTTTTATATAAATATAAATAAGTAGTGGGTTTCTTAAAGTTATTCGTACATCTCATTACAAAACCATACATTCTGTATGCCTTAGCAACAATATTATCAATATGTGTATCAAGCACAAGTCTAGTATCCAATGTAAGACCTAAATCTTTAATTGTTTGTACATTATCAAGGACACAATTGCATAATGTATATGAAAAATTACTAATATTTCGTTTCCTTGTGAAGGTTATAGTTTTGCATTTATGCAAACTGAGAGTTAATTTATTAATTTTACAGTATGCAGTGAAACGGTTTAAATCTTCTTGAAAAAGTATATGATCGTTAGGAGTGTCGATTATATGATAAATTTTAAGATCGTCTGCATATAATAAAATTTTACAAAAATTAAAACATGTGTAAATATCATTTATAAATATAATAAATAGTAGGGGCCCTAGAATTGATCCTTGCGGCACTCCTGAACTTATAGGTACATTATTAGATTCATATCCATTAATAATAACTTTCTGGGTTCTGTTTGTGATATATGATTTAAACCATCGCCAAAGATTGCCTCGTATACCGTTATACGCAATTTTTTCTAAAAGACGTTTATGATCTATTGTATCAAAAGCTTTCCGGAAATCTGTATATACACTGTCTGTCTGTTTGTTTTTGTCTAGTGTGTCAAATAGATAACTCGTATATAATAGTAAGTTTGTACTTGTAGAACGACGTTCTACAAAACCATGTTGCTGGGGAATAATATTATTATGTATGATCGGATAGATAATATTATGAACTAGTCTCTCAAGAAGTTTTGATAGAGCCGGCAAGATTGAAATTGGGCGATAATTTTCAATATTTCTTTTACAACCACCCTTATGAATTGGCACTACACGTGCTGACTTCCAAATAGTTGGGCATACACCTTCGTGTAGACATTTATTAAATAGATAATGTAAGGGCTTGCATATAGTACTAGCAGTAAATTTTAAAAAAATTGCTGGAATATTATCAGTGCCAGTACCCTTCGATGCATCAAGCAATTTAAGTTCTTTGGAAATCTGTCCATATGTAAATGTTATATTGTGTATTAATGTATCATTACTATAATTAGATTCGAAATTAACATTGTCCATATTAAAATCTTCTGTAACAGATGAAGGTTCAAAGACGGAATGAAAAAAATCTGAAAATAAGCTACATACTTCATGTGGCTCATCAGTTACTTTATTTTTATAGTAAACCGAGTTAGGAATGTCATCAATATTTTTATGATTAGAAACAAATGTCCAAAAAAATTTTATATTATCCTTAATACTACTTTCTACCCTACAAATATACTCTCTATGACATTTTTGTGATTCCTTTTTAAAACGTTCTCTATATAAAGAAAAAATTTCATAGTCTGACCTATTTCCATACTTCTTCCATCTAATCCACGCCTGATTTTTATTTTTGAAAATATGTATTAAAGAAGATGTAAACCAAGGCGGAAAGCGAGACGATTTTGTGAATTTAACTGGAACATGTTTTTTTATTAACCCATAAATAACTTCATAAAAACTATTAACGGCAGATTCAGCCGATTTATCTTTAAATAAATCATCCCAATCTACTTTAGACAATTCTTCATTTATTAATGAATAATTAGCGCCTTTAAAGAAATAATAAGTTTTAATTTTAGAAGGTATACACTTTAAATTAAAGTTGACAGGGACAAGAAAGTAAAAAGGTGGATGGTATTCGTCTACCGGAATAAGAGAGACTGGCGCAGGCAACAATTTACAGTCTACTATATTAGTTAAAACAAGGTCTAATAACTTGTTATTTTTATTTCTTACAGTGTTCAACTGAATACAGTTCATTTCAGTACTAAAGGATGCCAGTTTTTTGTCTATTAAAGTAGATCTACTTGTAAGAACTGGTTGTAGATGTAGTCCATTAGAATGCCAGTCAAGTGTAGATGAATTGTAATCACCAACTATGCAGTATGTTTGGATGTTACGTTCATATACTATATGTTCAATGTATTCTGTGTATGAGGAGTATATATCTACATGCTGATTTGGTGGAATGTAAACAGCGCTCAGTAGGCTAGTAATACCGCCGCATAAGCGTATCTCCAACAACACGAAGTCAATAATAGGTGCTGGCGATGGGCATACGGCAACCGGGAGCGGTAAGCAGGGTAGCACGGCGAGCCCACGCAGCACTGCTACGAGCACCCCACCGCCGTCTTTTCGCCCCGTTGATATTCGATCCCTATCACAACGGTATAAACAATAGCGGCTATCAATAAATTCACTATCGAGAATGTCAGCATGTAGCCAGGTTTCAGTCAATATTATAATATCGTAATTATGCAATAAAATATTCATGTGTAACGTGTGCAATTTAGTCCTTAAGCCTCGACAATTTTGATAATAAATAGACAAACAATTATTCATATATTTTCCTTTAAACGATAAAAAAAGGTATATATCTATCTATATATATATTACTATTATTTATTTTCGAATAATATATATACTTTAGAGTACCTGATACACACATTAAATTATAATAGGCGTAAGTATAAAAATTGGCAAAAATGACAATGCAGCTGGTAAAAGATTTCTTAATGATAATATAATTTATACTATGTTTATATATTAAATTTATATAACGAACACCATTGACTGTATTAATGATACATTCAAAGGTATTATTTAATTTTGACCACATCATGTAACGTACGGATTGCCAAGACAGGTGAGTTGTCACTCTTACGTAATAAAATAACACTATTTTTAACCCACACGTATTTATAGTTTTGAATTTTTGCCTTTTGACGACATTCACGAAACAATAATTTATTTTTCACTGTTAAATGTTCATTTACATAGATTTTGTGTATTGAACCAGACACCGATAGCTGTTCAGAGTTGAGTCCTTTTTTGAGACGGCATGCAGCAAGTACATTATCACGCAAAATTTTTGTGGTGAATTTCACTATAATATTTTTGGGACGGGTATCCTCCCGTGAGGCGTGGGGCACTCGATGTATAGATACGATGTCACTTGATAATATTTTTTGATTTATTGCGGCACCAAGATTAGTTGTGATTGCCAAAAGATTTTCGTTACGCCGTTCTGGTACGTTGGATATTTCTATGTTGCATTCTCTCGCCTGTTGTTCCATGTGACCAATTTTAAATTCTAATGTTTTTATTAATTCCGGTAACTCATTCAGGGGCTTACTATTATGCTCGAGGGTACATATGCGTTGCTCACATATATTCTGTTGCTGATCTATTACACTCAATGAGGTCTCCACAGCCGAAAGACGGTTAATAAAATTATTTATTGATTCTCTAATACCGACATTGTCGGCTTGGAGTCGAAGTATTGACGTATTAATTTCCGACAAAGCGGTAGATATTTTCACAAGTTCATCCGACAAACACGATTTCACTGCAGTCGATATTACGTCCACAATACTTTCATCAATTTTCTTATTCCAAATACATAACTGGTCGCTAAATTTTTTTTCGAGCTCACGGAACATGTCGGTAGTTTCGTTTTCTGGTTGTTTTCGCTTTCGCAGATTTATATAAGTATTGTCCGTCACTGATAACGATGATGTAGCAATATCAGGACTTGAGGAAAACTGGGGTGGTGTGCGTTGTAAAGACATAATGTTAAAAATTATAACACTAATATGTAGTAGTATTCACGTATTATAAACAACAAACAACACGTCCACTCCAAGCAAATGCACGTCGCGAATGAACTTCTTTTAAAATTATATGTTTCAGTGTGGCAGTAAATGCAGTGGTTGTGGCTACAGCATCTCCTGCTCTAATACTCACTCCTTACATCAAGAAAAATGAAACGGAAAAAGCTAGAAACCTGTCGTCAGTTGACAAGGGTCAGTTCCTTAATGTGGTCAGTTATTCTGGTTACATAACGGTAGACGAGCGGTATAACTCCAACTTATTTTTCTGGTATTTCCCTGTACCTGATCAAAATGTGACGGAAACTCCATGGATCATATGGTTGCAAGGGGGTCCGGGGGTCACTAGCCTGGCGGGACTATTTGAAGAGATTGGACCATTTGAATACGAAACGAAATTAAAGTGTAAGTAAAACTCTTTCTTAAACTTAACTAAATTGGAGGTAAAGGGATTGTTATTAATAAGGTCTGATCCATTGCTAACAATACACTCTATCAGATCGAACTCCACACGGTTCCCTCTAAAAACCATCGTGGTTAATTTTAGTGGAATTCGTCATGACGGGCTAACTGACCTGCTTTCATGGTCACCTATTATCTCTCACTGGTGCCCCGCCAGTGTATACCGATAGCGCAGGCGGGGTTACCATTCCATTATTACCCATTAAAAAAAACCTAAGTTTCGTTGAAAAAGTGTTAACGCACCAAAAATTAAACGTTTACAAAAAACACAATTAGTGTTGATATAGATAACATTTACATACACTACAATTGGTAAATTAAAATTGTCAAAATATGAAAAAATGTTTCTTTTGTGCGCATGTTAAGTTATATCTTCATCAATTCTGCTTACCTACCTACAATCGGTATACTTCTGTATCAGTCTTACATTAATTTCATAGTGATTAAAGTAGGCAGTTGTTTTATTCGTGGAATTATTTACAAAATTATAGATTATAATATTAGACTACAATAAAATACGAGTGATATTGCGGAGAATAATTTAAGCCACGTTCATCATGAATTATTTCTTTTAATAATAAAATAGTATTTTATTTCGTAGCAATAACAATAAAAACAGAAAAAGAAGTATGTCGAGTTGTAGAGATTTGTGAAAATATACTTAATTGAATATCCATACAGGTGTATAATTTCAGTGCGGAATACATCGTGGGGAAAAGGTCATTCTCTTCTGTTCATCGATAATCCTGTTGGGACTGGGTTCAGCTTTACCGACAGTGACAAGGGATTCATACAAAATATGGATGAGGTGCACCATTTTTATTATACTTTTACATTTATTTTAAATCTTTTAAATATCTATGTAGTAGCATAATATATGTATTTTCTTTATACATATTAGAATGGCAACGGTCCACCAGATGGACAGTGGTAAGCGTCCCCTATATACATGAGCAGTATCATGGATAATAATAATACCCTCCATACGTTGCCATTTCTTAGGACTAAGGTGTTAGGCCTCTGTATCCTGTAAATTCACTGCCATATCCCACCCTTCAAACTGAAACAATTAAACTCTTTATCTATTTGAGGGTCAGCATAATGTTTTCTTTTACCATATCTCATTATTCATTCCTAGTCACGTCATTTTTCACACGATTTTTTTCACATTTTTTCTCTTTTTTTTTTCCACACATACAACCATCCATGTTTATACGTAATACCTCTTTTTTCCATATTATCTTCCTTCCTGCCCAAAATATATATTGTTTCTTAAAATACCCTAGCATACAAATACAGCCGAATTTAGAACTTTCTGCGGTTTGAAAATTCTTCCTGTTTTATCGACAAGAAAATGTCTCTATACATCATTCAAAATGTTAAAATAATCCTAAAGAATAATAGATTCGTCGCATAATACCAATTGCATCTCAAACTATGTGCATTTTGTACATTAACGCCTGCATTTCAACTCGTATATCAATGTACTCGAGATTTGTGTAATCATGAATGAATTATGTATTAGGTAAGATTATGTTTAAACATGTGATTACTTATGTATGAACCACAGAACGATTCATAATAGGATTTACTTACTTTGCTTTCCTAACTTGCTGAATTGAACAGGCATTTAGCACTGAAAATTTAATATTAACAGGCTAGTGCATTTAAATCGGTGGATTATACAAAGTAAATCCTATTATGAATCCCGAAGAAAGGGTCTTGTCTCACCATCTGTTCTAAGATACTGACATCCCTACAGTCCAATTTTCTGGCTGGTTCCTTCTCGGCAAAGAATTAAAGGTTATTTTATTTACTACTAAACTTTTTATTAAATAGTACGAGACCGTATATTGAAAAGGGGTCACGAATAAACGCATTTCTCTTCGATTCTTTTTTTGAAACATAGGTATTTATTTCTTTTCTAATTTATTGAATATTCTATCTTTCTAGTGTTCGGAGCATTTATACAATTTTCTGCAACAATTCATGACCATATTTCCGGAGCTACGTAAGGCGCCGCTGTATATTGCAGGCGAATCATATGCCGGCCGCTACGTTCCTGCATTCGCCTATAAAATATTACAAATGAAAAAAATGCAGCGAGATGATCCCATTAATCTACAGGTACCTTGTTAACTCTTTATTATTTAAAAAACCTCTTATCATAATTTAAATGCAATAAAACTTTATTTAAATTTCTATATATTTGTAGTATGACTATGTGGACTTTGAATTGAGGATCTAAATGAATGAAGACATCTATTGAGTTTCAATAAAATACACTATAATTAAAAATTGTGTCCCATTTTTAATTATAGTGTAATCATTTGTATTTTTAAAAGCATATATATGGAGACACTCTATCTATATAATCGTAGATTTACGTAAAGTTTAACTGATTTCAGGGCTTGATGTTAGGTAATCCAGTTTTCAACCGCAAAGAAATAGTGGATTACACGAGAATTTATTATCAATGGGGTTTGATCGATTCTCAAGGTGTTTTAGCGGTGAAATCTTTACAAGACGCTTATGTACAAGCTATAAATGCGAACGATTATATTTTAGCAAACCATGTGAGTATAATTTAAGTACAATAAAGGTGTTGAATGTTGGGTAATACAAATCTGAGAAACGTTATATTAGTAAAATCCTATTGTCACGCAATCACTAATTGACTATTGGAAAAGCAATCTCAGACTATGGGAAATCCTGTCCTCTGGGAAATCATAAATTAAACATTTCAGTGGGACAACAACATAGTCTAAAATAGCTCAGACTCAAACAATTTTAGAGAAGTTAGTTTTGTATCTGTATAGATTCAAACAAAAATTGGATCCGGGACTTGTATGCAAAGGTAAATAGTTATTTAAATGTCAAAGTGTTACCCCTAACATTCTATTTTTAATTATTTTGTAATTAAATAATTTTGTGGTTTAGTCTACATATTACTTATAAAATATATATTAAATGTTACATTTATTATTTTAGTTACGCAATCAGTTGTTAGACAAATTAGACGAAATGGCGATGCTTCAACAAAGTTACAATATTTTGAAAGACAATATAAATGTTAGTGGATTTATGTCTTTCGTTGACCAAGATGAAATAAAAGAAGCCATACACGTTGGGGACATTGTATACGAATTTGCGAATGGCACTGTTCATCAAAAATTAATACCAGATTTCTTGAAGGACAGTACGCCAAAAATTCAGGCTCTCTTGGAAAATTACAGGATACTAATATATTGGTATGTTAAACTGTTTTAGTAATGTAGTAATTAATAATTAATTAATAATCAAGGTCCGTTATGCGGTTACAATGGAATTTTGCAAACGATGTAGATTAATTTCTAAAAACACAGTCAAAGTTTAAAAGACGAGACGTGATTGATTACAACTAATTGTTGTTAAAAATAATCAATTGTAAAATTAAGCTTTATATATTTGAAATGTACAATAATATTAAATGTATACATTTTCAGTGGTCAGTTGGATCTGGTTGCACCATGTGTATTAAGTGCAGAAGGACGCCGCCGCTCATGGTACTGGAGTCAACGCGAGAATTTCTTAACAGCGACGAGGATTCCGTGGCGGTACAACGACAGCGTGGCCGGGTAAGACCCATAATTATATATGCAGGTTGATGACCGAAGACGATAATATGTTATTTTATTATCACCGTCAGTATTTGATATTAAAGAATACGGTCTACACAGATAACTTAAATTGTAAATATTTGAAGAAGTGAGAAGGGAAGGGAAGTTCAGCTAGCAGGTTTATATCTCTTTGAGGTTACACAAAGATATGTGCAAACTCTTAACTTATTCGTATATCTAGTAACTCATTTTTTTTAGTATAGTCTTTTCTTAGTGTTGTTTGTTTCAATAAAACTTAACAAAATAGCAACAAAATTTTGTTCACTTAGAGAGTTGTTGAAGTAGTGTGTAGAAGTTGAAAGAAGAGAGTGTTGTGTGAATTATCACACAAACACTCTCTAAGTAAAACTAGATTATGATTTAACAGAATTCTAATTTTAAATTTTTACTTCTATTGAACATCAGCACACTGTCTTACGGTTGAATGAATTATTGGTTTACTTTCATTTCCTTTTGAAACAGTTTATATCTCTGGGACTATTTTAATATAATTCCATTAACATTTGTTATTTAAGTATATCATCATCATCATATCAGCGGTTAACTGTTCGCTGCTAAACATAGGCTTCTCCCTATGGGGGGTTTTGCCAGTGATGTTTTAAAAAGGGTGCCGCTGCCCATCCCACGACCATTAAGTTTCCTTAGCCGCCTCTTACAATACCCACGGGGAAGGAAGGATGGAATGATGAAATGAGATGATGATGAAAAAAGAAAAATGAAAGAAAGAGGAAACACGCGGCATTTAAGTATATGGTATTCTTTTCTTACTTACTTTCTTACTTTTTATATAGATACGTTAAGAGTGGCGGCCGGTTGACTGAAGTCCTAGTACGCGGCGCAGGGCATCTAGTTCCAATCGACAAACCAGAACAGGCGCAGAAACTGATTTCTTACTTCATCAGGGACCTCCCTTTCCGTAAGCCTCAAAATTTCCATGTCCAGGATTCGTCAAACGGAACAATAGAAAACGTTGTAGAGTTACCAGAAAATGGTAAAGTTACATATTATTATAGTGCTGCGGGTTTAATCGCCAGTGTTATTATAAATGTGATCTTTGTATTTGTAATTGTTGGGGGCGTGCTGTATTATTTGAGATATAAGAGACGTAGTACAACATACTTCTATGAGGTGGCCGATGAAGATTCCTCTATTACTGATGGAATATTGACCATGACGTAGTACTTATATAATTGATCATGTAATGAGAAAAATATAAATACATACACATACCAAAAAATTACAAAATCAACAGTGATAAATGACTAAAAAGAGAAAGAGTGATAATTAAATATATTGATAAAGGTGTTCTGATACTTCAGAATTTGAAGTAATAATTTTTACTATCAATTAATTAAAATACCTAGTCATTGGACGTCATGGTCCATAATTTTTGTAATGTATAAGGTTATTCGGTAATATTAAGTGTAAAAAATAAAAAAAAAAAAACAAACATCTGGACAATAATAAAATTGGTGCGCCGGAAAATAAAAAAAAAAAACTTATTTTTTCAAGACAGTTATACAAGATCTTTTTATAAAGTGGAACTAGATGTTTCAATGTTAACTTCGTACATGGGCACAAGGAAAGCTCTAGAGGACGGATGGATGTGAAATGAGATAATTATGAATGTATGTGATATAACACGTGAAAAATTAATGCTTCTTCTTTTTTTTTTTTAATAAATTAAAATTTATTTTGATTTAAAAATTTTAGAATGTCAACTTGACCAACGTTGTAAAAAACAAAAAATTCATTACTAAGTACAGTCCAGACAGGCATTATATTTATATACAAAAATAATCATTGTAGATAATCTAATTATTGAAATATTCATTTTGTATATTATTTTATAAGAATATCCAAGGAAGATATTATATATATATATATATATATATATATATATATATATACATCTGTAATGGCAGACTGGACATTAGAACTTACATCTTTAACAGCGAGAAAGGGTGGGACCTAACATTTATTGTTTTGATGGAAACTCACTTTTTTTTGTGCTTTTACTGTATTTTTGCAATACAAATTTTAATATGTATAGGCACTTAGTTTTAGTTTATTATTACTTGTTTTTTCTAATAATTAGTTGTATTATTACAATGAAAATAAATCTTGGATTTGCCAGAAATATAATAAATCAAACAGTGATTACATAATATCGAAATAACAAAACCAGTTGCAAATATTTTTTTATTTAGAAAAAATATCTTGTAATTTTGTAAACAAATAAAATTAATAATCAATTAATTTTACTTACAATAAAGACAGATTCAGGATGTGAAAATGTACAGTTTGTTGCTTTTGGCAAAGAGTTTCTAGTTACCTTCAGTAGTGCTTGCTCGATTGTTAAACTTGATGTTACAGTAGCATTGTACGAGAGACACAATTTTATATATTGTTATATTATTGTAAGTCAATCGAAAATATTTTATATTTAATAAAAATAATAATTTCTTATTGTTTTTTTTTTTTTAATTTATTTAGCTCAATTTACAATACATATTCGTCATGGCTTCTTTGTTCCATTAAAGGCTACTACATTTTTTATGACAACATGAGAAACCTTATACAATTTACTTAAATAATTATTATATTCGTCTAGTAAAAATGAATACTTTAATATTATCATTAGTCTATAAAATAGATAGCCATGTTGCGTGTTGTCTCATATATATACGCGCCAAGGAGGTGGCATATGACAAAAGAATTATAAAACCTTAGCAGGGATGGCAATACGTAATATCATGAACCGCACCAAGAACAAGGAATGCACAGCATATTTGTATGCGATGGTTACCACTTTTAACAGGTTATCAGATTGTCATTATAAATCGCATAAACAAAAACACAATAGGTTCGATTCTGTGGCACCATTTCATCTTTCAAATTTTAACTTAACATCACAGCGTCATAATAAGTTTAAGGATCAATATAAAATAAATATCTATTAGGTTTAAGTCAAAATTATCATAAATTTAGTTTATGATGGTCTATAAAATAAACATTTCGTGGAATTATCAATTTCAAATATTAGATTAAGAGCTAAGTTAGAGAAAAGGTGCTTCAGAATCGATCTTAATAAATATAAATTCATTTAATGTATATAAATTACGATTTCCCGTAAATTCCTTATAAAATGTGTCATTAATATTATTATAAAATAAAAATTGGACATTTAAATTGTGTATTAGTCAATATCTATCCATGATGAATTTTAGCACCTCAGGTTGCTCAAAGGCACCATGTGGTCAATTCCTCATATCAGTATTTCCATGAAGTTACCGCCGTACTTCTTGTATCTAAAACATTAGAAGCCTTTTATTTTTTAAAAGAATTACATGTTTATAATAATAATAATAATTCACGTGTTCTCATGACTCGAAGTGAATTTTGGTTTAAAAAAAATATTAAATATTCATTTTGCGGGTAAACATGGTAATTACATTGGTATTGTCATCGAAGGACAAGCGTGTTACGCCAGATGCTGGCAGGCAAAATATTTATAATTAATAATAAAGATTAAAAAAAAAATTAAGAATTTAAAAATTATTAATCTACTATAGTCATTCATATAAGTCAATAATATATACAATTAATAATGTCTAAATGTTATTTTTCAGTATTCTGTATCATTTATTAGGAAGTCAATTAAAAGTTATTTTGTTTCATTCCGCTACCATTAATATGCGTGCAACTACCAACATCTGATACTGAGTACTGGAAACTATTAATAGAGGCCCTGTGACCTCTCCTATTAATCATCAATTTCTAACAATTACATCGTGTATAGCAGTGAAAGTTATGGCGCAATATGGATATAGACTTGTTTGGTTATGGGCATATCGAGAATTACGAGTAGATACGTTCACCATAATGACAACAGTCTACACATATAATAGCCAGAGGCATTTGCAGAGACAGAGCCAGCCAGCCTTTACTTGGGTATTTGCGCAGTTGCTTCCTTGGTGTTCTCCTGTATTCCTTCTAACGGGATCAGTTCAGTTACTCATACATATGTTTCGACAAGCTATACGGCAAAATCCAATCTAGCTGATCACTAAAAAATTAAATAATAATATCATATTTATCATCACCCTGCTCTTATCCCAGTCATTTGAGGACGTCAATATGTTTTTCTCTTCTACTTATTTATCTTTATTTTAGTAATTTAAGCATTATTCCCTTTTGGAATTAGGTATATTATTCTACACACAGTTCATTCCAGAGAATGCCTTTAATATTGTTTCAAATATGTAAGAAATATGAAATTTTGTTAGAATAAAATGTACTTATCCCATGGTTGTGTAAGTAAATTTCCTTGAAATACGTTTAGCTGGATATATTATAATGTAACAAACACGTGAATATTTTCTTAAATTGTCACATTTTGTAATCTTCACGTTAAATTTCGAGGTAGTCTAGACAGTTTATTTAATACTATGTTTACAAAGCACAGTATGTATATAATTTCATAAGGCACTTACTGTGTTTTTTTATTGAAATAAAAAAATAATGTTTAGTTTAGAATAAAACATAAGCTATATTTATTCCTATCATTCAATTAATTATCCTATCATTTAATGTACAAATTACGTGGGAGAAATGCCGGGATAAGAGAATTCAGGCAATAGGGAACACAATCTAAAACTGAAATACATTTGGTTTGAACTTATTTTTTACTTTTTTTTAAACTATAGTAAAAGGTTATAACTTTTTAAATCTATATAAGTACTTAGCATCTGCACGCAAAATAGCGCGCGCCCAATTTTGCGTACAGATGCTAAGCAGAGTTGCCAGATGTGGAATTTAACTTTTACCAATACATAAAATATTTTTTCTCCAAATATATGCGATTTTTAGGATTTTTACCCAATCAAAAAGTTGTATCGTTTTCACTATATTTTGGCATGTCATACAAATTAAACGACGAAACAAAACAAAAATAAAGGTCATTCTTTCTGTTTCTACTTTTCCTTCTTCTTTTTCTGTTATATACCTTCAGTCATATATTTTATTATAACTATGAACGAATAAATGAATGGTTTATTTTCTTTTTACAAAAGGTAGTAAAAACAACTTGAGGTGCAATTAAATATGTGAATTATCTCCCTTATGTAACTGTACAGAGTTTACAAAAACTAAAACTATTACTCAGAATTTACACTTTTCTTCAAAAATTTCTCTAATAATTTAATTTCTTCAAAATTTTGCTAATAGAACATTTTTTACAGCAATATGCAAAAAAATACCTAGTCAATTGCACCATTCTTATATACAGTGATTACTCAGAATTTCAATAAAATAGTTTAACATTAAAATTATTTATACAACATAAAAATATTTTTATGTTAACTAAGCCAAACAAAAAGTATTCGTACATTCATGCTTTTTTAAATGAAATCATAAATCATTTATTCAATCGAATAATTTCATTTTTTAATACAGATATTAACGTTTTAGTTGCACTCGTGACAAGTATTAAAAAAATGGGTCGTATTTTTTAATTTGCATAATCAGCAATCATGCGTTCAAAAAAATAATTGATCGTTTTCTATTACTAAAACACTAAAAAACAAACCCAGGCGTCCATCAAAAATCACACCTCGATTGGATCGGAAAATTTTAAATTGTGTAAAAAAAAAATCCAAAAATTAGTGCCATTTAATAATATCAATGATTGCCATATTTCTGTCAGTACCGTTCGGAACGTATTACGTAGTAACGATTATCATGGAAGAACTGCGCGTAAAAAGTATTGTATAAATGATATTAATAGAAAAAAAGATTAATTCGCAAAAAAATATATTAATGAAAAAATCATTTTTGGCAAACTGTTATTTACTCAGATGAATCGAAATATAATATTTTCAAATCGGATGGGCATCATATGGTATGGAGAAAACCTAATATGGAATATAAGAAAGAAAATTTATGTCCAACGGTAAAACACGGTACAGTATTTGTATGGGGTTGCATGAGTGTTTTTGGGGTGGGAAAACTTGCATATAAATTAGGGATCACAAAGCGTATATTAATATTTTAAAAGAGAATCGTCTCTCTAGTGCTAATTATGTAGATATTCAGCGTTCTCAATTGCAAAATACCATTCTTATATATATGTTCGACCAATTTCGTAAAGAAACACTAAAAATTGCGCTTCGCGAAGAATGGGCATTAATACCGTCTTCATATTTTCAAACTGAAAGAGACCATAATGCTAACGGTGGTCCAACAAAGTATTAATATTTTTTTAATATTCATTTACTTACAAATTTTATAAGTGTACGAATACTTTTTGTTTGTCATTATTTGCTTAGTTAACGTAAAAATATTTTTATGTTGTATAATTTTTTATATTAAAAAACAAAAATTATCATAAACAAAGTGCGGGAATGTTAAAATATTTAAAAGTATTGATTTAAATTAAATAAATAAAAGAAAGTCTATCAAATTCGTATTTTTTTTATTACTATCATACTTCATTCATAATCTCAGGCAATATCTCATACGTTAATTTATTGTTCAAGTCAAACGTGGCGTTAGCTAGGTAAATCCAATACCTGACACTGGCTCTATTGACAAAACTTTCAAAGTACGAAGGGTTCGAGTTTGGGTCTTTTAGAAAGTTAAATATGTCCACTGCACACTGTTTTTTTTTAATATTTTCTATTGTTTCATTGAATTTCTGTAAATAAAGAGGTACACGATATTTTAACCAATTTTATACATAATAGGCAGAGATAATTTATTATTTTTATTTTACGTATCATCATCATGTCAGCCATTATCTGTCCACTGCTGAACATAGGTCTCCCCCGTAGACTGCTACGTAACGATCCTTAGCCACCTGTATCCACTGACTCCCTGCAATGTTTATTTTACATAGTACATTTCTAATTACATACTGCAGCTTAGTCAGCGTGAATTAGGATAAAATATCCTAGTATAATAGGTATATAACTATTTTTAATTACTATTTTACATTTGTGTACATTTTTTTCATTCAAATCCATCTGATGGTTTAATCGTGGTTGAATAATGAATATTGAAACAATAAGGAATGGTAACTCACCTGCACTGTTTGTTTTTAAATTATAATTATATTTTTTTTTTATATACAACTTAGAATGGCAAATAAGCTGATGGTCCACCTGATGGAAATGGTAACCATCACCCATATAGACATGAGCAGTACCATAGACATAACAGAGTATACTGTTTCGCCCATGATACCCCCCATGCGTTGCCATTCCTGAGGACTCAGGTGTTATTCCTCTGTACCCAATAAATTCACGCCATATCCCACCCTTCAAACCGAAACACAGCCATGCAAATACAACTGCTTCACGGTTGAAACACGAATGGGACAGAGGTACCCAAGCAATCGACATTTGTACAAAGTCTCCCTCTGGTAATGAGGATGACTAATGAGGAAATTTAGTTAAGAATAAAGTCTACTGGTTAGTTGGCTCATCATAACTAATTCTTAAGAAATTAATGACTTTGATTTATCAGGGGTTTAGATCGACCTGACATCGGCATGAAATTCAGTACACCCTTAATATGTATTTATAATAGAGATTTTTTTATTTCGGTCAATCTACTTATTCGGTTATTTGAAAGAATTGCAACTATAAACAACAATACGTATTTTGTGCTCGTATATATTTCTTTTAATGGGTTTATTGAAAAAATAATGGAATCTAAACATCGGTAACCCCACCCAATTGCGTTATATTTGTTAATTGTCTTGTTTATTTTCTATATTGTATAGTGCAAATAAGGTATACTCGTTCATTCAGTTACTCATCTAATATTCTTTGATATCGAATCTAATATACGTATCCCATTATGCATAAAAATATCAAATCTCTCATAAATCTATTTTAGCTATTGAAGTGTTGTCTTTTTCTTTTACACTGAATTGTTAATTCGAAAGACAGTGACAAAAAATAGACAAGACCTAAAATAGGTATGCAGGAGGTTTTAGTTTTTATGAATAAAAGATATAGAATTTTTTTTTTGTAAAGAATTCTATTTATCAAAGTCCGCAATATAAAGGTCCTTTTTGTAATTTGGGTAGGTAAATTAAACCAGCCATCCAAGTTTAAGGGGGTTTTAAAATAATATAGGAGGGTTTTTTACTTTCAAATTTTGTAATTATTGGAAAGTTATTGTTTCTACATTGGAATAGATAGGACTACATTACTGAAATAGACAAGCCTGTATTCGAAGAAACAGAACCGGGTTGAAGAAGCCAGACTTGTCTTGGAATGAAATGAGTACCTAGAAACATTTATTTCTATCCGCCAGCTCCTTTTTTATTTAGATACAACGTTTTTAACGTTATAGGTACCATTAAAGCTATTTAAATACTAGTAATGTTTAACTGAAGTAAGTTATCCGTTTAGGCGTAATAAAGCCTGAATAGCTTTTAACTCCTTTAAAGTTATCGAGATTTACTTGGGACAAGTTTCGGGCCAAAGCAATGCTACCATTGTTTATTAGAAGCGTTAATAGAAGACAACCCTTGTACATGTTTTCACCATTTGCAATCAAAATGTTACACTAAATAAAATATTAATGTTATTAAAATTTTAAAATAATAATGTGAAAGGATTAAATAATTTGGTATATTTTATGAGATTAATTTAAACAACTAACCAAAAATAGAAAAAGATTATTTTTAATAGTTTTGACTTTTTTTTTTCTAATACAGCAGCCAAAGTTTAAATAAAGGCGTTAAAAATGTGTAATATAGTATAAGTAGATACTATTACAATATTAAATTTATAATGCGTAACAAAATTGGAGTAAAAAATAAGCATATAATTTCATACTATAGCATAATTTTAGGATTACCTAAGAAAATTTAAAAACTTTTTTATATTATGCTTATTTGGTATTACTAAGGAATATCATATATATGGGTTGAAATTAGGTTAACGTTTTTCCATCCCTCGACTTTTAAGTTTCCTTGGCCTTTTACGACGTCTACGGGAAAGGAAGGAATGGCCCATACTATGCCGAGACCACACGGTGAAAGAGAGAGTAACAAGGAGTTATACTCAAAGACACTGTTGTATTTAAGATCATTTTTGCCTGGCCCCTAAGATGCAGAGATATGTTTTGCTGTGTTTGCGCACAGCTGAAAACTTCACTCGGATGCTGGACACCGTTGACCGCTTTGACACCCACTCAGTTTGGGCACCAAACTGGGTGGTTACGACCCTAGATTCTACAGCCGATAGCTTGCAATGAAAGTACTTGAATAACTGTTATCTCACTAGTACTAGACTATGTATACCTACCACTACTAAAATTGGAGTGATTGGGCAAAGACTCGTTCTTTTTAATATATCCTTAGTCTGAGTTCATAAAATTAAGAAAACTCTTCAGATAACTACTACTAATCAGCGGGTCTACCATGAAATGAAATTCCGAAATTTCGGACTCAATTTCGTGTTTTTGTTTATAGCAAAATTGGACCAATAAATGGAATTTAACATTTCGTTTATCATACATCCTATCATAAAAGTCCAAAGGAACAATATTTTAACATTTTTAATATTTCCAAACGGCATGTATTATGTAATTTTAACATCAAATTTGTGTTTCGTTTGGTTCCGAAATTTCCGAAAACACTTCATGGTAGGCCCTCAGGAGTCTAAGGAATAAAAACGAAAACGTGACAAAATTCAGTTACGGAATTTTATGTTATTGATTATGTTCCATACAGAGTATATCAGGTTTTTATAACTTAACCCCACCGCGTTAAACTCACATTAGAGTGGAAAGATTCACTGATTACAAATATTGTTTCTGAGTTATTGTTAAATTTCGACACAAAAGAAGACTGCGCATTGACTATTGATTATCATACCATCTAAAGTGTAATACCTTCTTTTTTAATATTAAAAAAATTTTAAACACTAACTATCCGGTCTGATTTGTAAAATTTTATCTATCGTACGATTTGATAGAATCTTCATAAATAATAAATATGATAGATGAATAGTGTAGCTATCTATATTTGAAAGAAATTTTAAATCGCTTGAGTAGTTTTTAAATTTATCCATTGCATAAAATAAAATAAACAAATGAATAAATCTTTGCTTTTTATAATATTAAAACTTACAGATGAAAGTGACCTACAGGAATTTCAATATTCTTGACAATTGAATATTTGAAATATTATAATTCATATTCCTCTAAATCGATTCCTAAAATCGATTATTATTTTCTTATAAATCCTAATCGTATTAGATAATAATAATGTATCTAATTTGCTATGATTTTATGAAAGTTATTCTATTTGATTTCCCCTCGATTAATATAATCGAATGCGGAACCTTCACTGTGTATACTAAATACCTTACGAACGATGTCATTCCGAGAAATAGAGTCACTCAGTGTATTTGATGCAATCGTCCAAATTAGATACTGCTATAAATTGATGCGATCGTTAAAGTTAGAAAAAATATATTTTAGATTATAGAAATTATAATAAAATACTTGTTAATATGCAAACGTCATAGAACTTGTTTAATTAAAGAAAATGTATCTAATTAATGCGGGGGTGTTGAACTCAGCGATGGATAATTCACACTTAGAATAATATTTACAGCCTGGTCGGAACTTCTTCAACTGATCATACCGATGGATCGGTTGAAATTTTTATTCGTGTGAAGGTGGTGCCCTTTGCTGCCAAGAGTTTCTAAGCTGCCATTCTAAAACATGAAATTATTTAAACAAAAAAAAAACATTTGTTCACCAAGGATGAAGAGAGGGAGTCAGCTCTCATAATGACCAAACTTACCATGATTTCAGTCATCGATGGTAATGATGCCAGAGTCCTGGGACTAGTTGCCCCCCGGTGTTGAAATCGAGGCAAAGGAGCTGTCCTAAGACTCTCACCAGAGTCCACCTCAGAGGGTTGAGAAACTTACGTACAGTAATATACGAAAGCCTCTAACATAACTTTTTAGATGGAGGCTGTATATGCTCTCCGTAGCATAGAGCAAGTGATAATAATTTTAATTATCATAAAATTCAGAAATTTAAAATTAAAATCTCCAAAACTAATTGAACTATAACCATTTATAACGTGTTTCTCTTCTGATAAGAAGATAAGTTAATTGAATTTTTATTTTTTATTTTTTAACGGCTATCAATTCATTATGGAATATTTAAAAAGTTCTATAAAAAGTTTTCATTATAATACTTATTACACTATCATATCTCAACGCCAAGATCCTTATGGGATAGACGAAAAGAACTGACGAGATAAGATACCAATATCCCAACATACATAGCTTGCTCCATCCACTTCATAAAAATATTTTTAGATTAGTAAATGCATCCTTCTATTTTCTCTTTGTAGGTATATAAGTTTAGTCAACTTTTTATTCGACGTTCTAGTACCTGAGCCTTTATTTATTTTTAAGTCTGAACCAAAGTAATATGCAATATTTTATTTCTTACACCTGATTGGCATTTATTCGCTTACGTACTACTGTGAATGTTGTTTGTCAACTGTTATTCTACTATCTAGTTACTATATCTATGCAATAAAATGAGAGAGCATTGTCCTGGCTCGGTGATTTTATTTATTACCTTTCGTTTTAATATAACTAACTCGACATCAAAATTTTCTCACCAGTATTAGGTTTACTTATTGCTTCGTTGGTAAATCGAATTATATCAAGTCATAGTTATACTAAGGTACATAAAATGGGATAACTCCGCCATTATATATTAAATCTTTTGTGTTCAATATAAATTATGTATGATAAAGATTTTACAATACAATGGTCCGTCTTATAAGGTCGATTCATTTAGGTCCATTTCAGCATTACGTGTGATTCTATTACACTTTACAGATACTACAGATTTTTATAGATACGGTGGTAGATATTTCAATATATATATAATAAAAAAAATTAGTTGACTGAATAAGATTATATTTTTTTCTACCATCCATTAAAATATTAAGACCTCGGGATAAACCCGTCCGAATTTTAACCGTGGGAAATTCTGTTGTCACTTGTATCACGGTAAGTCCTTCGTAAGCTGTTCAGTTAGTTCGATCACGTACCAACTGTATCGCATCGATGTTTACTTACAACAAATATCCTAAATATAGAGCAAATCACATCTGAGAGCGTGCAAGAATCTATCGTGAATGCCGGAGCGTGGGAGCAGGATTATGTTAAACAGGTCATTGGTACCCTATACCTGTTCGCTGTTTATACACAGGTTGAGTCTATACACTCTTAAGAAATATTTATAATTTATAAAAGTAACTTAAATCGTAACTATTTTAATCATTCGATAAATATTGAAAAATAATTTTCTTATTTTAATATTATTTTGAATGTATCCTTAAATATACACATTGTTCATTTATAACAATTAAACATCTCTATAATAGCAGGAAATTTTGGCTGTTATAGCAATGAATTTTCAAAAGTATACATTTTATGATTTTTGTGATATATTTTAGTTCCGATTTTTTTATATTATAAGTAATAAATATTATTTATATTGAAGTATTCATGTAAAATTAGATGTCAATAATTTTCAAACATAAAATTAATTAATACACAATTAATAAAAAACCTAAGGACCTGATAGGTATACATATAATAAAAATGTATTTACTATTTATTATACTTTATTAAATCAGTTTTTTATAAGAAATTATTATTATTTATATTATTATTGTTTTACTCTCTCGACCTTGACCTAGGAGACCGCAATCGAGATCGATCGACACGCAACTATCTTATCATTTATTTTAATATCAATGAGGTAAAGACGATTCTTATGAGATAAGATTGTATACAAACTATACCAGATAGTGATAAACATGGTGGTTAACACCAAATTATTATTAGAAAATAGTTTAATATGAATTCTGTTCTTTGAGCAGTGAAATTTATGTTTTACAACTAACTTTAATTTCTGATCATTTCCTGATTATTGACGTAAACATATTATTAAGAGCAGCCTGTATACAAGATCGAGATAAATCCAAGTTCAAGGCGCAAGTGCAAAACGAGAGCCGCCGTAGTATAGAAGGTTCCTGGCTAGGACCTCGGACCATCATTCCGTCTTGGAGGTCCAGGGGAACAGGTTGCCCAACTAGTTTCACCAGTGTCGTGTTACAACATGTTACGGCAATGGATACTGCTCTTGTAAGTTTTATTTTCGATTATAATGTATACTATTATATCTAGACCGCTTTAAATAAATTGAAATATAATAAAATGTATGGGAATTATTTATAAAAATATTTGTAATTTTGTACATGTTTTATTTCTGTGAAAATATATATTTTTTAATAATACTATAAAGTTTTAAAACAAAAATTAAAATATTATTACTCTAGCTATTTATTTTATACAAAGTTCATAAAAATGTATAAATGTATCATACTCAATCGTTCCTAAACAACACAACAGAGCTGTATAAAATTTGTTACGCACAGTGGACCATGTCCTGCATTAATGTACAATTTATTTTTATCTTTATTTATGCAGGCAAAGGTGCGGGATGTAAATAAATAAAAATATAAAGTGTAATATCAAATTGAAAATGTGTCTTAATACATAAGTAATTACATTCATAATTTACTTTGTAATTGTGCGCGTGTGACTACCAATATTTTATATTGATGAGTGATCACGACTAGTCTCTACTATTAATATGATAATTTTGTTTCTAACAGATTTGCCCACCTTGTGTCGTGTAGTGGGAAAAGTTCCCCGCCAGAACTTCCTTATGATGAGGCTCCAGACCCAATCCTTTCGTTCATGGAACGAACGTACACCACAGGCAGAGCTAGAGCCACTTTCGAGGCTGGTTCCCCGCTGCTTCTCACGCCCTTCATTGAAGAGAAGAAACTTAAAGAAGCCAGAGAAGCAGCATACGTCGACCCTGACTATTTATTACCTGATATGGATAGCTATGCTGGATATCTGACGGTATGGGGTTATCTCTGTTAAATATTTTATATTTAAAAGATTTCAAGTAAGTTTGATGTTAAAAGTTTTAATGATATTTTGTCTAAAAAATAAGTAAGAATTTTCTGCGTTTATCCATATGTATTTATTCTTATTAAACATGGCTAATATTGGATACCACTTAGATAAGTATATATTGGGTTTCTATGGACATTGATGGTGGAAAAAAGGAGTTTACCCATATAGGTGTCGTTCATTTTTTTTATACGACTTAGAATGGCAAACACATGATGGCCCACCCGATGGAAAGTGGTAACCGTCGCCTATAGGTATGAGCTGTACCATGGACATAACAGAGTATACTGTTTTGCGCATGATACCCCCCATCGTATATCAGTATTAATTTCGATCAGGTTCTTCATTTCGTTATTACGTATTAAATAACCGTCATTTATTACATTCATTATATAGATATTGTAATTGCAATTGGCGTATATTACCCACCCCTAATACTTATATAATAATCATAAATCCTGGCTGCTCTGCAATCAATTAGACTGTAGAAGAATACAAATATTTTATTGTGATAATTAGGTTCGTTTAATCTTAGACATTCATCAGATATACCTATATAGATAAATAATATAATGATAGTAAATGAAGCCGCGATATATTCCCCAAGACTGCTACTAAAAATGCTGTACGAACAAACGTAGTATACCATCAAATATTACAAGTTAGTGAAAGATTATAAATACTGGGTAGTTCGCGGTCATATCATCTATCATTATCAATTATATCATTGTATCATTATCAGCTATCAACTGTCCATTGGTCCAACTGAACACAGGTTTCCCCCATAAGGGGGAGGGGAGGGGGGTTCCAGTAGTTGCCATGCTTGACAGGCGGATTGGCAACCGTAGTTAAGCTTTTGATGATGTTTTAAGAGGGATGCTGCTGTATATCCTTCGACTATTAAGTTCCTTAGTCGCCTCTTACGACACCCACAGGAAAGGTAGGGAATTCTATGCTGGGACCACATGGCAAATAATAGCTTATGTTAGTATTATTTTCAAAGGAAATTAATTATGAATAAATCTACAGGTCAACAAGGAGTACAATGCCAACCTCTGGTTTTGGTATTTCCCAGTGGCAGATAAGCCAGTAGAAGAGACCCCACTGATTCTATGGCTACAGGGGGGACCTGGCGCTTCTTCACTGTATGGGCTATTCACGGAAATAGGACCTTTTGTAGTAACTGACGACCATAATTTGGAAGGTAGAGAAAATATTAATAATAACTTTATATTATTTATTTATAAATAAATATAAATACATAATTTTTTACAGACTTCTTTTTGTTGGGTATATAAAACAATATTCGACATTTCATTTTTAAAAATAATCAGAATTTCTATAAAATTAAAAAGTATTAGAATTTAATTTTAGTATTTCTTAATAACAGTTTTAATTTATTAGAAGGCACATCCAAAATATACTTCGGTATCTTATTACAGTGTGTAATGTCCATTTTCATAAAGGACCTATTAAATTGTTGTAAACGATACTTCGGAACAGCAAGGTTATTGTATCTACTATTAAGACTATTGAGATCGCTGTTTTAAGAAACAGGGAGATTCTTGTTCTTATCTATCATCCCTCATTGGTGCTCTGCCAGTGTTTACCGACAGCGCGGAAGAGGTTATGATTACATTATCGTCCTTTAAAATAATCTATATCTACCTTACCTAATTGTTTTGTTTTCAGAAATTAAATATTCTTGGGGCAAGAACCATTCGCTTCTATTTATTGATAACCCGGTGGGCACCGGTTTCAGTTTTACAGACGATGACCGCGGGTACGCCACCAACCAAACTATGGTAAGAATGTCTTTAAACTATGTATATTATGAGACATATGATAGGTTGTATATAATTTAGTTTTCAGAGCTTATGTAGTGGTTTTTTATATTTAGACTTATAAAATATCCTGATTTAAAATGGGTCTGTTTAACAGTAAAAATATTGTTTCAATTTTCCAGCTAACTCTCTGGTAACACTAAATACGATTAGTAAAGAAAATGAATACGAGAGACACCGGTAGGCTCTCTGCCATGATGAATTAAGTGTCAAATATGTATAATACTACAGTATCATCATTATATCAGCCTTTAATTGTCTACTGCTGTATATAAGCCTCCCCTTAAGGGGTTTTGCCAGTAGTTGCCACGCTTGGCAGACAGATTGGCAATGACAGTTAGGCTTTAGAGATGTTTTAAGAGGGACGCTGCTGCCCATCCCTCGTTCTCCTTTAATCGGCTCTTACGACACCCATGAGAGGAAGTAGTGGCCTATTCTATGCCGGGATCCCACGGCCACTACATACTATAGTATAGATACTATTATATAATTAAAAGAATTCTTAAAAGTTATATAGCAAATATATACAATATGTAAGCACAGACAACACAATACTATATAAATTAGGAGTGAAAGTAACCAAACGCACATACTATATGTCATAATTTATAATAAACAGATAGTCCGCATACATATGTATATTTATAATTAATATTTGACTTCCCAAAAAGTCTGCAATGCTTATGTGAATATACTCGCATGAGATGAATTATGAAATTGGATGAAGTAAGAGGTGTAATAATCTATGTAAAAATATAAACCTTTGATACTTGGTTCTTTCGATATTCTGTCCCATCTCTCTCGTAGTAATATATCTATCAATGTTCATAAAAATATGTTTTAGTTATTTTTAGGACATCAGCTATTTATATTATATTATTGAATATAATTTTATGATTTTATTACACCACTAGATTGGAGAGAACCTTTACACAGGACTACAGCAGTTCATGACGATATTTCCGGAGTTGCGCAAGGCGCCACTGATCATTGCGGGTGAATCGTACGCCGGGAAACACATACCTTCGTTGGGAGTACAAATTCTGTGGCATAAGGGAGAAGATGAACCCATAAATCTTCAGGTATCTACATTTTATTATTTAAAAAAATAAATAGATAATTTAATTTTACGCGCAGATAACATAAAATGAAAAATCACGTAATTCCATTAAAAATCAATTAACATTAATATTGATGAAGACCTTTATTGGTAGTCGAAAGAAACTGTATATTTATATGACTTATCTACATTTCGATTCTTTATCTATTTTTTTAACAGGGTCTTGCAATTGGCAACGGCTTCAATGATCCCCTGTCACTGCAGAGGTACAGTTATTTCGTGCGAGAGGTAGGATTGGTTGATGACAAAGTGGCAGATACAATGAAAGACCTAGAAGCAGCTGTCACTCAATTTATAAAGGAGGGGGAAACGGTGAAGGCATATGCTGTAAGTATTTCAAAAGAATTCTGTAAATCTTACCATAATTAAATTTTTACAGGCAAATAGGTATTTCCTTGATACGAAGACGAAGACTCATCAAATCTAAATATTGTTCTACACTCAAGTAATTTGGCGTGCTATGGTAAACTAATATTACCATTTAGATTATTCTTCTGGTATTTCTTATATTCTTGTACAAGTATTTATAATCAAGCAATACTGGGGAATAGGCATTGTTAGTAATGGTGTCTGATAGGTCCACTATTAGCGATATATTATATCAGGTCGACTTTAACGAGGTTTCCCTGGAAACCATCGTAGGTTATTTTTGTGGAATTTGTGGGCTAAATGACCTGCTTTCGTCCTCACCCATCATCTCTCACTAGTCTATGCCATTAGCGCCGGCAAGGTAAAGAATATATATTTAATATTTTTTGATCAATTGTGTTTTTCCAATAATAACTTAATACTTTTTGTTTTCATTTTCAGTATTACAATTATCTACTACAAGTGTTTTTATCAGAATCTCGTCTCTCCAATTTATACAATTATCTCGATGATGACATAAGCTTGGAAGGAGCGTACATGGACTACCTTCAGACAACAGACGTCCGTCGGGCTTTACACGTGGGCAACACAAATTTCACCTCCATTGGGGTTGTGTATAGAAAACTCGTACCTGATTTTATGAGAAGCGCTAAGATGTGGCTCGAGGAGCTCATTGAAAACTACAGGGTCTTGCTTTACAAGTAAGTGCCACGTGACAGCATTTATTTAAAAATAATAAATACAATATTTCAATCGACTTCAAAAAGAAGATGATTGTAAATTCGGTTGTCTTTTTACGTTTGTTACCTCATAAAACCAATTGTATACCGATTTGGATTTTTTTTTATCTGAAAGAATATACAGATTCTACCCATAGATTTATAATGAAAAATGTCTACAATAAATTTCTTGTTGCTTATATTCGTTATATTATTAGTTATTTTAGAGATCTTATCAGTAAAATTTATTTGCTATCATCTTGATTTACCTTGATTGATTTGCTTTTTACTATGGATGGACGCAGTAACATTTCTTTTCCATTCTACTCTATCTCGCCGTCCATCTTTTGTTCTCATAATCCATCGAGATTTGTATTGGATTTTCCTCTTCCTTTGAATTCTTCTTTATATGGAGTAATATATAGTTTTATTCGCCACTTGTTTGAGGGAATTTAAAAGATAGGTTCTACCGTGTGACATATATCAGCAGTGATGAAGTAATGGGTAAATACTCGTAAATATAACTTGTGATGACTTATTATTACATTGAAAAATTTTGTGACGACCTGTTGAATGATTTCTTTTCAGTGGCCATTTGGACATAATTGTTGCGTACCATCCTTCGGTTAACTCTTACAACTCATTGGAGTTTTCTGGAACATCTGACTTCAAGGCCGCAAAACGGTTGCCGTGGTATCACGACAAGAAAGTTGCTGGGTAAGTTCTTATTAATTTTAACCCTATGAAATCATACTAAAATTATGTATAATGTAAACTAAAAAGGAAGGATGACAATGTTATAAATTTAAAGGTATTGTCGTCGTTTACTGCATCGTAACTCTCAAACGGTTGATTGATATCAATACTCATTTTATTTGAATAATGGCTTAGCGTCACATTCGAAAGAATTATTTAACCAATCAAATTTAATGTAAAAAAAAAAATACTGTGTCGATCCGGTCCAGATATTAAGTTGATATGATAGGCTCGAAAATTTTTATCAGTTTTCGGTCCATATTTTTTGTTTAGTTTTACTAATAGAACATTCTATTGAAAATATGATATAATAAATTCTCACTCTTATAGTACAAGCTTTGTCTAGTTTGGGATTTAATGACTATTCATAATAATATCTGTTGATATTTATTTATATTTTAGTTACTACAAAGTCGCGGGCAACTTAACAGAAGTAATGGTCCGCGGTGCGGGCCACATGGTGCCCGCCAACCAGCCCGCAGCCAGTCTAGGTCTCATCACTGCCTTCGCACGCGGTCTCTCCCTGGACGAGGACACCGGATCTCTAGTCACCGTGGAAAAAAAATCTCTGCGACGTCGTCCATTGCAACTAAAATAGTTAAAATGCCAATTATATGTGTCTTTGTATTTTTTCTTACAATAGAAAAATAACTTTCGTACCTAAATAAAATAAAGTACCTAATATGATGTTTCAGTGATTTAACAGTTATCCATTCACTCTTAATGTATTGGATTTAATCGTAATCGGATCAGTACAATTCTACTAAATGACAAGTAATTATTTAAAATATATATTAGAGAAAATAATTCATATAACGTTGACCCTTTTGTTCGCGCCAGGCATTGGGCTATTTAAAATTATTTTCAAGGGTGGTCTAGCCCTTAAAAAAAGGCGAATATGTACTGTCATATATCTGTGCCTCTAGTGAGAAAGGGTTCAATTCAAAATGGTCACTTTTCAGGAGAGCCAAAAAACTATTTTAAATAAAGAAAAAAAATTCTGCTGCTTTTATTATTTGCTAATTGAACAAGTCAATGATTGCATTTATAGTAATTTTTTCTCCTCTTTCTTATGAAATTGTCGGTTTTTGTGTAAAACCTATAGTTTTAAAAATAATTCTATTATACCTAATCACACTTAACAAAAATATTAAAATTATGATGTGAAAATAGTTTTAAGTTGAATTAAAACTATTTTATTGAAGTATTGAAGAAAAACAATGTTGTGTATTTTACGCTATAAAAAATAATCGCTATTAAATGGTGTAAAAGGGTTTAAATCGAACTGATTCATTTTACAAAAATAATTTTTGTAAAATATTGTAGTTTTATTTCTAATTATGACTTTTTTACCACAAATATTTTGTTAATTGTAGCCTTTTACATGTTTACTATCTCTATTGTTTTTAAAGATATCGTTACGATTCTTATACCATTCGAAAGAGAAAAATTTGCTTATTTAAAGTAGCCTAAAAAAGAAAAAGGCTATAACTTGAGTTATACCCTTTCTCACTAGAGGCACAGATATGTCTTTTTGAAGCTTTTTGGGGTGCCCACCCCAAAAAGGCAGGCAAATATACCATCTAAAATATACAATGACCATAGACCACCCAGCTCCCCTTTTTATAAATAGCTATGATGCTAGGTTTCTTGCGAGGTAAGCAGGCAGTACTAAGCATATATGTTATCGAAGGTCAACAGACTCTTTCTTCGTCCACCTTTTTACACTTATTAGTATGGTGACAAACAAGTATTCGGCCGATCTGATGGTAAATGAGGTTACCATAAATGTCACGCGCGCGTTTTCGACCCTTAAGAAAAACCTTATTACGTCTTTTCTGAAAAATCCCATACTGTAGTTTCTAGAGAAAATCTCGGCAGGAAGGTCATTCCACCATCTGAGAGTTTGCGCGGGGAAACTCTTCAGAATCCGCACTATCAGTAACTATTCTAATTTTTAGGGTGTAAGAATGAATTATTTCTTGATGGCGAGTGGTGAGATGGTAAATGGTATCTTCGTCTAAAAATATTTATTTAATAATTTCAAATTTGTGACTTTAAAATATATAAAATATAGTAACTCAGGGTTTTTTTTGATAGGTGAAAATGGAATGGTAACCCCACCTGCGCTAACGGTATATGCTGGTGGGGCACCAGTGAAGGGTGATCTACGAAAATGAAAACAGGCCAGTTAGCCTATCATGATGAATTCATCAGGAATTAACCATGATAGTTTCTAGGGGGAACCGCGTGGAGATCGACCTGGTTAGGTATATTGCTAGCAATGGGATTCTCAGTTTCCATTACTTATAATCCCGTTCCCTCCAGTATCTCAGGGTTAATCAACCCTAAGGGTAAGTTAAATCTTAAAAATATTTTAACACACTATTCACAAATTAATGGAAAAACAAATTTTTTTTTTTTTTTTTTTTATGCAACTTAGAATGACAAACAAGCTGACGGCCCACCTGATGGAAAGTGGTAACCGTCGCCTATAGACATGAGCAGTACCATGGACATAGCAGACTATACTGTTTTACCCATGATACCCCCCATGCGTTGCCATTCCTGAGGACTCAGGTGTTATTCCTCTGTACCCAGTAAATTCACGCCATATCCCACCCTTCAAACCGAAACACAGTCATGCAAACACAACTGCTTCACGGTTGAAACACGAATGGGACAGAGGTACCCAAGCAATCGACTTTTGTACAAAGTCTCCCTCTGATAAATGGTAAATGGCTTACGTATCGAATTTGCAACATGTGTATTGTAGTATACGAAACTCTTTACAAATACTGGTTTGTTTTTCTATTATTGACTTAAGATTTTGACATTCCTTTTCTAACTACTATTGTCTGTAATAATACCAATGTATCGTTATTTTTAGTTGAATTAAACCAATATTTCCCTATGGTCTATATCGTTTTGTATCAATTAATTCAACTAATAAAATACAACTAATTATGTCAAGAAAAAACCGTAACAAGAAATTTGAATCCGAGATGATATCGTCAACTCCAGGGCCGGCTTCAACAAGTTTGTCGCGTTACCTACGGCCGGAAAGATTTGAGTTAGATCCAAGCTCTACCGATGCTGATTTAGAATGGACACATTGGATATATACATTCGATAATTTTTTGTCAGAAAGTATTGGTGAGTTTACGGAGGAGCATAAATTAAAAATCTTGATTAATCACTTATCTCCCAGCGTTTATGTGTACATAAAAGAATGTAATGATTATGAGTCAGCTATTTCAATTTTAAATAATACTTACATTAAACAAAAAAATGAAATACATGCACGTCATATCCTTGGCACTCGAAAGCAGCGCAGTGATGAATCTATAGATCAATACTTGCGCCTACAAGTATTGCGCCTTGCGCCGCATACAAGTAAAATTAAGAATGAAAAAATAGAGAGATGGAGACTGGAACTGTCTTGTTTTAAATTTGATATTGTCTATCGACCTGGTAGACAAAATATAGTATCAGATGCATTATCAAGAGTTTGTGCTAGTACATTTTCACGTAAAAATTTATTAATTTATATCAACTGCACAATACTCTATGCCATCCAGGAATCACAAGAATGGCTCATTGGGTGCGTTCTAAAAATTTGCCCTATTCTCTTGTAGAGATTAAAGACATGACTGCGAGTTGTCCTATTTGTGCCGAGATAAAACCTAGATTTGCAAATAGCAAAGGATGACTTATCAAAGCTACTTCTCCATTTGAAAGACTCAGTTTAGACTTTAAAGGGCCGTTACCTTCGAATACTGAAAATAAATATATATTAACTATTGTTGATGAATTTTCTCGTTTTCCATTTGCTTACCCGTGTAAAGACGTATCATCAGGAACTGTCATAACGTGTTTAAAGGACCTCTTCTTTACTTTTGGAACGCCTCTATATATTCATTCAGATCGTGGTGCTGGATTTATGTCACAAGAATTTAAAGATTTCCTACTAAGAAATAATATTGCTTGTAGTCGAACTACACCTTACAATCCGGAAGGAAATGGTCAAGTTGAGCGATTGAATGGGACACTGTGGAGAACCATCCAATTATCTTTAAGATCCAAGAACCTTGACATACGATATTGGGAGCAGGTACTACCTCTAGCATTACATTCCATACGCTCTTTGTTATGTACTGCTACGAATGCAACTCCACATGATAAGTTATTATGTTTTCCCAGACGATCTGGTAATGGAATTTCTTTACCTTCGTGGTTAATGATTCCTGGCCCAATACTTTTGAAGAAAAACGTAAGAAAAAGTAAATATGATCCTCTAGTAGAAGAAGTCGAATTGCTAGAATCCAACCCAAATTATTCTTTAGTACGTTTTGCTGATGGACGAGAGGATACTGTATCTAATAGACATCTTGCCCCAATTAATAGATTAGTTGGAGATATAGCTAACACTGACGAAATTGAGAACTCCGATCGATCTCGAACCGATACAGATACCGAGAGCTACAACACCACGACTGAAACCGACAATTTGAATGCTGATGGCACTGGGCCTTCAATGGTGGTCGATTCGTCTCAGCGGCTTATTCGTGAAAAAAGACCACCCGCTTATTTAGGGGATTATGAATTATAATAACTTAGGTTTTTTAAAAAAGGATGGGTGAATGTAGTATACGAAACTCTTTACAAATACTGGTTTGTTTTTCTATTATTGACTTAAGATTTTGACATTCCTTTTCTAACTACTATTGTCTGTAATAATACCAATGTATCGTTATTTTTAGTTGAATTAAACCAATATTTCCCTATGGTCTATATCGTTTTGTATCATGTATTTAGTAAATACCCGTGGGATGACTGGTGTTAAAGGCGCACGCGCTCTTCTAGCTAATAGCCTGCGGGCAGTTATCCGCAAGTCCTCTGGATTGGTCGCCTAGTATGGTATGTTTCTGCTGCATAGTGAAATTACAGGGAACAGTAGCATGACGTTTTAATCCTTATTAATAGCATCATGGGCGACACAACAAGAAAGGATACTCCTTTCTTATGTCTATGGTTCTCTTTATGTTTATAAATGACAGTTATAATTTTACATTTTTTTTTTATAATCTATGATAGTGGAAAGATAACTCCGCTTGCGCTATCTATATACGCTGGCGGGGCCACGTGAGGGACGATAGATGATCATGAAAGCAGGTCAGTTAGACCATCGCGACGAATGCAACAAGTACCTATTAATCACAATGGTTTCCAGGGGAACCGCGTGAAAATCGATTTAACAGGGCTTGTTAGCAATGGGACATATACCTAACAACCCGTTTCCCGCCATCACTTTGCATTAGGTGGACTGTCAGCTTGTTTGCCATTTTAAGTTACACAACAAAAATGTCACATTTAAATAGTAAAATAATAAAATAATCAGGCACGAAAAATATAAAATCATACATTTTTGCCCATCGTAAATATTTGTAGTTATAAGGAATCCCCTGATTATATATTTTGCAATAAGTAAGCGACAGCAAAAACCTTGTATTTCCTGTCAATTTTAATTTTTACATGCTTATTCCTATTTTATATAAAGCAATTAGTAATAATTATTTATCTTTATCAATTAAACATTACATTTGTGACTAATTTGATATGTTTAGCTATCTATTCCTATTTGGTGCTAGTGATGCCGTTTGTCAAAGAAAAATCCATCTAAAAACCGCCTATATATGAAATGTTTTAATGGGTAACCTCTCATTTGACACTCCATATATAATTAATGTTATTCTTAATCTATATTATCTAATGATAAATACCTATTTTTACTTACCATAACGAATTTCAACAGAAATTTTGAACCATGTGACCAGCATTGTCTTCAAAACCCTAGTTGCCAGAGCCATTACATTTAAATCTTTAAAAAATGTCTGGTGACGTCTTGACGTTTCTCGTCCCATAGTCTATGATCTATGACGTTTCCAATCCGACGGCGACGATTGAGGCATGTTCTCTTGGAATTTGTTGAATAGTTACTAAATAAACTACCGGTATTTGTTTGTGCTTAATTTTCATTATTATGACGACTACATTTTCTTGTGTATACGGTTTATGATAGTTTTCGTCTAAAGATATTCGTACGGAAGTCAGTATTTTGGAACATCACGTCATGTCTGTCGTCTATGCGGTTTGCGCATTTTTTCTGTTGACGCCTGCGAGAGCGTTTTATTTACCCGGTTTAGCTCCAGTAAATTACTGTCGAGTCGGGGAAGACAATGGGAAATCATGTAAGGTAAGCGCTATGCACTTAATATCATATTCATTAGTAAAATTGAAACTAATTCTGCAAGTGTACTCTGCTGTATTTCCTTCAAAAACATGTCTGATTATTGATAAGAAGTCAGATAAGTAATGAATTTTCTTCAGTAGATAGCCTCAGGTGGTTAATATAATTTACTTACATATTCGTAATACAAATTTATTATTAGTTAAATATCGAACTACTGGGAAACAGTTTTACATGACTCATTATCAATAGTTTACTAATTTAAGCTAGATAAACAACATAAGGATTGTAAATGTTGTAGTGAATGTTGCTATCAATAATGGGATATAATTACATTGACCCTGTATTTTCACTAATAATGATGTATATTAGTCATTATTATTCACACCATGAGAAGCAATGATATTGCTGTCTGATATAAATTGGAACAATATTGGAAGAATGTTATACAAAATTGGTCAATTTTGTCAGTAACATTGAAATTTCTCTAAACTACTGATCTCAAATTTTTACTATAAACTTGTAAGAGTATTATGATTCCAATGACTATCAGATAGGTAAACGTGATTGACAATAAGGTAACTGGGTAATATTTGGAATATTATCTGACAAGTTTCTATTTAAATAATATATTTTATCTCAATACACTATATAATCTATCAACAAATTTAGCAATCTAGCTGTCACCCCTATGAGCATCCACTGGCTTAACAGTTTAAGAAAATTAACTATCACCCCTGTTCTAACTCTGACTATGCTCATACTGATTATTAATTAAGTTGATTATGTTAGTTGATTTGGTTCTAGCACCATGAAAGTTTATATAAGTAATAATAACCATCATCATATCAGCTGTTAACTGCCCACTGCTGAACATAGAAAGTAAATAATCAGTCAGTAAATAATAGTCTATAATTATTGATATGACGGATTATTGATAGAACTAAGAACTACTTTGATAGCTTCATGATAATTATAATTTACTATTTTTTGTTACATTTATTTGTTATAATTAATTGTTGCTGTAATTTTTCCTCCAGTTATAAAAAAAAAATCTAATAATTAATCATATTATCATAAAAGTAGAAAAAAGAACAATAAATTGTTTAATTTTTTTTATACTGATCATTGCTAATGCAATTCCTAGATAAATGTAAATTAATTCATTTTTCACTACTTAAAAAAATTAATAACCAATTTTTTTTATCTGTATATTCTTTTCAGAATGAAATTCCTCTATATGTGAACAGATTAAACACAGAGGAATCTGTGATCCCATTTGAATACCATCATTTTGATTTCTGCCTCTCTGATGAGACTCAATCACCAGTTGAAAACCTGGGCCAAGTGGTCTTTGGTGAGAGAATACGACCAAGTCCTTACAAAATCAACTTCCTTGATAATGTTGGCTGTAGGGCTTTATGTCAACGTACTTACAAGGCATCAGACCCTGAGTCTATCAAGAAATTAAATTTGTTAAAAATGGGAATGGCTCTTTATTATCAACATCATTGGATATTGGACAACATGCCTGTGACATGGTGTTATTTGGTGAATGATGGAGGCAAAACATACTGCAGTACTGGTTTTCCCATGGGCTGTCAAATTCGCAGGGATATGGTAATATTAAATATATTAAAGATTTTTTATACATTTCAGAATATTTTTAACCTTTTTGCAACATTAAATGGCTATTTTAACCCAAGTTTTTTCTATTTTTAGAACCTAATTTGTTTATACATTTATGTAAAATTACTACTAAATATATATATTATGCAAGAGCAAGGAAAAAAGAAACTACAACTGTTTATATACTACTTAAACAGTTTCTGTGATTGAGCCCATTCAATAACTAAAACTAGAGCTTGATTTATTTATTGTATTTATTTATTTACACTTTATTGCACCAAGTAAAAACAGAAATAACAAATACAGTAAATATTGATTTTTATGTCTAGTATTTTAAGTTTGTTCTAAACCTTTCATCAATTTTATATTTTAATTGCTAAAAACTTTGCCATTAAATAATCAATTTTTATGTTAATTAAGTTGCATATCTGATAATACTACAACTTAGTTATCATGAAAATTTGTTATTTTTATCATTTTTTTTTTATCAGGACACATGTGCTCCGATTGTGAATACAAAACCATACAAAGTGGGCACATATTTCTTGTTCAATCATGTGGATTTGGAGATTACATATCACAGTGGTAGAGAGGAGGAATGGGGAGTTGGATTCGGGGAAAATGGTGGCCGAATCATTTCTGCTAAGGTATGTATTTTAGTTTATAAGTTACATACCAGTTTACCAGAGGAAGACTGTACAAAAGACGATTGCTTGGGTACCTCTGTCCTATTCATGTTTCTACCGTGAAGCAGTTGTGTTTGCATGGCTTTGTTTTGATTTGAAGGGTGGGATATGGCTTGAATTTACAGTGTACAGAGGAATAACACCTGAGTCCTCAGAAATGGCAACGCATGGGGGTATCAAGGGTGAAACAGTATACTCTGTTATGTCCATGGTACAGCTCATGTCTATAGGCGACAGTTACCACTTTCCATCAGGTGGGCCGTCAGCTTGTTTGCTATTTTAAGTAGTATAAAAAAAACATAGTGGTTCCTCAGAAATGACAATGCATGAGGGCTAACATGTATTTTGTGAGATTTATAGTGCTGTTCATGTCTATAAGTTATTATAATATCACCTTCTATCAAGTGGACTGCCTATTTATTTTTCATTCCAAATGGAATAAAAAAAATATCAGTTAATTATTCATGCAGAAAATATTAATAGAATATAATTCTTCTAGACAATGGTCCGTTACATTAAACTACACATTACAGTATACATATTTGTTATATAATGCAAATAAAGACAAACTGTATAAATAAAAGTTTTAATTGTATATCTATTTTTGCAGGTAAAACCAGCAAGCATTGATCATCAAAAGGCGGGCAAATTGGATTGCAATTTCCAAACCCCATTGGAAATTCCAAACACACTTAGTGGTGACGACATTGTTGTAACATACTCTTACAGTGTGACCTTCACTCCCAATAATTCCATTAAATGGTCGTCAAGATGGGACTACATCCTGGAATCTATGCCCCAAACCAATATACAATGGTTCTCTATATTGAATTCGCTTGTAATTGTATTGTTTCTCAGTGGAATGGTAGCTATGATACTTTTACGAACACTTCACAAGGACATAGCGAGATATAATCAGATGGAATGCGGAGAAGATGCTCAGGTATTTTTTGTTGATATCATATAATACTTGTTATTGGAGTATATTTTTACTTTTGACAATTCAGTTTTCCTTTTGTTTTTGGAAAAATATAAATTTTATGTCTTTAATCATTAATAAATAGAATTATTATTTCCTTTAATGTCATTTAAAATTTACTTTATAAATATATAATTTACTTCATTTATAAAGTAAAATTCAATAATAGAAAGGGTACAATTAGGTCTAATATTTTTTCTTGTAGGAGGAGTTTGGCTGGAAATTGGTACACGGGGATGTGTTCCGACCGCCGCGTCGCGGTATGTTGCTTGCAGTGTTCCTTGGTTCAGGATCTCAAGTAAGTATATTGTTATAAATACTTAGTTTGTGTGTGTTAGAAATTCGTAAGAAAACAGAATAAAAGGCTTCCTGCGGGTGAGCTACTAAGAATAGCTGATTTTTGATAATTAGTATTTAAATGTTATATGATTAAAAAATATAATTATTTATTTTTGCTAATAATAAAAAAAAAAAAAACTAAAATTCTATTTTTAAATATGTTTGTTGTCAATGTAGATATAAAGAAATCTATTAAGATTTTTTTTAATAGTAGACATGTTTCCATAATAATACATAGGCCTTATTTGGAAATCTAAGTTATGTTAGATACTACACATTCAAAATTTATTTTATATATGTTTATTTTTGCTCAATATCTTACTAAAAATTCGTATGGCACCCTCAAGTATTAAAATTATCATCATCATTCTCATATCAGCCGCTAACTATCCACTGCTGAACATAGGTCTCCCTCTTAGTGGGTTATGCCAGTAGTTGCCACGATTGGCAGGCACTTCGCAACCGCAGTTAGGCTTTGGTGATGTTTTAAGAGGGACATTGTTGCCCATCCCCCAACCATTAAGTTCCCCTAGTCAAGAAAAGGAGGGGTGGCCCATTCTATGCCGAGACCACAGTATAAAATTTATTGTCACTTCATTATTTGAATGTTTTATGTTTGTTTGTGTTTTAGGTGTTTGGCATGACATTGGTGACTCTAGCATTTGCGTGCCTGGGCTTCCTCTCGCCCGCCAACCGCGGCGCTCTCATGACGTGCGCGCTGGTGGCGTGGGTGCTGTTAGGAGCCGCCGCTGGCTACGTGAGCGCCAGGATATATAAGAGCTTCGGTGGCAGGAGGTGGAAGAGTAACATACTTCTTACGTCTATGGTGTGCCCTGGGTAAGTATCCAATATTTACACACAATGTATGTAATAAATCTATAAGATAAAATATTAATATTATAATACCCTTCACTGGTACCCCGCGTACCCCGGGTAGCGTATACCGATAGCGCAGGCGGGGCTACCATTCCATCTTCACTTAAACAGAAATGTGATAATGTAATGCTTGGCTCGTACTGAATTATCAGACCAAGTAATGTCAAGTATATTATCAAGTACATTGCGTCGGTTTTTTTAATTCTTAAAATATGGTTAAATTGCTAGTTCATCCATTAGTTGCTTGTAGATGTCTATTTATAGTTTCCTTTTATGTTTTATAACATTGCTGTTAATTGTATTTCCCAACTATTTTTTAATATGATTCGATAAGAGTAACTGTCGAGTTTCTTGCGCAATAAAATATAAAAAAAAACGATAATTATACAATTTACTATTATACAATAATGTTTTTAAATAGACTATACAAAATGGGTTTTATTTATTTATTTATTTAACTCTTTATTGCACCATATATAAAAATATACAATGACAAGTGAATAATTCAAGTGAAATACAGTAACATAAAAACAGATTGAAATATACACATATTGTTTTATGCCAAACGACAACATATAATAATATGTGTGAATTTGAAAAGATAATTTTTTTTATGTTACTTAGAATGGCAAACAAGCTGACGGCCCACCTGATGGAAAGTGGTAACCGTCGCCTATAGACATGAGTAGTAACCATAGACATAACAGAATATACTGTTTCGCCCATGATACCTCCCATGCGTTGCCATTCTTGAGGACTTAGGTGTTATTTCTCTGTACCCTGTAAATTCACTGCCATATCCTACCCTTTAAATCGAAATACAGTCATACAAACACAACTGCTTTACGAATTTAACACAAAGTGGACAGAGGTGCCCAAGGAAACAACTTTTGTACAGTCTCCCTCCGGTGAGAAAGACTTTGTACAAAATGCATATTAAATGACATACCATAATCATCGAAAATCCCCTTATAATTGAAACAGTTGCCTCACTTTTCTAAAGCATGCTAAGGTTACCCGAGTTAATTTCATGAATGTTTTAAACTCCAGGTATAGATTCTAGTATCGATTAGGTATTTCTTTACATATGGGGAATTAATGTTCAATGATAACGTTTACTATTGAACAAATAGTTTTATCGCAATTATGATAAATACCGCCTTTTTAAAGTAATTTTATGTTAATTGAAATTATTTCTTTATAAAATCGATAATGACAAAATTTTGAGAACCTAATCTCAATAACAAGAACAAATGAATAATATTTATAAATAGTTACTTTTTAGCATTGTGAACGTTAATAACTCTGTTTTTCCCTGGAAACAATCGTGATAAAATGTTATTGAATTCGTCACAATAGTCCAATTAATCTGGTTTTATCCTCACCTATCATTAGTCATCGGTGCCTAGCCACCATATACAGATAGCGCAGGTGGGGTAACCATTCCATTATTATCCACTAAGAACCCCCGTTAATAATAATTCCATTTCCATAATATAACATAAGAATAACACCCGAGTTCTCAGGAATGGCAACGCATGGGAGGTATCATGGGCGAAACAGTATACTTTGTTATGTCCATGGTATTGCTCATGTCTATAGACGACGGTTACCACTTTCCATCAGGTGGGCAGTCAGCTTGTTTGTCATTCTAAGTTGTATAAAAAACCTTTTTATTGATAATATTGCTAATAATTATCGTATTGTAAGTGAACCGCTACTAAAATAAACAACCTGGAACTCTATCATGAAATAAAATTTCAACAGACTTGATTTCATGTTTTTGTTCATACCGAAATCAGTAATTGGGGCTTAACATTTTGTTCGTCATAAATCCTATCATAATAGTCTAAAGAGACGATATTTTAATATTTTTAAACAGCATGCATTATATAAGTTAAAAATAAAATTTGTGTTTAGTTCGACCTCAAAATTTCGGAAAATAATCCATGGTAGCCCCTCTGGATTATTTGATTAGTAATAATAGGTATCTAGTATAAATATTAAATTATTTTATTTTATATACAAATAATACAATGAAATGTAAATTACCGTGTTGCAGCGTGGTGTTCTCTCTGTTCTTCATCATGAACTTGGTGCTGTGGGGGAAGGGCTCGTCGGCGGCGATACCTTTCTCCACGCTGGTGGCGCTGCTCGCGCTCTGGTTCGGGGTATCTGTGCCGCTCACCTTCATCGGCGCTTACTTCGGATTTAGAAAGAGGGTAAATAGTATCAACTTTTAACCTTTTAGACTGGGAATTAACGCGATCTTTTAAGTAGACTATAATAAAGATAGTAATAAACTGTAGAAATCCCTTTAAGGATAAGCCCGCTTGTGAACATATTTGTTACAACCTAATATCTATATTTAAAGTAATTACTCAAAAGGTTATAAATAATAATGTTTATTTATTCAGACAACATAAGGCCCATTTTGTTAGTTATAACTTTATTTATGTTAGTAAATGAGCGGTCATGACGCTCTTGCATTAATAACCTGTCCCACCCAATAATTTAGGATGGGACAGTCCATTTTACCGGTAATTGTCTGCAGGACACTGTTTGAGCTAACACGCGCCCTACACAACAGTTTGTTTGCTCCGTAAATAAATAAATAATCTACGCTGTTACAAGTATATTGTAGCACTGTCATGCCTCTATTTCCGAGACAGAAATTTTGCCTCGGGAGTGTGGAGGCATGACAGTTCTACATCATTCTTCTAGTGACCACGGCTGGTGTAATCTGGTCAAAACTTCGAGATAACTCAAGTAAATTATCGTAATGTATTTAAATAATCACGTTAATTCCTGTCTCTTATAAACTAGGATAAATAGTATTTTTATTTTAATAATTTTATTTATACATTTATACATATTATATATAACTGGACAACAGGTATAATATAATAATAATAAATAATTCCACTACTATATCACAGCTTTCAAACCGAAACATATTCATACAAGCACAGCTGCATCTCATACATCACACATCGCAAATTATTTTGATTATTTGAAGCGACATATGTTTGTTTCCAGATCTTGGATCACCCAGTACGCACAAACCAGATACCGCGCCAAATACCCGAGCAGTCACTGTATACGCAGCCCATCCCTGGCATAGTGATGGGCGGCGTACTGCCCTTCGGATGCATCTTCATACAACTGTTCTTCATTCTCAATTCCCTTTGGTCCAGTCAGGTATGATCCAATTCAATGAATATCCTAACACATCTAACATCTAAACAAAATATTCTCTAACATTTTAATAGACTGTTAGAAAATTAATTTTACAATTTTAAAGGTGAAAGTATAGTATATGTTTACAAGAATGAATATTTATTACTCTTTTACGCAAAAACTACTGAGTGGATTTGAATTAATTTTGATAGCTGTCCATGTACCAAGTTTCATGTGGCATATCATAAATAATCATACCCTAACTTAAAACAGGATACTTTATGTATACTAGCTTTATATAGACTAGCTTTTTACCCGCTACTTTGTACGCGTGGTTTCAGAAGTATGAAAACTTAGATGGCGTAATCAAGGTGAAACGTACATATTTTAAGTTAATTTTTTTAACTAAAAGAATTAAGTTAAAGTTCATATCCAAGAGAACAACTGTGAAAACCTTTAGTGCAGTAGTTTTGTGTAATGCTCACATTAACTAGAATACACTAAATAACACTAAAATTTTCAAAAATCATTGTTTTGCATCTGTTGGTTTTATTAAGATCTCTCATATCAATTTCCCTTAATTATGGCCCATGTATTGTAGTTACAATTTAATTATATGAATAAGATACATGCGGATGAAGCTGCAGCATATAGTTAGTTATCTATGATTTCATAATTCTCATCTCACTATATCATCTCATCTATAATTAATAAGTCAGATGAGTTATGAAAGTCCTCTGTCACTCGATTCTTTTTGTCTATTCTGTGTGATACATATAGTAATATATAATATAGTGTGATATATAGATATATAGGTCAGTTCTATTTAATATCAGAGGGAGATTTTGTACAAAAGTCAATTGCTTGGGTACCTCTGTCCCATTCGTGTTTCAACCGTGAAGCTGTTGTGTTTGCATGGCTGTGTTTCGGTTTGAAGGGTGGGATATAGTGTGAATTTATTGGGTACAGAGGAATAACACCTGAGTCCTCAGCGATGGCAACGCATGGGGGGTATCATGGGCGAAACAGTATACCCTGTTATGTCCATGGTACTGCTCATGTCTATAGGCGACAGTTACCACTTTCCATCAGGTGGGCCGTCAGCTTGTTTGCCATTCTAAGTTGTATAAAAAAAAAAACCTATTTTAACTATTACACTGTTTTGTCACTTGCTTTTGAATTAGGAATTAGGCATAAAAAAGGGACAAAACAGTTCAACAGCTAAAATAGATTTATGAGACGTTTGAAGTTTTTATGAAGCAGAGGGTTATATAATTTTTTTTTTTTATTGCACAATAATAAACTTGCATCAAATCATATCGATAATTTCCGGTAAAAATTGATAACATGTAACTCGTTATCGCTATTTACTACGATATGACGTGAATAGATAAAACTAGTAGTTCGTTGATTTTTAATAAATTATTTATTTATTTATTAAAAAAAAAAAAAAACGGCGATAAACAAACAAAATTAATAAACAATTTACAATACTATGATCAATAACAGGTTTTCCTAAATTATAAACTTATCACTTGTAAAGTATAATTGTGCAATAAAATAATTTTATACTGTATATTTATGATAAAGCAAATGCTGTGAATATCTTTAAAAGGCATGTGCATTCATATTGTATTGTATTTAATGTTTGTTATTAAGTTATAATGCAATGCTGTTGGTGTTCCTATAAATAAATGAAAAATAAATAAATCGTTGATATATTTATGCACGTACGCAATAAATATATAAACTCAATAGAAAATAGGTATATTAATACATACATATACATATCCACATATTATTTTTATACTTTGAAACAAATACCTTTAAAACTAACCTATTCAAAATTAAAGTGGTAAAGATTTGCATGGATTTCAACACACAACCTAACTTAGATTTTTTGTATTCTAAATTGTGAATTTTTCTAAGTGGTATCACAGACTGTTATTTAAGTGTGCACCCTGGGAAAATGGTTTCTGAGATACAGTATACTTTATAGTCGTTCAGAAATCACAAACAATATTGTAAGTTAGTTCTACACAAAATTAAATATTTACTATACCTTCTATCATCATCATAATATGTCAGCTGTTAATTGTCCACTGCTAAATATAAGCCTCCCTCATAATGGGGTTTTGGCAATAGCTGCCATGTTTGGGATGCGGGTTGGCAACCGCAGCTAGGCTATGATATTTAAAGAGGAGCGCTGCTGCCCATCCCCTGACCATTTAAGATTCTTTAGTCGCCTCTTACGACACCCACGGCACAGGAAGGGGTGGCAAGGTGTTGTAACATAATTTATGACGTTAAATTTGAAAGAAACATTTTTAACTAACTTAAAAAAAGGAGGTTTTCAAATTCAGTGGTATTTTTTGGTTTGTTACAATGATATAAAGATGAAAGAGATATGAGATCTGTCATCATCACCATCATCATCTATCTGCAAGGATATAATTCCAGATTGATCCCATAATAACTTTAATAACATTGATTCAGTTGTTTAGTTTTTTAATCAAAACAACTGTTCTAGAAACAATTGTAAACAGGTTTTTTTAATACAATGTTAAACTATTAAAATGTTTTAATTATTATGAATAAGAGAATATTTTTTTTTTTCTTAAGAGAGTATGTTTTAAAAATGTAATTTATATTGTTTACAGATGTACTATATGTTTGGTTTCCTGTTCCTCGTGTTTGTGATTCTTGTGATCACCTGCTCCGAGACAACGATTCTGCTGTGCTACTTCCACCTGTGCGCCGAGGACTATCACTGGTGGTGGCGGGCGTTCCTCAGCTCCGGCTCCACAGCCGGCTACCTTTTCATTTACTGCTGTCACTACTTCGTCACTAAACTAAACATCGAGGACGCGGCCTCCACTTTCCTCTATTTCGGATACACTTTCATAATGGTATTCCTATTCTTCTTACTAACCGGCACTATTGGATTCATGGCGTGCTTCTGGTTCGTAAGGAAGATTTACAGCGTTGTGAAAGTCGATTAAATTCAGTGTGGTACTAAATGTAAGATACAAAAGTATTGGTACAGCGGTGATGCGTGGCGGTGATGAAAGTTTTGCTTCATCATTTATTTTAAATTTATTGCTCACGTTGATCGCACTGATATCATCGTTAGTCATGGTAATGATCAATCGAAACTTTCATCTATGATGTTAGGTCCATATTTGCGTCAACACCGCATTTCCTAAATAATGGAACGTCATACATTATGTATTAGACATGTATTTATACCGTTTTATACATGTTGAGATACATGTATAAAACTTATTAATGTTTGTGTGGATATCATGACAATCGTTTCCAAAAAATACATATCGCAAATACGATATGTACGATATTTTGGCGGAATCTGGGAGTCAAGTGATAGTATGTCTAATGTGATGGTTAATTTAACATGTGTAAATGTATTTGCATTTGGAGTGATAAATTTACCATTACATGTCATATAAACTTCGTGAGTTGGAATTTTACTCTGTTTACCAGATCTTTATGTTTGTGCACATTCTACAAAATTGAAGACGACCATTCATCCGCGTTAAATAATTTCTTTTGTAATGTCAAGAATATAGTGAATAGTGGGGTCGATTCTCGTAAAAACAAACCACTCATTACGAGTAGCGTAGTCCTATGCAAATTTTATATTAATATACTTGTCAATCAACAAACAAAATGTTCCTGGAAATGGAATCAGGTAGGTGTCCTTGTGTTGTGTTAAGTTTATTAACTATTAATAAATTATGCAAAATATTGTAAATTAGATATTATACATAATTAAATATTATAAAATATTTAATACGAAAACGATTTGATGACATTACGTTTGAAAGACTTTAGAATCAGCATCATTCAAGAATTAGAATAAGAACGTATAAACGATTGTAACGCTACGATGCCATTGGGGTTTATTACGGGAATTGAGCTCTATATTTAACGTCTAATCATATTTAATGTCATCAACAATCACATTAGGTGTTAGAAAGGTAACACTTGTATATTATGCGTTAATCAATATCGTAAATATGGCCCGAGCATTATATACAAGTTTGCGATGTACGTTTATATCCGTAAAGGATTCGAATTTATGGTAGCTACAAGGAGCTAGTTGCAATAGGGATGCGAGAGCTATCATAATCACTAGAGACTGCTGTACGCGATGTGATTTTATGTAAAAAAAAAAATGAAAGTTTATATCGAAATTAAATCGATAAGTCACGTAAAATTTTTTAGTTGTCAATTTGTTTTCATATTGTTAGTTGTTAGATGTAAATAAGTTTATGTAAAAGAGAAATCTTAATCGAATTATTTATTGTTTGTCCTCGATTCGTCTGCACAATCGATATCTGTAGTAATGATAAGACGATAGATCCATAGACAGAGTATTAACATCAAAAGGCCGTACTTAAAACGTCAATTTGATAAAAATGAAATTTAAATTATAATAATTTTTTTAATATTATTTCGGAATACATAAGGATCCTAAAGAGACTGACCACTTTGTAATTGGAATAGTGTAACAAATTTTAGCATAACATAACAAGATGTTTATAAGTTGTTGATGTGTTCTGATATCAGACTCCATTAGTTCATCTTCAGAAGTGAAATATGTAATCAGAATATTTTAATTACAAATTAACAGACGCCACTGATTTAAGAAACTCAATGCCATCATTATATCAGCTATTAACTGTCCACTACTGGACATGGCCTCTCCCTATAGATTGCCATAAAAAACGGTCCCCATCCACCTGCATTCATTGACGCCCTGCAATGTATTTGAGGTCGTCGCTCCATCTAGTAGGGGGTCGTCCTACACTATGTATGCTTGTACGGGATCGCCACTCAACCTTCCCCATCGGTTGAAGGTTCTTCGAGCTATGTGACTAATTGATTGCCACTTCAGCTTGTTTATCCTTCGGCTTAATGGTAGACAATTATGAGGCATATAGATTATATGCTTGAAGTACAAGCATGTCAAATGTTACATTCAATGGTAACAATAACAACATGTCTCTGACTACCCGATTGGGATTATAGTCGTGAAATCATATTTATATTTAAGTATTATTCAGATATCACAAGATCTACCGAGCCATACAACTTAAGTCTTTAAACTTAACCACACATTGACTGAACTGTAAAATCAATAAATTTATAGAGTACCTACATCAAAAGTATATATATATATATATATATATATATTAGCTTCGGGGGTTGCCATGATAAAATTATAAAGTACTTGTAATTTTTTTTTAAATACCACGAATTTTATTTCACTTTTTTTTGTGAAAAGAACATCTATTATGGTACATTATTCACTAAGGGAAAGTAAGAGACTATCACTTTAGTTATGAATCGTGCTTTATCCCAAATGATAGTGATTTCATACTACACGTGAAAGGATTTTATAAAAAAGTTATTTATATTTTTATATTAAACCATTAATCATATAGAATATTGCAGAACTGTATTAACAGTCATATCATAATGTAATTATTTCCTTTATATATATGTCTATGGCAGCCCCTTAATTCTAAACATTTTGTAAGTATCTATATCCCAGTAAAAAAATATTGGCTGTCTATAGGATCCCAATCATATTTTATATCGATAACACGTATTAGGGACTAGGTCTATCCAATTTATTATTTAAGTATATTAATTTAAGTGTGTGCATATTATGAGATTTAATTTTAAAATAATATTATGTTAAAAATTATGCTTAACTGGAACAGTTGATTGTAAACAATAAATTGACTATTTTATAATAGTATTTTATTTTATTAACAGATTTGCAATAAGTAATGACACTGTAATAAATTTATAAATAAATAATAATGGCGCATTCATTAATCACTATCACTATTTTCTGAAAGGTTGGCTGTTTCCTTTGGTAAAATAACCCTCCTTTTTGATACTTTCTTTTTTCTATCGAGTTTTGTCTTTCTGAATATCTCAATTGCTTTCATTTTATTTTGTAGAAGACTTTGTTTCTCCTTTTCTCTTTGGGGGATTATTTCTTGCGTTCTATCTAATTTTGGAATGTTTATTTCTATTGTTGATTTATCATTATCTGTTATTTTTGATATAACTTTTACACCAAGATTTTTAAGTACATTTTCTTCACTATTTTTATTTTGTTTACATTTTGATGGGCCACTCACACTTGCTACATTCTCTGCATGACTTGTGCTAGATTCAATTTTATTTGATTTTCTTTTTCTTCGTATTTTCTTTTTCCCTTCACTGACATATGCTTCTTCTAAAGAGGCTTCTGGCCCCATTTTTTGTACTGCAGCTTTAACTCTCTTACTCATGTGATCTTCTAGTGATTGGTATTCTACTTTCTTTTTAAAATAGTCATGAATATTCTTTTGATTTTTTCGATTTAACATCCTTTTTAATACTGGATTGATAATTTCATCTAATTTGCTTTGTGACCAACCAAATTTAGCTTTGGCATAATCTCTCAATATTGTTATATCTAATTCTCCCCATGTAAATCTTTCTTCACTTTTTTCTACATTTGGATCCAAGTATGCTTGAACAACCTAAAAAATTTTCTTTACAATTAATCATAAAGTCTAAATAGTAATAGAAATTTATTAAAGTGAAATTTTAATTCAATACGGTAACAATAATACAATTGGACTGATTAATGTTGTGGTTATAATAAATATTTGTTATATATATCGTCATATAATATTTTGTGACGCAAACAGCGTCACAAAATATACGATCTCTTAGGTCAAATAGTGAACTTCAGACAAAACTTCAAGTTCTTGTTAGCACATGAATTAAACATATGTATGACAATACAGGTGATAGACTGGGCACATCATTAGGTCATAAAAAAATAAATGGACACAAGATTTAACTGAGTGGTATCCGCGTGATGGAAAAAGAAACCGAGGTAGGCCAATAAGATGGGAGGATGATTTGCCCAAAGGCTGGAGACAAGCTGCAAGGAATCATTACCAATGGAGAAATATGGAGGAGGCCTATGTTCTAGAACAACCTGAAAAATAAGATGTCATTGATGTGAACATTACTTATTTATACATATTTACAATTTAAAAAAGAATCTGTAATTCAGGAATAAAGGCTATTTTTATTTATTTTATGACCATACATATATACAAATGTACTGTCATTTATAACAATATAGATGTTTTTAAAGGAGAAGAATTTCTAGCTTCGACAGAAGTAAAAAGCAAACCTTATCCTAGACCTATAATTAAAAAAAATTATAAAGCAAAACTTACCCGTAAACTTGGAAAATCATCAGTCACATTTACATTTTTAAGTTTTTTCTTTAAAGATATATTATCAGTTCTTTTACCAGCACATACCCAATTTTTGAACTCTTGTAATCCAGTTATAACTTGTTGGTATCGACCTTGTTTAGTGGACTCATTGAGGAACTGCCGCTTGTTGAAAGGGAATGATGCTAATATTTCTAAAGCAGTCACTGGCCCAACACCAGTTAAACCTGTAGTGTAATCACTTCCTACTAATAGAGCTAGCAACACTAATTGTTCTCTGGAAAGATCTACAAAAAATTATTTATATTAATAAAATTCTAATCAATTAACTTTATAAATAATTTTGGGATAATACTCACTAAATGACTTTTCAATTCGATCAGCTAAAAATTGCATGACATGTTTCTTTTGATTGAAAAAGTTTTTGTAGACTGTTTTTCCACCAAAGAGCCAAATATCACTATCATCAGTTATAGTGCCATCAGTTAACTTAATATTCTCTAAAAATGCACACTGAGCCTCTGCCTCCATTGGTGCAACAATGTAAGGAATTCCAAATATTTGCAGCAGTTCTTGGGCTTCTTTTGTCATTTGTTCTGTAATGTTTCTTCCGATTCTATCTAATTTCCCCTTCTCTTGTATTAACTGTTGTTCTTCAGATTCCATTACCTCCACTATAGAATTAAGTTTATCTGTAGAAAAGTCTTTTGATACTGTTGTATTTGATATTTCATTTTTAGAATCTGAATCAGTCATTTTGTCAGAAATTTTAATTGTTTCTTCAATAGGAGTGGGTGTTAACATTCTAGAAATTTTTACCACAGACTCGCTTTCATTATGACAAATTGGATCAGTCAAGCTTTTGTTATCATTAGTTTTCATTTCTTCGTATTTTTGTTTATCGCCCTGTTTACTATGTTCTAGAATGTCAACATTTGATGAAACATGTGACTGTAATATTTTCTTATTAGTTTCTTCTGAAGAGACATTTTTAGTGGAATTACTATGTTGAGACTGAACAATTTCGTCATGTTCTATATTTTTGTTTTCAATTGTAAAAACATCTGCAAATATATCATCATTTGGAATATTTTTATCCATGTTTAATGCCAATTGTACAACAGTTTTATTTCCTAAATTTTCCACATCAGGAACATCTTCAAAATCTTCATCATTGCTGGAATCATTATCATTTCTATTTTTTTGATACATATCTTGATTTTGTTTTGTATCATCTTCAGTGCTAGAATCAATTGTAATGGCATCTTCTAAGGTCTTTTCAATGCAGACTACAGATAGTTGTGTAGAGTCAATAAAGTCCTTGCTTTCCTCATCTTCAGAAGGTCTCATTTTAATTACTTCTTTTAATTTAATATTTGGATCCTTAATACCTTCTTCATCACTGGATAACTCCAACCTATCAGTAATAATGGATTTCTCTTTATTAAGATCTTCTAAAATAATATCAATCTTATCTTCTTTTTGTTTGTTTTTATGTTTACTTTTTGAGGTTACTATGTCATTTATTGCTTTGTGTGTAAAATCACTATATTGCATTATGTAAGCTTTAGCTGAAGACAGATCTGGCTGATCAAAACCATCTTCTTCTTCCGAATCATTATAGGAATCAGAATCTGTTAAGACTGTTGTCCAAGAATCATCAGTTTTAGAAGTGCATGCACTATTATCAGGATCTTCTACACATTCTAATGACATTTTTATTGCTCTTTGTAAATCTTCTTCTAATTCATCTCTTTTAGATATATTTTCTTCATTAACAATAGATTTTTCTTTCGCAACTTCTAATGTTTGAGGTTTATTTTCAGCTTCTTTTCTCTTTTTAGCTTCTGCTATAGCTTGTTTAACATCATTGATGAGTAAAAATCGCGTTGTATTATTAGAAGCGATGCGACGTGTAGGTAACATATCTATTTTTGTATCTATTCCCTCCTCATTTAACAATGATTCCAATTCATTTAAAGACATACCAGTATCACCCATCTCTTTCTCAGTTTCTTCTAAGCATTCCTGTACCTTTCTCCTTTTCAGCAATCTCTGCATCTATAATAATAAAGCTAAATAAATTAGCTATTTTGAAATCAATACCAAATATGTGACTTTTTGAAAATCAACTTACTTGGAAATCTGAAAAATTATCACTTTTTTTTGGTAACTCATGAAGTTTTCCCCATGAATTCATTTTCCTAGTTTCTTTCAACTCAATAAGTAAGTCATATTTTTCTTTAACTGGTAATTTTTTAAAGTTTTCAGATTCTATATCTACAGAGTGTACATCAACTATAGACCCACTTGATGTTTCATCTTCTGATCTAAAAATAATTATAATATTTAAGATTAATAAAATAAATTTACATATCTACACCTCAGCTTATATGCAGTATTAAAATATTACTCTGATTCACTTTCTTCTCTTGCTGGCAGTGCTGGTAGTTTGAATAAATCATCACCAACAGCTATGTCAGTAGAAACTTTTTTTGATGATATTTGTTTTCCCAATAGACTGCTTATTGCTGTTTTCTTACTAAGTAATAAAGTTAGTTCACGTTTAATCCTTTCTGATTCACATTGGTACTTAGTTTTGTTATCTTGTCTCTTAGCCTACAAAAATAATGTTTTGTTTTTATCTTATCATAATGTAAATTGATCTTTATCATATAAATAAAAATCTTACAATGGTCTCTTTCTTCAAATCAGGGAATCCTCCATCGAATACGAACACTGGTTTTACCCTAAAATAGAGCAGTTTACAAAGACGCTGGAACAATCCCATCAGGTGGGCATTTGCTAGAGGAGCACCTTTCGCATCTTGGTAACCTTTCACCACTTGATGCAACCATATTGAAATATCTGTTGAGGAAAATAAATATTACCCTGGTATTACATCTGGTCTAAAAGTAAAAACTTTTAACCTACGATACAAGTAAACTTACCAACTGCTAACACCTTGTTTTCCAATGTTTCCACAGGTACGGGCTTGCCGGCTGGCTCAATTAGTCTCCACAGTCCAGTAACTCCCATCGCGTGCGATTAAATTCCAGAACAGATTTTTTTGTTTATACTAATTTAAATATCAGTATACATAACAAAGGTCGTTTCCCACGAGATCTCCGGTCAATCGTCGCGCGGTCTCTTCCTCACACATCGCAACCTTTTCGCTTCATGAGTTCGACGTATTATTTATAACACACACATTCACAATACGAATACTGCTACTGGTGCACTGCGTTCATAAATGTGTTTGCTTCACTACAACATATCAAATGTTTTACTACGCCGCGACGCCCACTCTTTCCCACACTTTATTTTCTCACGCCCCATGCGTAACCCCACATCCTATCCTATGACCGGCTGTCAGTCGCCGCACCGCAGAACGACCAACCTCGCAGACACCTCGCAATACTCGATTGTGTTCGCGCGCGTGTAGTCGCCAACACGCTTACACTTTGCTTGTCTATGGTCTGATTTTGACAGTTCATTTCTCTAGCGTTATCTTATTGTATTTATTTTACGAATAAACATAAGTTTATAAGCTTTTACTAAGTGCAATAAGTTAAAATACTTTTGTTTTAATGTACAGATTGAAAAAGTCTTATTTTTATGTGTAAATTATTAACAACAAACCGTGGAATAGTGATTTAGACTATCTGAAAATTTTGTCGTCGAACAGGTGTTTTTGAATGAAATGTGTGCTAAGGTTCCCACCGTAATTAATTTATAGTGTCGTGAATAATACAAAAGTGTATCGATCGCATGATAGTAGCTTGGGGAAGCCGACTTCCCATATTTCTACATACGTGTTGTTGTTACCCAGTGTATTAAAATTCAGATAAAGGACGCCGCTCAATACCCTGGGCCTGTTTTGCCAGCATTAGGCAATGCTCTGCAGTAGTAGATGGACCGTCATATCCAGATAGTGATATGGGAAGGGCAACATGGTGGGCCCATTTAACAGCCGATACATTATGAAGCGTGGTACATGGTGAGGTGGAGCCGTGGCGAGTATGCCGCACCAGTACGGCGCGGGCGCGGGCGGCATGGCACAGGGGCCGCCGTCGCCCCCGCCGCAGCACGGCGCGCTTTACCCGCGCTATGCCAACGCCGCAGGCCCTGGTGCCGGAGCTTACCGCCCCGAAGAGCGTCGTCTGACTCGCGAGGCGATGGAACGATACCTTCGCGACCGTTCGGATATGGTGGTGGTAATTTTGCACGCTAAAGTGGCCCAAAAATCGTATGGTAATGAGAAGCGTTTCTTCTGCCCTCCTCCTTGTATTTATTTGTTTGGGGATGGATGGCGACTGCGACGTGAGCGCATGCTGCGTGAGGGCGAGACTGAGCAGGCGGCGCAGCTTTGCGCCTTCATTGGTATAGGCAATTCTGACCAAGATATGCAACAGCTTGACTTAAATAATGGTAAACAGTACTGTGCCGCTAAGACTTTGTACATATCAGATTCAGATAAACGTAAACATTTCATGCTATCTGTTAAAATGTTCTATGGAAATGGCCATGATATAGGAATTTTTAACAGTAAAAGGATTAAAGTGATATCAAAGCCATCTAAAAAGAAACAATCACTGAAAAATGCTGACTTGTGTATTGCTAGTGGGACAAAGGTGGCTCTTTTCAACCGACTCAGGTCACAAACTGTTTCAACGAGGTACCTTCATGTTGAAAATGGTAATTTCCATGCATCATCAACACAGTGGGGAGCGTTTACTATTCATTTACTGGACGATAATGAGAGTGAATCAGAAGAGTTTGCAGTAAGAGATGGATATGTCCACTATGGTTCTACAGTGAAACTGGTCTGTTCAGTGACAGGCATGGCACTGCCTCGGCTCATTATAAGAAAGGTAAATTGATCACATTATTATAAAATTCATAAAAAAAAAGAACAATTTAATTTCAAAATTCATATCTAAAATTATGTTTAGATTTTGAATTCTGAAGATTATATTAAATCTTTCTTAAGTGACCTCAAAAGGAGTAGGTTCTAAATTTATGTTTATTTTTCTAAGTAATTTATAATTTTACCAACTCTAGACTGATTCTGATAATAATTTTGCAAACAATAGGCCTTACTCAGACAATTTTCAAGAGTGCATCACAGTGCATCGTCATGACATGACATGACATACCACAAAAACAATATTTCTAGTCTAGACTATAAATACATTTTTAAATAGATGCTGCAATCATAATATATGATTAGCATTTCAAATTCCATCTAAATTTTCATTTGCAAGTTTCAAGTTCCTATGTTAACATTATGTTCAACAAACTTTAGATGATTTTTTTATACAACTTAGAATGGCAAACAAGCTGACGGCCCACCTGATGGAAATTGGTAACCATCGCCTATAGACATGAGCAGTACAATGGACATAACAGAGTATACTGTTTCACCCGTGATACTCCCCACATATTGTCATTCTTGAGGACTCAGGTGTTATTCCTCTGTACCCTGTAAATTCACTGCCATATCCCACCCTTCAAACCGAAACACAGCCATGCAAACAGAACTACTTTACAGTTGAAATAAATTGAAATCGATTGTTTAAACAACATTATTGGTAGTAATATTTTTTATTCAATACTTTTTTTTATGCCAAATATTGTATTAAAATTAATTTTGGTATATGGATTTGAAAATGAAATGTCAAAATTATAGAAATAATATAATGTTTTTTCATTCCCCTTTGAATGACAATATTGACAATATAATAATTCTGCATCTGACAATGTGTGGGATGGAAGTGACTTTGCTATCAATAATCCTTACTAATATTATAATTAAGAAAGTGGGTTTGTTCATTTCTTACTTTGTAGCACCTTAAGAGCTTAGTCAATCGCTATGAAATTTGGTATACACATACTATATGGGGTGGAGAAGGAAATAGACTACTTTTTATCCCTGTCACTAAACATATTCCGGTCATAAGAATGAAGTTAAAAATAATAAGTAGCATGCTAGTAAGGTAATAAGTTTGGCAATAAAGTCTACTGAAGAACCACAAGTAAATAGTAAATTTATTTGTTGTTTACTATAAATTCCTATTAAAGCAAGTTAAAAAAGTAATAATTTAAGATTATTTCGCAAAAAATAAAAAACTGACTTCAACTGTAGCAAAACCAATTAATTTGATTTTAAAACTAAACTACTGGATTGAGTTTGTTTAAATTACTATTATTACCATATTTAAACGCTGTCCACTGCTGAATTTAGAGGGAAGGCTATATTCAGCAGGGGGGGGGGAAGGGTGGCAACTGCACTTAGATTTTGGGGACATATCAAGAGGGAAGCTGCTGCCCATCCCTCTCCTGCCCGTAGTCGCCTCTTACACGGCCATTGTTTCTCTAAATAAATCAATCAAGTCAAATTTTATTCTAAATACCTAAGTGTAACACAATTTACCCTAAAAGTACAAATAAATTTGATATGATATTCTGAAGTTGAAGTAATCTCAGTATTAACAATGGGGATTAATTTTGATAATTCACTAGCAAATTTTCTCATACAATACCTTGCAGATTGCAGATACCTTGCAAACTTCAAAAAAAGATACACATGCACTTTTAAAGTTATTAACAATTTATAAACAACGTTAGCATGACTTTTTATTGAATTTTATCATTTAAAACTAAAAAAAAGTTATTTGTTTTTACCTTACTCTTATATAGTATTACAATAGAATTGTAATGAATGATGTGGGTACATGAGAGTTATTTAGGAAAAAAATATATCAGGTTTATTCTTTATATATTATATATATTATAACAGTCATCGTCGTTTCAGAATTTTTGTGTCTTTATATTTGTTCCGGTATCGCAAAAAAACTAAATTAAATGCAGTTTTCGCAGTTGGTATGTTCTATCTTAAAAATTTGTGTATGTTTTATCTGGATATACCGTTTAGAAACCGTTGTCTATTTCCAAAATACACGCATACGAAATTGCAGATAGAAGCTAGTATGCAATAATATGTAATCATTTAATATAAAAAACATTTTAAATATTTATGTAAATATTTATTTATTTGCACTTTATTGCACCATTTTTAATTAGTTATTTGTTTATTGTATACTATCATGATTTCGATAATTATAACTAGACGTTAAAAAAATTGTGTGAAGTTACAATAAAAATACAAATTTTAACATTTACTAATATTAAATTGTGAAAATATGTATAGATGTTTATTTGTTTGGTACTTAATCACATTAAACGTTTTGATGGATCTGAATGAAATACGCAAATAGATAAATAATATTCGGAATTAAAACGTAAGATGTTTTTATGCGTTGATGCGGGCAACACCGCGGGATATTGTCAGTTTTAATTACAAACATTGTCTATTATTTTCTCCATAATATTTTAATTAAAATGTAATTCTTCTTGTAAAACTTCAAGGGTATAGTGATAGAAATATTTTTACTGAGTAGTTTTATTATTTCAAGACAAAAATAAAAAAAAATATAAGTGAATCTAAATAATACTGTCTTTTCAGTAAATAAATAATAATAAATATGTAGAACATATTTTCCCGGCATAGAATAGGCCACCGCTATTTTTCCCGTGGATGTCGTAAGAGGCGACTAAGGAAGCTTATGGTCGAGGGATGGGCAGCAATGTTCCTCTTAAAACATCACCAAAAGCCAAAATGCAGTTGCCAACTCGCCTACCAAGCGTGGCCACTACTAGCAAACCTTATGGGAGAGGTTATGTTCAGCAGTGGACATACAAACGCAAATATGGAACAGTAATCGAAAAAAATAGTCACTAAAATCGCTTTAAAAATGATGAAAATATCGCGCAATATAGTTACAACTGAAAATTTAATTATAATTATTCTATATACTATACCGAAAAGAAATGATTGAAATGAAAACCTTTCCCTTTTTTTTTTAAATTGGTTATAAATTTGTTTTGTCAAAGTAAATTGTTGTATTATTTATAATTTACATTTTTCTGTTTACATATATTTTATATTGTCATTGATTAGTTATACACTTAACCAATCAATCACTGTTTTTACTGAGTACCAAGTTTTATTTGTTTTATTAATCTGAGTTTATTTAGATTTTTTTTAATCAGTCCAGTCCAGTTTTTGTAGCCGTAGTTCTAAATAGATATATAATAGTGTTTATTTTCCGTTAAATATTTATTACGAAATTTAATAAGGAACCAAGTGTTTGATAACGTACCTTGAAACCTTATTGGTAGCATTTAGCGCAAAACTCCAAAGGTGATTCGAACGGGAACTGCGCGAACACATTGATTATAGAACAAGTCCTATTGAGGGTTATCCAAAAAGATTCATTCAATATCTTTCTCTATCTTATCTCTAGCTTTTCTTCAAGGATAACAACGCACATGTGAAATTTCTGGTCTTACAGAAATTGATAACATATTTATAATTTACTGTAACACGGCATAGTATCGTACGATTTAAGCGTCAGGATGTACAAAAAGTTATAAAACTTATATTTATGATAAAGGGAGTTAGTCATAAAAACGTCAAGTGTCATAAATCTATTTTAGTTATTTGTTTTGTCTTTTTCTTTTGCGCCAAATTCTTAATATGACTGACAGTGACAAGCACTGTAATAGTTAAAGTAGATTTGTAAGAATATTTAGTTTTTATGAATAAGAGGGTAGCTGTGTTGCTACAAAAAAGTTGCACTTGCAATAACAAATGGATATTCAGGCGTCTCACTGCAAAAGCGTGTCTAACGTCTTGTCTAAATAAAAGAATTTTTTTAATTCATTTTTTTGTTAAAAAAATATTTAAAGTAAAAAATTTTATTCGTCGCACTAAAATATGCTGTTGTGTGTGCTGTAATAATAATCTAAGGGAATCGGTTACCACCACGTAACCGTAATCGCTGTCCTAAATTATTTTTTTGTGATAGATCGTAATATTTCTCAGTTTTTTGTATCATAACGACATAGTATTAGGTATCATTGACACGTCGTAGCTTATTTCGTAATTTAATAAGTAATATTTAAATAAATGAGGCCCAACCACCTTAAAATACAGCCCCCTGGTACATACTGGTATTTATTTTTTTGCCGTTGATAACTGAATAAAAAAATATCCAAACACATAAACTACAGTAAGCATATTTATACATCTCAATTATATTTTTACAATAGAAATTTAATCAAAATATCTATGTGCAAATGCCATCCTCAAATTATTAAAACAATCCCCTGTTAAAATTTGAAAACAACGCTGAAGTCAAGTTTTGTTTTGGCGCGAATCATTTAGATCGTGTAACGGAATGTAGTCGGTATGAAGTACGTTCGGTTGTGGATCTAAGCGGGTACCCACCATGTTATTTTAGTACTACGGCTGCACTGCTGGTGATCCACGTATCTCGGTGGAAACAGTCCACTGGTAAGCCTTTTTTTACTATTTCAAGAGTTTTAATAACAATAATTTGTTTAAAACAATTGATTATCTAGTATGTAGCTACATCTGTACTGTTAATCTGATAAAATGATTTTGTTTTATTAAGTGACCAACAGTCCTCTGTTATTTTATAGCATACTGTTCATACCACTTGTTTACATAGCTTTTGTCAAGTCTGGCATGCTAGATATTAGATAGAGATAGCTATTATCTCAAAATGCCACCGATAAAGAAACCACCCAAAATAAGAAAAGAAATATTAGAACAAAAACGTATAGCTGAACGTTTGAAATATTAATGAATTAAATTTGTCCCTCAATATAAAGAAAAAGATAGGTGAAATTATCAAAAGAAAAAAAGGCACAAATTAGTTAAGGATATGAGTCATCGTAAGCATAAGGCTGTAAAAAAGGTTTCGAAAGAGCATTGTTCTAAGCATTGTGGAAAGAAGAAAGTTATGAAAGACATGACGAATACTTTTGTAAAGGAAAATACGCCTGATTCAGAGCATCTCGCGGAAGAACATCTGATAATACGACTAACGATATTGAGAGACGCCAAGAATTTAAAAAGTTTCAATGGTACCCTTAAAATATGTCAGATTAAAATATGACGTCCTTTGGTATTACTGCAAAGTGCTGGGAAGCTCTTAATGAAAAGTTTAAGCTGCTTTTGTAAAGAATAGTGTCAGCATTTTAATCTAAGGGTTTTGAACCACCAAATGACGAAACTTCACGTTGAAGACGTTTACACAGACTCAGAATTCGAAGACGAAACCAGACCAGCCTATAACTCGCCGGATAGTAATATTATTACAGAAACTGAAATTTCACAACCGTGTGATTATTTCAATACTGATGACAATAATGATGATTATAATGACAATACTATAAGGCCCAGTACAATCAGACTACAGTAATACAACAGTGGTAATTACGTTTTAGTTAAATTAAAATACCGAATATCGTTATGCTGCTGTTAGTAATCAAGTAAATAATGAGGAAGGCGAATTAACAGTAAGTTTTATGAAAATATATGATAATAAGGGCCACATATTCATAATGGAGTGAATTAATATTTTTGATGTCAGTTTTAACGAAATATTGGAGACGTTACCATATCCAGATCTAAGTTAAAAAAGGAAAAGATTATTTTTTATTTTCCAATATCTGTACCCGTTTTTGAAAGATAAGTTAATATGAAGGTTGTTTTCCTGAAGAACAATGTTAAGACTGATTTTTATTGTAAGGCGTCATACATTTAATATTAATTACTTTAGTTAATTTAAAAGTACAAATGTTTTAATCAAATATGTCAACCTAAAATGTCAGTTGTGATAATTAATTAGCATTAGTAATGTTTTTTGTTTATTTTTATTAATATAAAGACCGACTTTAGTGTTATATAATTAGAGTCTTAAAAATACTGTTAAACTAGGAATATAATTTGGTTAAATTAATTAAACTAGAAATTTAATTTAATATTCTTAAGTTTGACACAAATGTTATTAGTCTTAAGAAAAGTGACTATTATAAGTCAAATTTGTTTTAATACTGTTGATTTATTAAAAAAAATACATATTTTATGAATGACAATGAAAAATAAAAATTTTGATTATTTTAATAAATAAAAATATTTGTTTTTGTTTATAAAAACATTCCCTTGGATGATTATAACAGTCCTCTGTCACGGTTTTGCATATAATCATCGATAACTAAAAAAACAAGAGGATAATGTGTGGGTTTTATCAAGATATATATTTAATTAACTATTGCCCTTTATTTTATTAACAAACTTTCTGAACTTTTAATAAAATTTGCTTAGGATAATATTATATGGACGAATTTCCAAATAGCAGAGAAACACCCAAATAAAGAAGTAAATTTTAGTGTTTACTAGCTGTACCCCACAGCTCCGCCAATATATGTGAATCAGTACCTATATTATACATATACCATACAAGTATCCTGTGTGTTAATTTAGTATATAGCCTATCCGTTTACCAAATTTCATTCAAATTTGTTCAGTAGTTTATACATGAAAGAGTTACAAACATCCATCTATCATCATATACAATATTCATCATTATAGACTTTCGTATTTATTATATTAAACAATAGGGCTAGTTGTATCCCGCGGCTTCCCTCCTGTTAATCAGTACATAAATCATCATTCACTCATACATCCATCGTTACAAACTTGCATTTATTATATTAAAAGAAATTAAAAAAATAAATTGTAGAATTTAAAATTCGTCATACGACTTGCGTTACATGGAAAATCATATAAAATTTGACAATGTTATACAATAGTTACAATTATGTACATATACAATAATATCCGATCCACTGAATAGTGAACTGTATTCTGAGCAAACATATCAGTTTTCTATTTCTTTATCAGCAAAAATTTAAGTTTCGCATTTCACTCCGGCGGCAAAATACCGAAACTATTGTTAGTGCTACTTCTAGTGGACATATTTGAAATTAAAATACTTACATACGATAGGCAATTTAATTATATTTTGTTACAACAAATTTATTAGTTAAGTTATCACGCAACTGCTCTTGTCTATGAATAAATTTATCGCGGGGTCAACAAATCGCGCGTGACATCCCTGGTGTCACAGGCGTCCATAGACTACGGTAACCCCGTTTACTATCAGACGGGCCGTATGCTTGTTTGTCACCGCAGTAGTATAAAAAAATTATTATTACCAAAAAGTTGCAGAAACTTAAAATTTGTACAAAAAATTACTTACGTTGAAGTTATTATTGGTGAAATGTGGACTTCTTGAATGTTTTGTTTCTCATAACAGTAATCTTTACTAATAAAGTAAATATGAAAGTAAGTTTGTAGTTACAGCACAATGGTTTCCAGGGGGCCACGTGGAAATCAACCCGAAAGGGTACTTTGCTAGCAATGGGGCTATTAGACCCCATTACTAACATACTATTTGTTCAAAAACACTTTTAAACCAAGTTTATTCGTAATTACAAAACACAAAAAAAAATCTGGAGCACTAATTTTATCGTTTTATACACCACTACTTCAGACACCTTTTACTAACTCCAAAGGCCTCAGATTTTCCATTTTAAAGATTCAATATTCTAAAATGTTGAAATTTTTTGCATCACTGGTTGTTATTTTTTTTTTTTTCATTTATCTTCAAATGTTCTAAACCAGTTGTGTCCCTATTCAAACTCAAATCCCTATTGACCCCATTTTACGGTATTCTCCACAAATTGTTGATGATTTTAGCTACATCGCCCCATTAAAAACGTCAGATTATATTTTTTTCGTAATCCTTAAATCTTCTTTTAAATTAAAAAAAAAAATCAATCAAGTTCGAGTTTTTCGAGGTGACGTATTTTTTTTACAACTTAGTGATCCGACCATTTTCCGTGTATGTCACGCTGAAATCAGATTATTGAAATAATCACTTTTGTCACCTTTACTTTGTCTTAATCTGACGCGCTCGAGTTTTTCTGAGGAATAATTTTTTTACTAATCTAATCGGCTGCTCTTAACACCCGCCCCCATATTAATATATAGTAGAAGTACATTACAAGGAGTAAGTTTCTCCTTACAATTTTCTGACACGCTCGAGTAACGTGCAAAATCCCCGCTTGGGCTCCCCTACTATTAGGTATATAGGATGAAGAAGGGTATAGGCTATTTTTTATCCCAGTCAGTAAACAAATCGCAGTTACACGAAGTCGCGAGTAAAAGCTAGTAGTCGACAAAACTGAGTATACCCCATAACTGGTGTTTTTCGTTTCTCATAAGGGCTGGCAACCGCAGTTAGGCTTTGGAGGTGTTTTAACAGGAGCGCTGCTGCCCATCCCTGGACTATTAAGTTCTCTTAGTCGCCTCTTACGATACCCACGGGAAAGAAAGGGGTGGTCTGTTCTATGCCGGTACCACACAGCTAATAAGACAATCTGTTGATGTCCAATATTGGTACAATTAAAAAATCGATTAATTGATTTAATCTTTCAATTTGTTACTAATTTCATTAAGAAAACGTTTTTGTAATAGTTTCAACAAAACTTGTTTAACTTTTCATTATGTACTATTAAAGCAAACCGTATATTCCATACTATATAACTTCAGGCTGCAGCTAAAAATCAGTGCTTTGCTTTTAAGCTGAAGTATCACTGATTTGTATCCTATTTGAATCACTGTGACACAAATGGCGAAAACATATTTTCGTATTTTATTTTTTATTTAAAAATAGTGTAATATATTGATTATATGAACTCATTTGTTAATTTACATGCGTCATAATTGGCTCAAATAAAGTGTTTATCTATCTATATTATCTCTCTCTCTCTCTTATTAATAAAAAACATTGTTTTTAGGTGGACAAACAAATGGCACTTTTAGAAGCGGATGATCCTGTTTCGCAACTACATAAATGCGCATTCTACATGAAGGACACAGAGCGAATGTACCTCTGCCTCTCCCAAGAGCGTATCATACAGTTCCAGGCGACACCATGCCCCAAAGAGCCAAATAAGGAAATGATCAATGACGGCGCTTGTTGGACGATCATATCAACCGATAAGGCTGAATACCAGTTCTATGAAGGCATGGGACCTGTCAGGTATTTAATTATATTAATTAAAACATATTTTTACATATAAAAATGGAATAGTGCCCTGACATTTAAAGCCTCAATGTTTGTAAGTAGTCGGCATCAATACGTTTGTGGATTTTTTTTTTATAAACTGTCCTGTGATTAGTTATATATAAATATATAAATATTTGTCGAGATATATATTTAAGTAGATGTCGCAATTGTACATACTTTGCATGCCTATTTTATTTCTTAGTAAGTTCAAAAGTGTTCCATTTGGCGTCTGACCGATTTTTATGATTCGGAGTTCTTACATGAAATTAAGTGGGAACTGTTTATTTATTTATGCTTTTGTACATACACTTTAATGTAGAAATTTGGTTATAACAAAAATGTACACAGGCGGACATATCCCTTAAAGGGATTACTCCCAGTCAACCTAGAACCCGATAGGAAAAAGTATCTATAGGGTTTGTATATAAAGTATAACATATATGAAGCAAAAATAATAAGATAAACAATATATTAATAGCTATATAGTTAAAGGGTAATTAAAACAAAATTATTTTTAAAGAGATTCGCACGTTAAGAGCGTGAGTGCTTCGTTAATTATCGCTTTTAAAAGTAATTTTTTTTTTATATTCACTTATGTCATTTATTTCCATCTAAAAATATTTAAAACATATAATAATGGCATCATACGTATTTTCCATGGCCCTACATGCAAGCCGAGCAGACATCGACTAATCGCAAATGACATGAAGTACCTATTATAATTATGTTTATTAACCACTTAATGTGACGTTGTATCTATTATAATGAAACATTTAATGATAAAACTACGCAGAGACTTATGATTAAGATTAATATTTTATTAAGTGCCCATTTAATAGGCTTTTTGTGTCAAGACTCTATCATTACGTACGAGTACAACTTTTACTTTATTTCCTTTTATAATGTCATGTCACTTGATACTAATTTTTTTTTTGTATCAGGCGTTAATTGCACACTGCTAAACATAGCTTCTCCTATAAGGGGGATTTTACTAATAGTTGCCTAATTATTGCTAATGATAGACTAACTGGCCTGTTTTCATTCTCATCTATCACCCTTCACTGGTGCTCCGCCAGCGTATCCCGTTAGCGCAGGCGGGGTTATCATACCATTTTCATCCATCAAAAAGAAAAGGTATATTTCTATCGCGTATATCGCGGACAGGGTTACCTCTTTAATATTATTTATGAAAAAAAGCTCACCCAGTTTGCTATATTGAACTCTGAGCGCCGAGGACAGCGATTCATGTAAGTCGTCGAAATTAAAACAATTTTATGACCGTCCATATATTTGTCAACAGGTCCCCAGTGACGCCTGTCCCTCTGGTACACTCATTGAACCTAAATGGCGGCGGTGACGTGGCTATGCTGGAACTAGCCGGGGACAACTTTACCCCTTCTCTGCAGGTGTGGTTCGGCGATGTGGAAGCGGAGACGATGTACCGATGTGCCGAGTCGATGCTCTGTGTGGTGCCGGACATATCGCAGTTTAGGGGCCAGTGGTTGTGGGTGCGACAGCCTACGCAGGTAATATTTGAAACATAATGACTTAATAGAAATGTTAATAGAAAGTAATAAAAATGTAAATAAACAAACTAATGGTTGTCTCTACTACTAACTATTTATTTTATTTATTTTATTCATTAGTACATATATGTATACATGGCGGACTTAATGTTAAAAGCATTCTCTCCCAGTCAACCATAGGGAAGTGTTAGAATACTTGATTGCGGTATTAGTAATTATTGATATACATACATATTAAAATTACATATATAAACGAGTAAATATATATAAATAACAAATATACTTACACATATATGACATATACTATATCATACACGAAATTAAGAGTAATATAAAGTACTTATTGCTCGGATAAAGTAAAAAAGTGAGCATGAACGTTTTTTTTGAAAGGTGGTTTAGTCGATAGTCTCTTAATGGTATCAGGAAGCGCGTTCCAGAGTCGTGAAGAATGCAGGAGAAAAAAATTTGAAGCGAAACCATTACGGTGTGAGGGGATAGATAGTTGGATAGTATTACTGGAACGAAGGTTACGGTCGTAATTTTCAAAAAGATACTGGAATTTGCTGCTTAAGTAATTACCTAGTAATAACCTATAATATGGTCGAACACAACGATGGCTGATTCATCCGTTATACACGTGAACGGATCTAGTAGGAACTGGTCGGTTTAAGAATATTTATTTTAGTTTTTTTTTTTCGCTATAAAGTATCTAATAGTCATTTTATTCATTCGCATTTTTGTTGTAAACTCAACTTTTATTTATAAAAAAAAAGAACAGCTGAGTTTCTTACCCGTTCTTCTTAGCTGAAATTTCATCCCGAAGAGAGCGGTTAATTCTTAAAAAATGACTATTCATATGCTTATAATTAAGTAAAAAAGTATTGTTTATTTATAAAATTTTAAATTTATTTATTTATTTTTTTAAACTTTAATGCACAATGAAACAAATGTATAGGGGGCTTAACGCTGGATGGTATTCTCTACCAGTCACCAATGGAAAAACCGAGAAATAAGTAGGCGGTGCATTATTGAATTGAAGGAATATAAAAATTCATACATAGAAAATATTCATATATTATAAACATATAAATAAACTAATATAAACATACATATAATATATTAAACAAATAAATATAAACATACATAAATTAATACTTGAATATTATTAATAAATATTATTATTAATTTATATTAGTTGAAATATTCTTTCATACATGTAGTGAATGTAAAAAAAAATTGAGTCATGCCAGTATACGTAATAATATACAGCACTACGTCTCGTGGGAATGCAGCCGTTTGCCAATTTAACTACAATGTACTCTTAGACGACCTCTATGAATTGGTACAATTACATCTACCACTGTTTCTTTGTTTTGTTTAGTTTTTGTTTGGTAATGTTTTTTATTGACATATTTTTTTCTTGAAAATATAAGTATCTAATCCAGGGGTCGGCAACCTTTGGATAGGCAAGGGCATCTTAGTGGCAAAATGCAGAAAAGACGAGCCGCACACATTCATAATTTTGATAATCGATCCCTATATCGGTGATAATAAAAATGAGAGAACATTTTGTTTGAAAAATGAGGAATAATAGACTTAAAGAAGAATTTTAAAGAAGACAACTATATTTATTAAAGAATATTTATTGTTTAATAATTTGTAATTCATAAATTAAAATAAAAGTTTTGTAAATGAAAGTCTTATGAACATAAATTTTATTTAAATAAGCTATCATTTACAAAACGGACCATGGGCCACTATCACCAGGGTCGCAGGCCGCATGCGGTTGTCGACCGCTGATCTAATCCATGATAGTTTTTATATATCTAAATAACACTGTTGGGGTATTATTATTATTATTTCCAAAACCGCACAACCGATTTTAATGACATTTTGTCAACGTGTATGTCTGTTCTAACTTGAGAAAAAGTAGAGGTATTATCCCGATGAAAAAAGAAATGGTCTCAGTAAGTGGTAGTAACGGGGAAAACAATGTTTGATAGATCAGTTAGTTTTAAAATATCATTTAATGGCTGATTAAAAATCTCCACATCTTCAGGTACCTGTGTCGTTGGTGAGGAACGATGGCATCATATACGCTACAGGGCTCACGTTCACATACACCCCAGAGCCGGGCCCTCGGCCGGTATGCCCACCCGTGGATGACGTGATGCGGCCCGACCAGGCGGCCAACTGGCACCACGACGCCCACAACAGCCACCGGCTCACCGACACGAGCCTTCAATAGCCAATGGACTGCAGGCTGGGAGACGACAGCCTGCAGTAGTCACAGAGTATCGAAACTTGACAGAGTGTCAGTCAGTGTCTCTATAAGCAGTCAATCTGGAAAGTGGTAACCTTAGACATGAATAATTCGAATAACAATGTTGTTTTTCACTACACTTAAGGGATTGTTACGCCGTCATTATAATAGTTTTTTTTAGTGCAAGCAATGCATAATTTTTTATAATAGGCGTCGAAAGTTTTGTTTTTTTTTTTTCTTCATTTAAACGTAATATAAGTTACTTGAAATGAAAAAAAAACTGTAGTGGTCAACTGTAGAGTTAGCGGAATGTTAGATGTGAAATAGTACACATCCAGACTTTTTAAAATTTTTGTTTCTCTGTCTATTTGTACGGGCTAATCTCCGAAACTGTTGGACTGATTTAGGCGAAATTTTGCATGGTGATATCTTATATCCCCGGTCAATATTTTAGATACTTTTAATGACGGAAATTTAAAGAGTTCCCGTGGGATAGTTAAAAACTATAGTAACTTATACAACTTAGTACACAACCTACTTAAGTAAAGACATTTACTTAAATAAGTCCAGTACTCCCAGACATAATAAATAGGTAGGTACATACATTGATACATACTAAACACGAATATTATATATATAAATAGGACAATGTCGTGGGCATCAGCTAATTAAAATATATATATATATATATATATATATATATATATATATATATATATATATATATATATATATATATATATATATATATATATATATATTTTATATAATTAATAATTTCCTATATAACTTTATTTATAATTAGGTACATTATACATTTTACATACGTCTGGAGTTAATTTTGCCTATTTCCCTTTTTTCTATAAATGTCTTTGTTTTGATTCTGTTCACTATCTCTGGAGTTAAAAGTAGTATCGAAACATCTTCATATTTTTGAGAATATATGACTTCAAAGATGCCGCTCTAATCTATATATGTATATAGGATCAAGTTTAGATAAAGTTTTACGAACGAAAATTCCAATGCATTTTGTTCTAAACTGCCTAAAAGATTTTAAGGCATTTTTTTTACAATTTTTTACATTATATTTTGTCATAAATACAGACTTATTATAGAATAGTATATATATAGTGGATATATGGAGATGGATAATGTATATAGTATAATCTGTATTTATGATTAAGTTATACACTTATAATATGGTTATGTAATAACCCCATTATTTTTCCAAATTATTCGCCTTATTCATGTTAATAGGCGAACAATAATCACTATTTGAAAAGCTTACACTCTGTGGGTAAAATACTCTGTGGTAAAGTGTCGCAACTAGATAGACATTCGCGCGTGTGTATTTGAAGTGTTGAATTCACAGTGAATTCCAGTATATGGACATTGGTGAGTGATTTGATGACGTAATTATACATAATTTTATTATAGTGCCTAATCTCTATTCATTATGACACGATTAACAAGTACATATATGCGGGCCATAGGACCAAAATAACGTTTTAAGAAGGTTTACAAACGTAAAATCGGCAACTTTATAGTTTATTAAATTTTAAACGATCTATGTATTTATATGTATTTTTAAAGATTTTGTTTTACATTAAAACAAATTTAATCATGGTGAAATTAATATGAGATTAAAAATTGATCCAGAATTATGTGTGAACATATGATGTAATCTACCACCACTAGCCTACAAAAAATAGTGATGGATTGAAACCTTTTTGAAATTACATAAATATAAATTTTATAGTGCATTGAAACTGTGACATTTTATTAATAATCAAACTTTATTAACGAAATAAACGTAACATTGGGACCATTGTAAAAGTAAACTCTTAAGAAAAAAAAAGTCTGTTCTCAATTTGCAAAGGTGTCGCGTAACAATAATAAAAAAGTACATACGTACATAATAGTTACACCAGCGTCAACATTACACCAGCCAGTATTAACCTTTTTAATACCGCCTTATAGATTCCATAGATAATAAAATAAAGTGCAGAGAGAAAAAAATCATGTCACAATGAATAGACTATTGAAAGCTTTATTACGTTAAGGATCCCTAATGCGAGTATATTTACTTGTAAAAAATAGAGATCAAATGGCGAACAATGGAATGAAACCGTTGTGTCCTTATTAGGTCCTGTGCAGAAGATTAAATATGAACGTAGAATTGTATTGTATAATGTGCACAGGTCGGTAATATGTCCCTAGTGGACACAACGTCGTAAATCCCAGAAAATATCATCTGCACAGGCCTCTAATATACTTCACAATTATTGTGTAACACCAAAATGTACAGTTTTTTTAACTGAAAAATAATTCAAACAATGGAATTATGTTTCTTAAATTACCATTTGTTAAGAATAAAAAATTGCCTACTATCTGATAATTATGATTGTCATAATTTCATACATTTATTTATTTATAAAACAGGGTTTTTTTATGTATTGAATCCCATTTTGTATATCGAATATACGAAACTCTGACCGTTAACACTATACTGCGTCTTGGGTTGCTAAGAGACAAGACGAAAGGGAGAGGCAGATTGTTCAAATAATTATAGCACATGAGATTTCGTCCATTAAAAATAATAAAATAAGGAGTTTTTTTTTGGGGCTGGGGGGAGGGGTAGGTCTCATAAAGGAACATTATGTAAGAGCTCCGTATATATATATTTCTTAGGGTTGGCACCAAACAATTATGGGGTGGGTACGGCCTACACGTCCCTCCGCCTCGTAAATACGTTCACAATATTTTACTTAACAAATACATAAAGGTAACTATTGTAAATCAATATCTCAAGATCTATAATACCAATCTAGTGCTCGTGCTATAAAAATTATTGATTGTATACAACTGCTTTCCTTCTGCGTGTACTTCTAACACCTAACCACCACCTAAGACGCAGTACAGTTTTTGCGGTTGAACCAAGTCGTAATATTTACCTGCGGAAGTTATCCATTATCATCAAAGATCTCTCTCTTTCTCTCTCTCTGCTCTGCTCTTATATTCGTTTCTTTGGGGCCAAATAGCTATAGTATCCATGACAGTCATTGTTTTTATCGCTATTTCGGTTAATATTAAGTCTATTTTAATGGTTTGGTTGAGGAATTTTAAGAGATTGTTTTTGGCGTGATTTTGAATTATATGTGATGTGTTTGTACATTATTTAGTATAATTAGAGATATTATTATTAGTAAGACGAAAGCCAAATAAGACCTGTTGGGTACTTGTATCTCTTAATAATTTAAAGTGTCGTCATCTGTTATTATTTTAGTCGATATTATTTTCTATCAGTGTTTATTTACCGTTGGTTTGATGATAACAGTATGTCGATATGTTGGTGACCCAACGCACACCTATACCAATAAGCTTTATAATGTAGCGGTGACCATTTATGAGACGAATTGTCACTGTGCGTATGTATATTTATATCGAGATTCGAACAACTTAGTTAAGTAAGTTTTAGTCCATAGTACGATATAATATCGTTTTTAAAAACTCTAAATTTGAAATTCTATTTATTTTATGCGAGTAATTTTTTATGATGGATTTATAGTTTTGAATTATGAAATGTACGTATTATAATAAAAAGATGTGTGATTTCAAACATTCCACATGGAAAGTGTAATAAGAAGTACAAAAAATTACAATATTTTTGTAGCGAGACATTGAACAATGTGAATTTACGGAATTGATAACAGTATTACGAAATTAGCGAATTAAACACATTTTAATCGATGTGAAACTGAACAGATGGAAATTGTAACAGTTATGTAATAACTGTTTAATCATATACAGTGAATATGCTCTTGAATTATTGTTTACATGTTTCTACGATTAGAAACGGTCATATTATATATGAGGACTAAATTGAGAGGGAAAACAGTCAATTCGAAATATGAATATTTTTAATAAAATTGAATAAATATTATCTATGTTTTTTATTCAACTTTCCAACCAGTAAGAGAGAATTATACGTTTTAATTCTATGAGTAGGTAATAGATATTTTTATCCAATTTTTTTTAATGGCTTCGGCACAGTTTTTGTAATTCTAAGGCAATTATACCAAAAATTCTCACAGTGGATTTGCGCAAAGCGGATTCTCATTTTGGTTTAATTCACATTGTTTAATTAAAACTGGGGTCAAGTGTAATTAACTAATTATGAATCAGTGTTAATCGAGGAATCAGTGCTCCGAGTGTGGGAACGTCTTCAAAAAGTCTTCACATGATAATAACAAGTGTCTTCCCCCTACATACCGTTCCGCACCGCTTGCTTTGACCTCAGATAATTATCACAAGTTTATAGTCATACAGCTATTGTTCGCGGTGAAGATTCAGAATAAACAACTGGGGTTGATAGGTATGATATAGGTATAATACATTTCAAGAGAATTTTTATTGAAATCATTACAGAAACAATCTGAAGAAATTAGTAACAAATTCAAACAGTCAATTAATTGATTTGTAATATTTTTTTTGTTTATACAACTTAGAATGGCAAACAAGCTGATAGCCCACCTGATGGACAGTGGTAACCGTCGCCTATACACATGAGCAGTACCATGGACATAACAGAGTATACTGTTTCGCCCATGATACCCCCCATGCGTTGCCATTCCTGAGGACTCAGATGTTATTCCTCTGTACCCAGTAAATTCACGCCATATCCCACCCTTCAAACCGAAACACAGCCAAGCAAACACAACTGCTTCACGGTTGAAACACGAATGGGACAGAGGTACCCAAGCAATCGACTTTTGTACAAATTCTTCCTCTGGACATTAGTAGACTGTCTAATAGGCGGATCAATTATGTGTTTATTTATATTATCAATTAATTGATTTTTTATTTGTACTAATGTTGGATATCTACACTGTCTAAAAGTCGGTTCAATTATTTATTTATTTATATTATCAGTTAGTTAATTGATCAATTAGTTTTTTGATTTGTACTAATATTGGATATCAACAGATAAATTTTAATTAAATTGTAACAGAACAGTCTAAGTATCTATTTAGGATTAGTCTGATGTTACATAATACTTCACGCCGGATCAACGAGTTCTCTACAAATCGTAAATCCGGCCCTACATGGAGTATTGCGCTTATAGGCCGCTGGATACCACCTAAAGTTCTTTGACTCAATGCAACAAGGAGATATCGTGCGCAGAGGAATTGTTCAATATGATGCCTACGGCCACTTTCTACCATCGTACAGCTCGCCATCGACAGGGAGTTCACACTCATGCTCTACAGCCTAAATGGTCGCGTACAACATGATTTCAGAAATGTTTTCTTTCACGAACGCTCAGGTCATGGAATAAGCTCCCTATCGATTATTTTCTAAGAGACTACAGCATAGGGTTTTTCAAAAAAGAGGTGGAAGAGGTTTCTTCAGGATCGGCAACATGCGCGTAATACCCCTGCCTTCTAAGTTGCATAAAAAAAAAACTAGTTATATTCTCTCAAGAGCACATTAATGCAGGTAACATAAAATGTATTTTTAATATCGAACTAACAAATACTAATAAAACTTAACAAAACATATTCAAAATATTGAACATGACTTTAAAAAGTGTATATATTATTCGTGATATTATTAATTACTTGCAGTCTATCGATTAATCGTAAGTAATTGAGTCGATTGATATCGAAGTCTATTTCTAACTCCTAACGCGATGAACATTCAATCTATAATTATTGTGCATGCAATGAATGACGCCCTACTCGCTACGTAATAGTGAAGAGTTAATGGTCACGTTATTATGATTAGCGGGTAAATTGGAAAATCGCATGAAAAACATTTTTTGTATTGTACTTCCCCACATCCTGGTAGTCGTCATATAAATTGTTTGATTACAGAAATAGGACAATAAAAGATATCTGTTACATCAAATAAAGTCATACTTAAAATCAAGGGATAGATGCTTATTTTTTAATGGATGTTTATGGAAGGGTAACCCTGTGCTATCGTTATATATTAGAGGGGCACCAGTATGGGTTGATAGGCGAAGATGAAGTAGGTCGATTGGCGCAATGAATTCAACAATAAATCGATTACAATCGATCTCAGAGGGAACCGCATGGAGGTGGACCTGATAAGGTATATTATTAGCAAAGGGATTGTAGACTCAAATACTAACAATCCCTTTCCTCCACTATGCTAGAAAGTTACTAAAAATCACTACTAGAAGCACTAAAATGTTAAGCATATGGCCTACTTGATAATAAAAGCTGTTATTAAAGCACAGCATAGGATGCCTGCGACAAAAGTGATGTTTGCGATACTAAATGTTGCTTTAGTTTAGAATCGAATAATCACTTTTTTTTATGGATGATAATGGAATGGTAACGCCGCCTGCGTTCATGGTATCGGTATCTACCATGAACGCAGGTATATCGGTATCGAGATACGCTGGCGGGTCACCAGTGAGGGATGATAGGTGAGAATGAAAAGGCAGGTCAGTTAGCCCATTGTGACAAATTCCACTAAAATAACCTAACCACGACGGTTTCTAGGGGGAACCGCGTGGAGGTTGACCTGATAGGGTGTATTGCTAGCAATGGGTCAATTAAACCCCATTACTAACAATCCCTTTCCCCCCGTATAATCTCGTCGTACCCAGGTATGATGATCTGCTATATTTGTCACCTTAGTTTAAAAAGGCCAGGAAGTAAAGAATCAGAAGAGATTCAATATGATTACTAGGTTCCATGTCGTTGTTCCTGTGCTATTATACAGTAACGAGAATTGGTTATGCAAGAATGAGAATAAAAATAGAATTAATACAGTTGAAATGGGAGCGCTGCGAACATGTCGCGTAATCATGTTGAAACGTCGTATCCGTCCCTTGATACCTATCTAAAACAGTTACAATTAGTACGATAGCCACTATCGTTATTGAGACTTGATTCTTTTTATCTACTCCATAAGGGATGTTTTTTAATGGGTTGTAATGAAATCGTAACCCCGCCTGCGTTTACGGTATATGCTGGCGAGGCACCAATGAGAAATAATAGGTAAGAATAAAAATGCAGGTCTTTTTTTTTTTTAATAGTTGATAATGGAATGGTAACCCCGTCTGCGCTAATGGTATACGTTGGCGGGGCACTAGTGAGGGATGATAGGCGAGAATGAAAGCAGCTCAGTTAGCCCATTGTGATGAATACGCTTGGAATTCAGCAGGCTGGTTTCCAGGGGGGACCACAGAGAGGTCGACCTGATAGACCTGATAGATTGTTAGCAATGAGACTGGTAGTCTGACAAAAGGCAAGTCAGTAGGCCTATCGTGATGAATTCATCTAAAATAGAACACGGTGGTTTTCAGGAAAACCGCGAGAAGGTCGACCTGACAGGGTGTATTGCTAGCAATGAGGCTACTATATCCCATTATTAACAATCCCTTCTACTCCCACTCCATAAGGGACCAGGTACTTTGAAGATATTATATATAATATTATTTTCAAAATATGTTTCAAACGCATTAGTACCTACCCATTAATTACTTCATTTTCAAGAGGGATTCCTCTCGAAGGAAAGGAACACGCTTTTTCCCCAATTATCGAATTAAGACTTTAAAAGTAGAAATTTTCTATTACTTTGTTACAAAAAAGTAAATTGCATTTTTTGTAAATTTCCCAAAATCGCAAAACAGCCAACAATCTAATTTCACGTTTTATTCGTATGTATATTGAATTCAAATAAGAACCTAATTTTTTGCACTAAGTGGCAAGTTGCTGTAATGTATTAAGTCATGCTATTAACATTTGTCACGAGTAAATATACAGTCCGCTTGATAGTTTAAGTAGCAGGTCGCTAATTGTTTACCTGTACAGCTATGATTTTTATGTAGTAATGGTATAACAAATAAAAGACCTACCAGGCGAAAGAAAGATAAGCCTAGATGATAATAGGTGACAGACATAAATATATGTATATATAAACATCATAAATTAATGTTCAGATTTATTGCTATCTACTACGTATCTCTCATCACTAAAGTGATATAAATCTAAGCGTCTAAGGTCTTAAGTCAGGATGTTCATAATTAGGTAAAACGATGTCTTACATAAGTAAATCACTCAAAATGACAATCTGGAAACAAGCTTTATATCTGCTTCTATATCAGTTACTACTGAAAACTATCAGGCATACAGCTGCATCATCTTTTAGCCCTGTTAACAACCTATCGCGTGACTACAGCGTTTGATGTGACGTGCAATTAGAAACAATGACGCAAACTCAGCACGTAACCATTCATTCATGCTGGAAAAAATACGATTGCTTTAAATTGTTGCCATCAGGATCTCTTGCATCCTGCTACATAATAAAAATCCACTGATGCTTAGTTTAATCACGAATTTTCTTCCGTGTCCTTTTGGGAAACACCCGGAACAGTTATTGGTCATTTACCCTCATTAATTAAGCGTGGAACGATTAAATCTTTGTATACCTATATACTGTGAGAAAGCTATGTGCACACAATTGAATCATTGTCTGCTTTTTACATTCTACCGACTTGATATATGGAGCTGAGATATGCAGAGTGTGGGAAAAGTTCAGTGCTGCTCGTGTTTTCTAACATGTCATCTCCAACCGTGGGAGCGCTGTAAGCTCTAACAGATATTTGATGTTTTCCATGTTTCTGAAGAATCTGAACTCCTTAAGGGGTCAAAGATTTTGGGAGGTTCTTTTTTTATATTCATTAAAGATTCATTTAAATTCTCTCGCACTCAAAACTGAAAGACCAGTGTTTCACTGTCAACATTATATTCCAGTGTCAAGTAGACTACAGCTGGCCCTGTTTATGTGTTTTATTTTCACCATAATAATAGATAGGTACCATGTTTACCTATAACTAATAAAAAAAAAGCAGTATTCCCCCTTCAAAGCCGATTCTGAAACTTGCAGATTTTGCTTTAGAATCCA